AAATATATTTAAAGATCAAATATCCACAACTTCAGCATAACAAATTTAAATTAATATAAATTTTTAAACATTTTTTTTTATCACACAGAGAGCACAACTGAACAAAAAAAAAAATATTCATAATTTATTTGATATTTACCGACAGGAAAATAATTTTGGCTCATTTGATCTAGATGTAAAATTAGTGCATTGACTGTAGTGCGTTGACGAAATTTGTTGCATAAGCGAGAGGGTGGGCAAACCGTGAAATCTGTCTGATGGACCAGAGCACTTCCGCAAAGCAGCTCGTCTGGCCTACTTGCGTTTTGACCATTTAAAAGTCTCAATTTCACTCGCATGGAAGAGCTGCAGTACTCCGCCCCTTATCAATTGAGACCTTATAAAGAGGAGCCTCAACGCCCAACGATGTTTCCCTTTTTTTATCATCATTCATTTGTTTGACGACTCAATTCATTATTCTGACCAACCTAATCAAGATTATAAATTGAAACCTACCATTCTCATTAGAATTGGATCGCAACAAAATCGAAATCATCCAATAATTAATTTTTTTCATAATGCGAATTAATTAAATTTAATGTCAGTTATTTGCTTTTACATATATGTATTATTCCTTTTGTGTTGAAGTGTGAGTCAATCTTTTTACAGTAAAAAAATGTGAGAGCGACTTTTTATTATAGATTGAGCCTGTGGCATATGCAACACTTGGTCAGGTTAAGCTCTACAGGTTGCATACAAACTTTACCTAAAACTTGGATTGCGTAAAACGATTGTTATTACGAATGAAAAATCCAACAATAATTTACTGAGCAATTCTTGATCAATGGAGCTTTCGTGATTGATTACATCTATTTGCATGATTGCTCAGTGAACAAAAATTATTCTTACTGATATTGATATAAGTACATATATTTCCAGTATTGCACATAGGTATATACTTACAATTTTCTTTGTTCTTGGCAACAGTCTTTCATTCAGTCTAAAAATTTAAGTTTTGTGATGTAATGTTACCATGAATGGAGAATAAATATATTAATAAATAAGGCATTAAAAGAGATACATAGATTAATAATAAAAATGTCACCTTGCCAAAATTATTTATTTATTCTCTCCGTTCATTGCGCTGTTACATATGTAATTTATATCGCATAAAAAAGCACTAAATCAAACAAGAAAATTTGTGGAAGCTTTGATTTTTTAATTAAATGCATCTTATTTTTTTCCTTCAAATTTAATTTTTACTTGTAACAAGCGTATATATAGAAGCAAGGTTGCAATTAAAACTAGATTATCTAACATATTTCTGCAGTAAATCATTTCTACTAATTTGGCAAATTTTTGCCCTCGAATCAAACCTCTGCAAATGAGGATGTACTAAATATGTAATATTATTCGACTTTGCGGGCCAAGGAGAATTCGCTGTTTGCCTCTGTGTACATTTCATGCTGTGTGGAGAGTCTGATTCAAAGGTCATCGTTTTATTTTTTCTATTCACTTTTTTACTACGCATTTTGGGGTTCTGTGTAAAATTTTTTTCTTTATCAGTCGATAAAAAAGAAGAAAATAGTTCAGAGTAAAGATAAATTAACTCCTTCTTAAAAGTATTGAATGAAATGTCTAAATTTATTTATGTATCTATTATTCATTCGATACAGTCATGATTCATGAATTCATAGCAAAAAAACTATACATAAAAAGTACAAAAAAGCTGAAATACAATTTTGGAAGGTAGTTTTTAAATTCAATTTCAATCAGCGCGGGGTGGTATCAAGGGATGATAGCGGCGTGCAGGCAGCACACAAATCTCGGTCGCAGGTGACGAGTATTGCATCACTGGACCACAGACTTATACTTTCTCTGCAATCCCCGGCCTTGACTTCGCGCAGCAGCCGTTGCAGAGCTATGCAATTGCCCCACTAATTACCGCCTATTGCTCGTCTAATGCCGCAAGTGCACACGCACACACACGAGTGTTGTCTCTGGCGTATTCACGACCCACTCCAAGACGGCAAAACAACAAATCCAATTGCGTCCAGGTCAATATTCGCTCTTGCCTCATGCATGGTGCTCTTGGATCTGACGAGCCTATACGCTGTGCCAACACAACTTGATTAATTATTTTAATTTTAGAGGCCACAAGTTTTCACTCCTAAATCTAAAAATAAATTAAGCTTATATATTCACACAAATCTAGAAAAATAATCATATTAATTAACTATAGCATTTAATAATTGAAAAATTAATTATGAATATTTTTAGCTCCACTCTATCTCATCCATTTCTACTACATAAAATTAACACATTCCCCCAGTACGTAAAAAGGAAATTTTAGAACAAATAATCTATCAGACGCGGCGCTGCATCGAAGGAAGCGCTGTGTTGATTTAGAGACACGCACCAAGCGGCATTTAGGCCAAACGCAACTTTGCTGCTGCTGCTGCGAGACGAGATTGAGACCTCTCATTTTGACGCACTTTTAAAACAGGCGAGTGAAATTTAGAATGTGTGTGGCTACCGTTCTTACAAAATGCTGTTGCGTTTATTCGAATCTCAGCAATTATAATTACTTTTGAAATGCTTTTATATGATATTTGAAAATCTCAATTATTAATGAGAAATTATTATTAATGAGGAAAAAAAATCAATAAAAAATAAATTTATCCCAATCTATTTGGCATTATTATGAAGTATTATTATTATTTCTTTTTCTTCCCCACTTCACACATCAAGTAAACACTTTTTTTGAGGAAAATTTTTGTGACTGTTTAGGCATTATCATTATTCAGTGATTATGTGAGAAGGAAAAGTCTTAAGACTTCTAAATATTTCCCCATTTCCATTATAATTTTCTTTAAAAAAAAAGTGTTGGAATAAAAAGTTTGTCGCTATACTTCTAATTTTCTAAAAAATGTTATTATAAAAGTATGTTTTTTGACGCAGAATTTGTACCAGCAACCAAAAAAATAGCAAAATCCACACCTATGAGAGGACATTCATATATTCAAGGTGCAAATCGGACTGATTTTTTAATTGCTTATGGTTTGAGCTCATATAAAAAACTTTCGTCATGAAACCGAACTCTTATTTGATATTTCTCAAAAATTTTCCTGAAACAACAAAGTAAATTTCCGTGAAACATACTAACCGGTAAAATGATCGCTTGCGTTTTAATAATTACGCTCAGGCTGGAGTAGAAAGAAAGACTATAGAAAGTGATTTGACTGACTGACGACGTGCTAGCTGACCGTTACCTATATATTACAAGGTCACAAGGAAATATCAGGTCGCAGGTCATGTACTTTTATGCTTTTTGTATCTCTATTGAAACATCAAATTGAATTGAATTGCATCACGCAATTTTTTTTTAATACGCAATCAACCTTTTATTGCGGAAAAAAGCAATATCCTGATAAATAAGTATAAAAATCAGTAAAAAAAATAATGGCGCCCAATTTTTTTTTCTTTTTGCGGGCATTATTTATTTTTGTAAATAAATAAAATGATACTTTAAACTGGAATGACCATTGTGGTGAGGTTGTTAATAAATGTAGAAGTGTCTCCCATGTTTTCACTAACTGAAATACAAGGATGGTAAAATATAGTTGCAAATATATTATTATTATTATTATTGATCTTTATTGACTTATGAAGCGTTGCCACTCATTGCAACGCGCCCCATTTGCAACATAGTACAAAACAAGTAGAAAATAGAGAGTAAAAAAACAAGAAAAATATTACAATGTATCAATTATATTTTGCTCATTATCCCAAGTCATAATTGTGATCTGGGGAGAGGCTCTTGTCAACTAAGCAAGGTGTTTAGAGCGCAGAAAAGAGCTTTGCGAGTCATGGCGGGCGTTCCATACTGGAGATCTAATGAAGCGCTTGATTAAAAATAAAAAGATAAAATAAAAAATATTATGACTGTGCCCTCATTATATTTACTTGAATGTATTAACTTTATAGTGCAACCGTAATCTCTTTCAGAAACATAATGAAACTGTACCAATTTTGAGGGAAATTAAGCTAAACAAATATGTTGAAAAGCCAGAGTTTATGATCCCTAGAATTTTATCGTCTTGCCAAAATACTTGAAAACCCTCATAAATGTTAAGGATCGCGATCTTGTAAATGAAGTAAAAAAATTTTAATAGACAATTAATTCTATGGCTTCAAAAAATTATATCGTTAGAAGTTCGAAAAAACAAATTATAAACTAAACTTCAAATAATTCCTAACATAATAAAGAAATCTTTAATATTTTTTTTTCTTCTTTTTCGTAGGGTTAACTCAGTTGATAATTCCTGCTAGTGCACGTTTGGAACTGATATTTAGCTGCAAAAGTTTTTTTGTTCGGTTCAGACCGAGGGCAACTTTGCCCCATATTTAGCGTAAATGAGTAGCATAATTATGTATTAGCGCCATATTATTTGAGTAAAAGTTATGTAAATTTCGTTTTCAATTTTTAACTTATTTAATTTTTCTGTTTACGTGAATTCACACTTAAGGATGAATAATTCCACATTTTGATTGGATCTTTTTCCCTCACATTTTTTTACAGGAACTTCTAGTTGAGGACAAGGCTTCGCCCCTGTTTGGGACTTCATTATTATTGTTTATTTATTTATTTATTCTTCATTCTTTGTATTTGTATAACAATTTGGACAAATAAGCAATCAAATCCCAAAACCTTAAAAAAAAAAAAAAAAAACGCCGAAATACATTTATTATTTTGTTTTTACCAAAGTTCAACAGCTTAATTGAATTTAACTCCATAAAAGTTGTACAATTTAAATCATGTTACCAGAAAGCTGCACTTCCAATCATTTTTTAGAGGAGGGGATAATTCAAGAGTAAAAATTTCGGAAGGAGCTTTTGGTACTCGCGTGCAGTTGCATAAGAAAAGCGTGTGTGTTGTCTTGAGCAATAATATCCAACCGCCCCACCACTCTACCGCGAGATTCCACCAGGTTTGCATTAGCTCTGCTCTTTTATTTCAGTCCTGCTCAACCTTCAGGGGGATAGAAACACCCTTGCCGACTGCGCAGCACTGCTGAAATGGATCCTCAAAGTTGCTCTGCAGGAAATCTTTCTGATTGTGAGTTTATATCAATTTCAAAATAATCTTATTTTTTCCATTCGCTTTTCTTTTGTATCGCCTTGAGTAGAATAAATTTTGCAGTAGCCCATAGTAATTATCAAAAATAATTATAGATTTTTGCAGAACTTGTGAATATTATTTTGTTTTCCTTTTTCTATAAATTTTCAAGTGTGGGTCTAGGTTGCACTGTGTGATATTAAACTTCTAAGGCCACCACGTAAATGCAAATAAAAATTAAATTAAAATCAAATTGTGTGGGTTTGCCTTCTTATGTCAGGCGTTTTAGCAGACCTCTGCTATTTGTATATCCCTTTCTTCTCTTTTTAAATACTAATTCTAAAGTTTGTTATTACATTATATTATTAATTATCTTTATTGACTTCCTCACATGTATGTATAGTCATCGTGGGCTAATGAAAACTAGTGATTGTCTCCATCAACACTGGGCATGATTTTTCATGAATCATGGTTAGTTGTCGAATTTTGGTGATAATTGCTTTAACAAAAGGCGCTCCTGTGTTTAGCTGTGCCTGTAACAATACATTGACTTTATTTATTCCTCTTGGAGCGTGAATGAGTGCTCAATGGAGTAGCTAATTTCATGAAATAAAAATACTTCTGAATCTGAAAAATCTGAAAGTGAATCTCCAAATTTTATATAAAATTATTTAGCGCATTTTACTATCAAAATCTTTCATAAAAAAGTTCACAACCGCAAAAGCCACGCTATTAAGTTAATTGAAAATGAGAATGGAAATGAAGAAATGCATTTTAATTTTTTAAACTTATGTAATATTTTGTGCTATCAAATTGTACATAAAATTAAAAAAAAAATAATGTATTTTATTTTTATTTTTGGACAAACAAACAACAATAGTAATATTTAAAACATTTTTAAAATGCACGAAATTCCAAAATGTAAGCTTTTTTATTTTTTAAATATTAGCAATATTGAGTATTTAAATATTAAATATTCAAATAGATAAAATTCAGATTTTAATTTAAATTCTACATGTAAAATGAAAATTAATGTGTTGTATTATAATACTCACCCCCCCCCCCTTAGGAAAGCAAATAGATAATTATACAAAAAATATATTTAAAAAGTGTAAATTTACAATTTATTACTCGCATGGACCATACAAATAATTTCTGCAACTTTTTCCAGTTCAAGGGTAACGTTGTATACCACACGCACACCATTTTTGAGCTCATCTCTCTAGACCACCAAGGCTAAAGTGACTTAATGCGAATGGAAATTTACGCGCGGCAATCAGAATCTGGCGTTCAACAATTTTTTGTCAATCAAAATGCACAGAAATGATGTAATATACCAGCTCTTGGTTTACATTTCTTCTTGATGAAAAGTGCAAGTTTTACGCTGTGTGACCTGAATACCTTATTTCAAGTTTTCACTCTTTCCTATCCTGCGTCAATAATTTAAGCAATTTAATGATCATAATAAGAACATTGAAGGCAAACCAAATTATCCAAAAGCCTGGGCCAGGTTAGATTTTTGGATTGCCTTCATTATTATTAGAAAGGCCTAATTACAATGCATCCAGAAAGTGAAAAATAACTGTTATTTTACATCAGGTAATAAACGCTTTAAAAAAAATTCCAATAAGCAAGAGTAGCTATTCTAAATTCTAAAGATAAAATTTGTTCAGCGCCAGGCCATATTGAAGCTCCATTAGCTTTTAATTCATTTAAATTTTTCACGGTTTTAAAACGGCTATATATTATATACATATATATATATATATATTTTTTTCTCAATTTGCACACAGTGAGGTGTGTGACCGAGAGCCACGTTTGGCCAGTCAATCAAGGCTGTCTTTTGTACAGTACAATTAAACAGACACAATCTTATCTTTGCGTACGTGCGTTCTGCGTTTTTTAATGCACATAAAATTCAAATTAAACTGCGCTGGTCCACCTAAACCAGCTGTTGGCATCCTTGTCCTACTAAAACACCTTAGTCCTTACTTTAAAAAAATAACACGCTGACCGCGAAATGAAAACAGATTCTGTGGTGACGACAAACACGCTTGAGGAGATCCTTAGAATTTGTCCATTATCTCAGTCAACAGATTATTTTTTTTCTCCTAGCTGATCGAACAACCTTCACCGGCTGCGGGAGTAATTTTAATAATCGCTAATTATAGAGGGTTTCGCGAGCTCTAAATTTCATTGCAGGTAGAGTTTTGCAATCGAGTGCGATGCATTAACCATATAATCTTGATTGTGCTCACACGCGTGCACAAAGTAAAGAGCAGCGTGTCTCGAGAAGCGCCAAAATCAAAGACCGTGCAGCTTGGATAAAAATTTTTCCTTACCTTGAACCAGCAGTGGCAAATGAGAACTTCGTGCAATATTTTTTGCGCCTCAACAAAATGTTTTACCGCATCTAAATGGTTTTGCTTATATGTTGCCTCGCCAGAATTGAATTGAATTGTTCAGTTTTTTTGCAATATTCGGTGAATGCTTTATTGTAAATTGTTTGAAGAAGTTGACATTCGAGGAGATGATCATGGAAAAGAAGAAATCGGGCTTTTCCTCGTTGTAAAAATCATTATTGTATTAGTCAGCGAGCAGCGCGGTTGCTCTCATGAAATAGGGCCGCAGACCGTGACCGAAATTGGTAGAGCTGTTTTGCTTGTAAATAAAAAGAATTTTTACAATGAGGAAAAGTCCGATTCCTTTCTTTTCCTGTAAATAAATTCAAATTTTTTAGCTAAACGAATCTACGTTTTATGTTTTGAATAAAAGGATGAGCAGGGATGATGATCTCATTTTAGTTAGTGAGCATCAGTCTGGGGTTTTCCATTCAGTTAATTGATAAAGAGCTGCTCGCTTCCGTTTCGTTCCTGTTTTTCAAGGTGAACCACAAGATATTTTCTGCACTTTGCCCAACCGTAACGAAAGGCAGTTTGAAATGTTTTCAAAAGTTCCAAGTAAGATTAATTAAATATAAAAACTATAAGACAGTAAAGATAAGAAACTGTAAAACCGTGACTCAAAAATTGAAAAATTAAAAATTACTCAAAATTTAGATTTAATTTTTTATTTATTATTTATAATTAAAATAAGTTAATAATAATTCCTCCTGAAGTGTAACTTCATCACTCAACATTTTATTATAGTTGCTTGTTTATCAAAAATATTACACATTTCCTATGGTGAAGAAGTTTTTTCCTAAACTTTTTTAACATTTATTTCACTAATGTATGTCACACGCATTTTGCGATAAACTTTTCAGCTTGTAAGGTTTTGAACTGATAGTCTGCTCCTGATAAGCAAAGAAAGTGAAAATATTAGAACTTCCTCCCACCTGCAGCAGCAAGCAAATGCAAGTAATGAACTTTACGCTTTTAATTTAAGGTCTTCAACCCTCTCCTCAAACATTGGGTGGCCTACAGGATGCACCTGAAGCTGGCTTTGGAGGCGCTGCCAAAAGGTATTGGCACCTACTTTTTACAGAACTAGCAGGTCAGAAAAATCCTATTATTATTATTTATTCTTCTCAGTCGATACATTTTTTTTTTTTTTTTTTTTTTTTTTTGAAAAAGAGAAGATTAAGTAAATAATGCAATAATATTTTTCTACGCCGGCAGACCCTCGCACAAATGATTGGCTCTTCATCAGCAGCCCTGTTCCTGGCCTCACCATCATTGCCCTCTACCTTATTTTCTGCCTCAAAGTGGGACCCAGGTACATGGAAAACCGCAAACCCTTCCAACTGAAAAACACCCTCATTGTGTATAATGCGCTTCAAGTGTATGCCAGCGTGTGGCTTTTCTGGGAGGTAGATTTTATTGATTTATTTATTTATTGTAATCTTTTTAAAATTAATTTCATTCCAGGCTTGTGAAGGAGCGTGGTTGTCAACTTACAGTTGGAGATGTCAGCCTGTGGACAACTCTACGTCACCCGAAGCCATGAGGGTCTGTGTTTATAATTTTTGCGTTCTCATATTTAAAAATTGACCTAATTTCTAAACTGATTATCGAAAAATTCTTAGAATAGCTCACTATTTGTAAGAGAAATGTTGCTCAATGTTATATAAGCGAGTGAGGCCAGAGTTGAAGATGCAAACACTTTCACCTTGATGAGCTCACAAAAGAAAAATTGTGACCGCAGATCAAACATGAATGGCGCTGCACTTGTTTGACTTGTGTGACTGACCTCCATTGTGCTAAATCACCCACCTTTATTGTTCTTATTATTCAAAAACCAATTATTTATATGTTTAACCCACTTTAAAAATTTGAAAAATTTTTAATTTAAACATTTTTTTTCTTCTTAAATTTTATTGTTTGATATCATTTACAACCATATTCCTTTTATGTTATAATAACTAATAAGTAAAATAATAATAAAACAATAGTTGCTGCAAAGTGTATTTTGTAATTAATTAAAAAAAAAGCTTGGCATCTTTCTTAATTTTACTGGTTTTTCTCAGGTGGCTAGAGGAGTGTGGATTTACTTCATTCTTAAAATCACAGAGCTTCTAGACACAGTGAGTACAAATTTGACTTTTTTATTATGTCAGTAGGCAATTTGCGCAGCAACAATGCTCTGCAGGTTGCTTATAATTTAGTTGAGCAAATATTTTACTTTACTTTTATTTCCAAGGTTTTCTTTGTGCTGCGCAAAAAGCAAAATCAGATCTCATTTCTGCATCTCTACCATCACACTGTCATGCCTATGATTTCCTGGGGCTGCACCAAATACTACCCCGGAGGACACGGCACTTTCATTGGCTTCATCAACACCTTCGTGCACATCATCATGTACACCTACTACCTCCTCGCAGCACTTGGACCACAACTTCAGAAATATCTGTGGTGGAAAAAGTACATCACCAGAATGCAGATGGTAAGTTTTATTAGGTTGTGGTTTTTTTTATCAAGTACATTTTTATGTAGGCCCAGTTCTGCATGGCCTTCCTGCACAACACCCAGCTACTGTTCTACGACTGCGGCTTCCCAAGGTGGACGGCCTTCCTCACGCTGCCCAACGCAATCTTCTTCTACTACCTCTTCAATGACTTCTACCAGCAGGCCTACAAGGAAAAGCAGGCCAGACTAAAGGCTGCTAAGGACGAAGCTTCCAAAAACGGAGCAACCAAAACTAGATTAAAAGCTGGTTAGAAATTTGTTATTATAATTAATTATTAAACGCCTCCAAAGAATATTTCTTATAAAATGAATAGAAATCGAAAAATGGCTCACATTGACCCTTATATTAAATTTCTTAAATTTTGTGATTGCAGAATGAATGGAATAATTGATGCCTCCAATTGGCCAAATGTAAATATCTCTCTGTGGATCCAAATTTGCAAGGAACTATGGCAAGTGTGAAACAAGGTGAGCTGGACGAGAAGCTCATGAACCTCCAAGCAGTTAAATGAAAATCTCGTCAATCCCTCAGCATTAGTTTGTATTTATTTACCACGCTGTCAAGCTGTCAAGCCGACTAAAGATGCTTGAAATCTCCTTTCGGGAAGCAGAATGAATTGTAGCAAGTAAAAAATCTAACCCTGTAGTAGGATTTAGGATTGTCTATCAGTTGCGGGAGTTTTGCCGCTTTCTTAAATTTTCTTCCAACAAAAACCGATTTTCATGTTTTTTTTCCAACCCAGGGTTTGCATGTGATCTTGTTTTGACGTTTTGGCGGCAAAATCCCGTGTGATCAGTACTTTTTAGTCATGCATTTTGCAAGAAGTTGATGTATCATTGACAAAATATAGCTTGACACATCTGAAATGTGCTCAAATGCCTTGTAACATAAACGAAATACACGAGTAAGGTTTTTGTAATATTGTACCTCATTCTATTATTGCACTAGGTAACTTGAAAAATAAATTTTGAGGAAATGTCGTCGCAAATTTGTTAGAGAGTTATGTCTCTTGGCGTGATGCCTACCTAACAAACGTTTAGGCGTCTTTTTACATTTTGCATTTAAAACTTTGATAAACTGTGTAGCAAAGAGAGGAAAATTATAGATTCCATTACATAATCTAAAATAATTTTTTCAGATTCCACTTTCTTTTTTATTCTGTGATTTAGTAAAGGGCTATTTTTTTGCGTAATGTGTGTGATTTTGTGGCTTGGCAAAAAGATTTTAATATAAATACGCATTTTTGCAATCAAAAATTTTGTATGTTGGCCTTATAAAATTAAGTGAAAAATAATTAGTCTGTCAATGCAATCAAATCTTTTTGGCAAGCCAATTTAGCTCTTGTAATATTTTATGGTGTTATTCAAATAAATAATTGGACTCAATTCAATAAATAAATTTTCCAAGCAGGATTTGGAAAAAATAAAAATTTCAAATAAATCGGTCAATTTATAATCTACATGATGTGAGAATTTAGATCTGAAGGAAAATACTATTAAATTTCCTCGACGGAAAAAGTTGTTACTCTTTATTTCTAAATGCACTATGGAATTGCCTAACCATGTTTAATTGTAGAGCAAATAATTGATACATGCATAATTGCATACATATTATACAGGTACAAGGTAGAAAAGCAATAAATTATGCATTTGCAAAACAAAAGAATTTGCATATCTTGTAAATAAGGGTTCTTTCTATTTCAACTAATTATAAAGAAAATCATTAATTTTGGAAATTGAAGGTAGATCTACACGTGGGTCATCTTGCATATTACTATAAAGTATCTACTTGCATTATGGATGGGCATTTTAATAAAATGGTGAAAAGCGGATTATATGGTTATAATCACATAATTACAATTTATAAATATGTTATAAAAAGGATGTGTATATCTTAGGTACAACACTACAATAAAATTTGCTAAACTTATTTATATTCTTTCCTTCAATGCTGTCCTCTAATAAATCTTTCAAATAAATTCAAATTTAATTGAAAATGTCATTCTCATAAATTTATGATGCAAAGAAATATTAAGCGGATCCCTGCCCTACTCCGATATTTTTTGTGGAAGCAATTTTAAAGTTATTTTCATTCATTCTTTCACTTCTTATTCTTTCGGTAGTCTGGATTTACAAGTGGTCTTTTTTGATGATGTCGAGCGTTTTAGCATCTGCTAGTTGTAAACCCTTTCTTCTCTTTTTCATATTTTAAAAGTTTTATTTGACGAAAGATGAATAAATAATGTAAATAATTTTGATTGTAAGTTTATGTTTCTTATTCTTAAACAAATTTGCTATTTATATTAATATTTTTTTTATTATAATTCTTTAATCCCGTGCTTGGGAGCTGGGAAGGGCAACCAACAATGGCAGGTGTTCCACTAAAACCCAGGTGAGGGGTTTCTTTGTAATTAAATAATGCTTTATTTTACCTCAAATAAATGTATTGTATATCATGTGCATAGTTATTTATTCTCCATTCAAAATGAATGTGAATCTCTCAATACTCTTAATTGCTTCTGTTTATTAAATTTGCTTCTTTTTAATGTACGCCTTGCGGTAGAAGTCTGAGAAGAGGAAGAGGAACACGGTGGCGTTACCAACGAAGAAAAGTGTCAGCGCCTTTGGCAGTTTGCAGTCGTATGCTAAAAGACCAAGCATATAGGCAACCATGAGGCAAAACTGGATCTGTAAAAATTTGAATCATTTTGACTTTTTACTAACATAATTACGATAATTATAATTACTGTGTGAGAGATTTTAAAAAGCTAAAAATTCTAAAAGAAGTAAAGAAAAAAAATGTCAAAAGTCTAAATTTATAAATATAATAATTATATATGTTTCAAATTCAATCATATGAAAAAATCAAACGAACCAGTTGAATCCAGGTCATGTATCGCTTCCACCAGAGGTACTTTTGATATTTGGGACCCATGGCAGCAATGAGGTAGTATGAATACATTGCAATGTGGACCAGAGAATTGAGGAACCCAATGACGATTCCCTGCTCACCTGAAGAAATCGTTAACAAATAATTAAAAAATCTTAACTCAGCAGCTGAAAAAAGTAAACAAAGTAACAAAAAAAAATTCTAGCAACGCAGTTAAAATTTTTTTAAATACAGTTATTGTTAAATAAACAAAATATTATCTTGGTTTTTGTATCATATTTACCTGGGATAAACTTGAGATAGCCCCAGGAGAAGAGCACTGTGATAGTGTGATGGTAAACGTGCAGAAATGTCACTTGATTTTGCTTTTTCCTCAGCACAAAGAAAATCTGCGGCCAAAAAAATTGTAACGCATCTAAATCTAAATCCATGAATAATAATCTCACCGTATCAAGCAACTCAGTCACTTTGGCAAAGAAATACCACCAAGCGCCGCTTGATAGCTGAATTATTCAAATTTGCAATAGCACATGGAAATTACGATCAGAATCTTACCGCTCTGGAGAACTCGACGGTGCGTGTCGCTGAGCAGGCGTTGTTTATTAGATGCGAAAACGCGCTCTCTTGAAAGGGCTGAATTATATATAATTTAGATCAACAATATAATAGTCAAGTTATTTTATTTATCAAAATTTAATTTATACCCTGCGCTGCAGTTAATTTTCTAGTACTTACCAGATAGGCCAAAAAGATGCTGAAGATGACTTGAACAAAGTTGTACACGATGAGCGCCCCTGTCAAATGGAACGCTTTCCGGTTTGCCATCAGTTTGGGGCCCAAAGAGAGAACAAAATAAAGGTAACACGCCAAAATCATGAAAACGGGCCATGGACTCGACATCAGTAGCCACGTGTCCACCATCGGATCTACACTCAAGAAAAATTAATTTCTTCCAATAATTATTGCTTTTTTTATTAATATTGAAACAACCTTTCGTATTCTCGACCAGTTCATTGTAGTTGTCGACCACCAAGTGCATCAGCTCCGCCATGGCTGCTGACTGAAAAATAATTCAATTTTGTTCAATTACATAATTTGAATTGACTACTTTTCTTGTTAATTGCACATCATGAACGAGACTTTTGAAATAAATTTTTTATTTATGTAATGTCAAATTTTTAGCATCAATAAATTGATGCAAAAAAATAAATATTTGATGCGAAAATTGGACAAATAAACAACGACAATAAAAAAATTAAATACAAATTACGAAAAATATTTCGCAAAAAAATTCATATCAAAATTCTCATTCCTCATTGAAAAATTTTTCGTTGAAATTTTCGCAATTTTAAATATTAGTGTATTAGTACAAATTCATATTATGAACTGGAATGCTTGGATTTTTAAGTCTTTTTCAGTTTTTTCACCAACTCTGACTGGCGTTTACGTAGACAGGTTTGAAAATTCTTTCTAAAAAAAATCTTATCAATAAACAATAATTGCCTGCATCTGTTTGTGATTGATCTGCAGAGGACTATCCCGCCTTAAGGGATTTTGTAATTAAACGCTTTTGCATACAACTGGGGCGCTAAGTGCACCCATCTCAACGCTTAATCCTGCGGCCCCCGTCCAACTTCAGCAAAGAACAATACTTCACTCGCAAACCCAGTATGATAAATCACTCAGGTTTCCCCGAGTAAAATCTGCCAGGAGTGGGAATCGAACCCACAATCTCCGGGATGGAGGGCAAGCGCACGCTCCTCTGGGGGTCACTAATCACTATCCCGCCTTTTTCCTGCGAAATATTTCGCGCCACAAGAAGCAAAAAATGACTCGATCGACTGATCGGCCAATCGAGTTGGATCGTTGGATGGCACTTGTAAACAACAGGAACAACAGGTTGAACAGCGCATTATTATGTTATGATCCAAGGAGTGTGGCTCGATGTGCCGCCGGCTGAACCATAAATTTGCGATTTTGATATATTATATATAAAAGTGGTTTGCGAGTGGTCTTTACGTAAGATTTGAGAAACTTAAGTTTAGTGCGAGTCATCAAGAACGAGTGACCGAGGACGGCGAGGACTTCAGTTTGGAGAAAAATGGACCGGCGGAAAGACTCTATTCTGGACTTCAGAGGAGACTCGAGAGGCGAAATCGCGGAGGTAGGACAAAGCACTTTTTTCACTTTTCAACTCCAACGAGTTATAAAATTACATAATATATAAAGTAATATAACATACACATACGTACAATTGCATCCGCATCGCGATCAAATCTGTTTTCGTGCATATTACATATTAATTTATTGCACCAAATTTTGGTGTACTGAATTCCCAAAAGCTTATTTCACATCAATTTTTTTTCACGCATTGGCTACCATACATGATTTTAATTAATGAAAGTACTGGAAAGTACTGCACAGATTGCAGACAACAACTTTTGTAGGCAACTCCGTTTCGAATCGCAAAAGCGTACCTCAAGTACATGAAATTGTGCATAAACTGAAATTGTTTATTTTTTTCGTTCTCGTGAATTTTATGAGCTCTGGAAATCTGCTTTGAAAATGCAAAGCAGTAAAGCGGATTAAACATTTGGAATTATTTTATGAAAGAGCACAAAATTAACCAATTGAAAAATGAAATGGAAACCTGTACGTTATGAATTATTTTGATTTTACCACCGTAATCACAAATAATAGAAAATAATTATTGATTATAATTTAAGTATAGCACGTACAAATACTGACAGGATTCCTTAGACAACTTTGAATATGTACAAGTTTGGAGAGGTAAAATTAAGTATAAAAGTGAAATGCTTGCGTCCCCGCTAGTTCAGCCAAATTTTAAGGAAATAGATGACATATTAAAAAAAATTCGCGGTCACGCTTGTATTTTTTTTTTCATTTAGACTGCGTATGAAATTGATTAATCAAACCATAGGCACTGTTATTTGCATCTCTTTGATTGAATTTGATAGTGATAATGAAATTTTTACCAAAATTTTGACTTGATTTGTGAAGAATTAACAAAAATAATTCTTTTAAATTCAATTTATATTTTTGTATCTGCTGAAAGTGAAATTTAAAAAATTACCGTGGAGTTCAATTTTAGCTTTTTAAATTTACAAAATCGATTTGCCATATAATATAGCAATTAATTATTGATATAATAAGGAATATATTTTTGGAATGAAAATAAAAATACTGATTTTCGTACCTTAGGTTTTTGCGGCCACGCAGAGTGTGTCCGAGCACTTAATTAAAACCCTCGCTCGTACGTCCTCTCTTCCAATGTAATTCGCACCGCAGCTGGTGAGTTTGAGGACTGACTGGCGATGGCAACAAGTACGAGGTAAAGTAAAGTGTTAGGTACGTTTCCCCCACCTGTGTGTGGATGCACCTTTTGTGCAGCCAGACCTACTTTTCGCCTTTTGCGTTCGTCGCATTGGCTATAAACGATGGTCTAGCAGGTGACACAACGATTGACATGCAAATCAGTGGAGAAACGACGCGATCAAAATCAATTATTCCCATATTGCGATTTGCTAAAGAAAAATTGCAACTCGTGGGAAGAAATTTGAAAATCGTGCACCGCTTTTCTGTAATGATTTTATCAAGAAATCAGAGTTTATAAAATGGTCTCACTATTTTGCGGGAGGAAAATTCATTTGATGCTATTATTATCATCAACTTTCTGTCTTCATTCTTCTATTTTTAAACTTTTTAAAGATTTGGTTTTTATAAGTATTCATATCATATTTTATTTTTGTGCGTTCTTCATAAATCTAGTTCTATGAAAAAATGAATTCAGCTGAGATAATTTAAATGGAAAGTTCATTACCTGCATTACACGTCAAACACTTGGAATTTACTGCGATTTCCGTGCATCTTTTCTTCCCGTCGGCCACTTTCGCCTTGGAAGCCCTCGGCTTAATTTATAAATAAATACCTACTTACTTCGAGAACTGAGGTGCACAAAATAATACACTCGCACACCAGTGAGCAGGTGAACGCCTATGTTTATTTTTCGTACACATTGCTACGCTCTCAGCAATTTGGAGGTCACGCTTTAGCTCAAAGATTGCCAAAATTGTATACGCTCAGGTTGCATTTTTCAAATGAATTTTTAAATGAAGAATTTCTAAAAACTACATTTTTTACGGCACCCCGCCAAAACTCTCCCGGAGTAAACCATTATATCCATGAGACTCTAAGGAGCAGGCATGATTTATTTCTTCAGTACCTTTGTGAAGGTATGCCTCTTGGTGCTCAATTATCAAGTCGGCTGTGTGTTTAAGGTCTTACATAAGCATGTGCATACCTCTTCCGTTAAGGCAATCCTTTTCCATCGCTCGAAAAATGGATAATATGAATTTTTTTAAGAATTAAATAATTTTGATGATTGATTTGATGCACGCTTGTTGTTGTTCTTTCAAATATAACTAAACGGAGAATAACTAAATTAATTAATTAATTTTAATAATTGTATTTATTCATTTATTCTCCATTCAAATACATTGAAATACACAATATCTTACATCAAGTCAATACACAAAAATTAATATAAAACACTAAAAATACATGTTAAGAATGTGGGTTAGAGGGGTGAATGGAGAAATAATGGCACTTCGCTAGCAAACAACTTGCTAAAGCACAGCGCACAGCGCACTCCTTTTAATAACACATCGGCAGCTCGTAATATTGAATGGGGCGCTTATCTATATTTTGGAGTAGTCCAGTTTTCATAATGATATATGTATTGAATAAAAGAGTATTGGACATCAGACAGGTCTTCCAATTGATCAAAAAAAAAAAAAAAATCAAATAAAATAGAAATAAGTGGAATCGCGTCAGTTTATGGTTTCTTTGGCAGATCATGAAGTTAAGTGTGTTTGCGCGCGTGTGTGATGTAACTCTGGTGGCTATAATTTAATGCGTCATGTGTCCCGTCGCAGGAGGTAATTTGTATGCAGGCGACAAACCAACACACGGATGTGTTATGAGCAGACAGATCAACGCATTCACGGTCAGAAAGGCCATGCAAATTCATCGCGCGCACGTCGTCCGACAAAACGACGAAAGACTCCGCTGCGTTGGAATTTCAATTAAGAGATATTCCAGCGTCAAATTTTTGCGAGCTGTGCCTTTTTGGGTAAACAAAAGCTTATTGTCATATAACTTTTAATTCATTTTAGTTTTATTCCGAAATCATATAAAAGAAATGTTATTTATTCAGAAGAAAGGAATAAGAAACGTTTCAGTTTAACAATGTGATGGACAAATAAACAACAATAACAATTCTTTAAATTTATTTTAAAAAAAATATGTTTGTAACGTGCTTATTGAAAGAAAAGTGGGGGGAAAAAGGAAATCTGTTGAATCATAACATAGAATGAATGATGATAGCTCTCGTTTTAATAGACGATTATGCAATTTAGGCAGAAGGAAAAAATAAAAAAATATCTTGAACTTAACGATGTAGAGCTTTTTTCTAAAAGAAAAGCTAGGATAGTGCAGGATAAAGGAATGTATATTAAATATAATACTAAAAATAATAAACGCACTGCTCGCTGACTAATAATAATAATAATTTTTTCTGAAACTCTCCAGCATAATTACTTGTTTTTCGTTTTTCAAACGTTCTGTTATTGAAATGATTAAAAATTCTCATACCTTCTGGTGACTGGATAGTCGAGTCAAATCTAAAATTGGTTCAACATGCACTCCGCTACAGGATATGTCGAGTACCTGGTTTTTTGGTATTCAGTTGACCTTAAGGAATATAATCGCCCTAATAAAGCAGTTAGCTCCTAAATTTACATTGATATGATCGGAAACGGTTCAGAAATAATTTTTTTCAATGTAAGTACCCTAATCTCCATGTTAATTCATGCAGTTTGTTTGCGAAAAAATGAATTCATTTTTGTTAATAAGGACCAATTTGCTAATCGTTTTTACAATTTAATTTAGTATAATCAATTCCCTTCCAACTTAAGCTCTTAACCTTGACTATGCCAACTAAATCTTGTAATTGAAGACGTAGACGGTGCTAATTAGAAATTAACCACAAGCTGCACATATTTTGAGTAGCTCTGCGCTTTTAGTATTATTATTATCTCAATATTTTTTGACTAGCGGCAATGTAAAGATCCATCTTTTTGCAAGTAAGTCACATTAAAAAGAAATAATAAACATAATATCAAAATAAAATTAACAATTGGAGTAGGCGCATCTCACAAACTAACAAACTTGCCATAAAGCCGCTCCCTGTCGCCTCATCAAAAAATCTCCTGCGATACAAAATATTTTTCAATTTCTTTTTGTAATATAATGTATGCATTAATGAAGCCAAAGCAATTTTGTAACAAAAATAATCAATATAATAAATAATAAGTTAGGCAAGTTATTTCAATGCTGCAGCGTCAAATTTTCGCTTAAAGGTTTTTCCATCGATAAACGTAATTTTGAAACTCACCGAGTTCGCTGGGCTGGAAAAAGCCATCAGAGCTGCCGCTTTTTTAAACAGAGGCTTGTCATTGTTTGGCGTTATTCCTGAGGCGGCCGGTGTCGTCGTTGTTGCTGCAGCTCCCCAAAACGCGCCGCTGCCGCTTCCTCCCCAATACATTATTTTTCGTCGGCCAAGGCTCTTCCCACACGCAAATTTATTCTGCTCACTGTCCACGAGTCAATAATTCACGCTCGTGTGCCAATTTTCTTGTGTAGCTCACCGTACGAAACCAGCTGACATTTCTTAAAAAATGTTTTGAATTTTTGAATTTGTTTTCGTCTGCAAGAAATTTTGTTTTGCATTCAAACTTTTGCCAGTTAATTATTTCAGATGTATCGCGAAACCTTTGACCTCTAGTTAAGTTAGGCACCTTGTTTGCTTGAGAAATTAGTCTCTTCAAGAGGTTCCGTTTTGTGCTATATCAGCCTTTTTAAGTATCTGTTTTGGGCAGCGTCTGTTGAAGCGTACGGGCAATTTATTTTTGGGCCATTGAGTCATCTTTGTACAATATCTCATACGGAACATTATTCCAAGAAATTAACTCTTGCAAGAATGTTAAAATGAATATTATCAATTATGGCGGGCTTCAGCCATAATTCATGAGCTGTGAAATCATTTTGACAAGACTTCGTACAAAAATCAATATTTAAAAAAATACTTTTCTTTAAAATTAATAATTCTATTTTTGTGAAAAATTATTTCAAGTTGCAGCACCCACAGGTATCAGCTTCGACCGCGCACAAAATAAAGAAATATGCAGTGGCGATGAACGATTTCAATGCATTAAGCATTTTCACATAAATATCCTTTAAACTGAAAAACCAAATGACAAAATAATATTTTTCGTCCTCTCTCGACCACCGCCAAGAAATGCACACGTTCCAATTCTGAAAAAAAAATTATTATACAAAAATTAATTAAAAAAAAAAAAATTTAATTCAATTGTCAAATTTCGTGTTAAAATTGTTTTGAGTAAAAATTGTATTGAAAATAATTTTCACGAAGAAATAATTAATACGAAAGAAAAGTTTAATTATCTATTTTTGGACTAATTCCTGTCAAAATGATCATGAATTATGGCTGCAGCCAAAACATGAAGAGAAGGATATTGTTTTCTTAAACAATAAGCAACACTCAAAACCTTGAGGAAAAGCCGATTTTAAATTCAAAGCTTATATCAAAACTAAAAAACTTGAACTTCAAATCACCATGATTAATAATTTGTTTCAAAAGTTACATTAAAGGTAAAGGACAAAAAAATAAAACCTGCTAAATCTCGCCGTCTGAAAATGAACAAAAGTAGGACTAAAATTTTATGGCAAAATGCTGCTTGCACAAATATCGAAATTTGTTGTGACCAATTTTAAATTTAAAGAAGTTGACACTTAAGAAGATGATTATACAAATGAGTGAATCGGGCTTTTCCTCGTTCCACAAATTATTGTTTTTTATTAAAAATTTTTATTAAAAAAACAAATGGCTCTTTGATTTTTGAATAAAAAAACCATTTCTGCAACGAGGAAAAAGCTCGATTCACTCATTTCCACAATTTTAAATGGTTTAACTTAAAAAAGTAAAGTTATTTTACTAACCATTTCCCTTTATTTGGTAGGAAATTTGAAATTTTAACCATCATCGGTTGAAATGATTTTCGAATACAAGCAAGGAATCTAAACATTAAGTTCTTATTTTCTTCCTTCTCTCAATTCAATCATGTTCACAGTCAATCAATAAAAATATCAAGTTTAAAAATTTCGTGATAGACAGTTTTTTATGAGTCTTTGAATGAAATTGATTTTTTTTTTGTTATTATTTATTGAGCGTCTGGAGAATACAAGGTTTAATTTAAAACTAATCGCGACTTTTAAGATCAAGATTGTTTGGGGCCTCCAGTCGTGGGTTTGATGTCCCCCGAGTGGGCAGTGCCGTTGCTCTGCTGCGCAGGCTTCTTCTTGTAGACGTAAGTGTCTAGATAGAACCTGAAGAACAGAAGGAACATGTAGGCGTTCTGCGAGACGACGATCGGCACTGTAAACTTTGGGTAGTCGCAATCTCGGAATAAGAGCTGCATTGAGTGAATGATGATCATTGCAAATTGGATCTGAAATTTAAATAATTAATTATTTAATTGATTGCAGATTTCAAAATTCGAACCATTTGCATTTGAGTGATGTATTTCTTCCACCAGATATTTTGTTTGTACTGAGGGTAAAGGGACGTGATCAGATAGTACGAGTACATGACGACGTGTACAAAGCTGTTGATGAACCCAAGGAACGTACCGTGACCGCCTGAGGTCAGAAACACACAAAAGAAAGTACAATATTGGACATTGCGCTGACAAGTTTCTCATTTTTAATTTTAACTGGGTTTTATTTTCATTCAGGATTTTCCAATGCCCTCAAGATATATGTAATATAAAGGTCATTTATTCTTACCGGGGAGCCACTTGACGCCTCCCCACGAGAGCATCACCATGCCCGTGTGGTGATAGATATGCAGGTATGACGCTTGGTTCAGCTTTTTGCGCATGATAAAGAAGACCTATTGTTCAAGTTTTAAGAGAATGATACAATTAAAAAACACTAATTCATTGATTGGTCCACTTCAAATTCATACCGTGTCCACCAACTCTATCACTTTCACTAGGAAGTAGACATATGTAGCTCGGATTATCTGAAAATATTGCATTTGAAAATGACTTGCATTTCTAAATTAAATAAAAAAGATCGTACCCTATTTGTTTTTGGGTTGACTGACCAGTCGACCGGTTCGCAGGTGTAGCTATACTCTTTCCAGGCGCCGTCCCATGCCTGCAAAAGTAAAATTGATTTATTTTCCGTATTCTTAATGCAATTATGGAAAAAGGAGCGGCGCAAGGTTTTACTTCATAGAAGAGCCAGGCGCTGACAAGAACGTTGAGCAGATTGTAGACTATGATAATTCTGTCCACATTGAAGGGTTTTCTGTCTTTCATGAAATTGGGTCCCCACTTGTTTACGAACCGCAGGTAGCAGAAAAGGATGAACAGTGTTGGGAAAGGGCTTGACATCAACGGCAAGGATGCTGTCCTTGGGTCTGGAAAGACGTATGAAATTCAAGAAAATAAAATAGAATTGATAGCTTTGCAATTTCTCGTAAAGATAATTTTCATGCCAACAAGAATTTCATTGGTTATTCCAAATTACAAACTGTACGTAAATTTAACTCCAATTTTTATAAGAATTTATTTTGACTTCGTACTTTCTGAATTTGTATATTTCAAAGATTTTGAAAATTTGCATCTTTTCAGAGGGTCCTTTTTTTAATGTAGCAGCAGTATTTTTTTTTTTTTTTAAATACTTTTAAACTTTTCTGCCCCTTCAACAAGCCTATGCAAAATTTGACAGTCATTCCCACGCGCTGATGAAAAAAATTCTCACGGCACAAGCGCAATGCCCACCTGCCAATTATGCAACTTGCTTGACCCTCAAGCATCGCGTACAGAATACTTTAGCCGATATTTTTTGCAACTAATTCTTTTTCAACTTTTACCTTTTCAAGTAAAAAAAAATCAAGATGTTTAGAAGAAAAATATCCATCACTCACCACCCCACTTGTTGAAGAGGGTGTCGTATCCATTGAGGATGGACTGGAAGAATTGCGGCGCCATCGTCCAGCAGCGTGACTGCTCCTGCAGGTCCAGAAGGGACGAGTGAATACCTGCCGGTGTTCACCTTGTCCTAGCGTGACACAAAAAGAATCGCAATCACTCTCAGACACTCAAAGGCGCGAATAGGGGTTTGGAGGAAGTGCTCGTGGGATAATTTATTCCCGGTCATATTGTCGCCATCGCCGCACTCAATCAAGACTCATAATGGATTCAATTCAAGTGAGGGGTCAACATTCCCGAAACTGCCAATTTAAAAATTAAATAAACAATGTTATTCTATTTGATAATTAAAATTGGTTCTCAATATAATTTTAATAATATAAATTTTCCTCCGACCTTACCTGCCTGGAAAAATTTTGTCTACTGGAGCTCAGGGGGGAGACCGAGTTTTAGATTGCATTTGACCACCATGAAATAAATACATATTTTACATGCCAAGAGTAAACAAATCCAATTGAAAAACCAATCGACTGGCGGCTGAATTGCAACTGAGAAATTTGTGCGGGGACCTGCAACAGTTTTCCCGCGCCCCATTTCCAGCTGCCAAATTGTGATCGAGGCCAGTGACTTGCAATTAAGAGCCACACTTTCCCATACTTTAGGCAGTCGGCTCGTAAATCGATTTTCATTCAGCGTCGGAACCCTCACGGGGTAAGTTCGTTTTCTGTTTTTCATAACACCTATTTCACAAATTGCATTATTCAATATTTGTGAACAAAATCGCTGAATCAAGTGACGCCTTGGATTGATTTTCAATGTTACGGTCGCTCTCGATTCGAATGTCGCCTGTGTATAAAATGACTACTGGGTTCATGCAAACAAATCGTTTCTTCACACAGAGTGAAAATCGACTCTTGGTGAGCACCATATGATATTTTCCGTGCGTCTGCATCATTATTGTGTGCTCGACATGCAGTCACATAAAAGCTGAGCGACGGGCCTATCGTGGCCAATATATCGCGTAATATCGCTCTGACTAAGAACTGTGCTACGGCTCGGATGCCCCAAAGCCAATAATTTTGTGAGTTAAAGTACAAAATTTTAAATTCCATTGTTTTTCTTTGCATTAATTTGAAGATCAATTTTCATTTTCCATTCAATTTTTAATAATCAGAAAATTTTTATTCCTCATAAATCAACAAAGGTACAAAAAAATCTTGGAATAAGTCGCATTTATTTTGTTCACAGGTAAAATCATAAGGGATCTTTTATTTTTCTGCACAGATATATCTGAAAAAAAGTGTTACAATTTGTTTTCCGAAAATGTATTTTCTCAAAAATTCAGACCAAGGTTCACTGCAGCAGTTTTCCTATGCGGTCGCTTGACTTGCACAAAGAGTAAAAAGCAAAAAGCGAACGTGTCACGATGACTGCGTACATTTGACAGGATATTGTGTGCACTTGAATGCTTAATTTGCTGCCTCCTGACTCTAATTTCCCTTTGCAGTTGAAGCACACGAGCTAGGCATGGCGGCCCTTATTGGTAAAGTGATCGATGGCTACAATACCTTCACGTACACGTGGGCAGGTGAGATTCCTTGAATTTTAAGTTTGCTCGTGTTTTGACCGATTCCGAATTCTTGGCAGACGAGAGAACGAAGGACTGGTTTCTCGTTGGCACACCATTCATCCCCATGATGATAATTTACCTCTACCTTAAATTTATAAAGGATTGGGGCCCCAAATTCATGGAGAACAGACAACCATACGACTTGAAAAATACCCTCCTTGTATACAATATAGTGCAGGTCATTTACAGCATCTACCTGTTCTACGAGGTAAAGCCTATTTCTTGTTTCAAAAGAGAATTTTTTAATATACAAAATTTTTTAAATAATTTTTATTTCTAAACATTCATGTGACCCGAGTATTGGCAATTGATTAAATAATATTTTGTTTGGCAATATTTACATAGGCAGCGTCTGTCTGGAAAGGCTACAGTTGGATATGTGAACCAATTGACTTTTCCAATACACCCACTGCAATGCGAGTGGCTCGGGCAACCTGGCTTTACTACATGGCCAAGTACACTGAACTGCTTGACACAGTGAGATTTTATCTTGATAAATACCGGCATCAAACGTTTTTATTTTAATTTTTTAAGGTTTTCTTTGTGCTAAGGAAAAAGCAGAATCAAGTGTCATTCCTGCATTTATACCACCATTCAATGATGATTTTCTGCGGATACATTGGATCGAAATTCCTGCCTGGTGCATATAATTTGTTATTCACTACATTTCTTATTCTTGTGCATTATTCTACCGCTCAAAACAACAAATTGGAGGGTTGCATATTATTATTTTATCGAAAGGATGATACTTTTATGTTATATTGTTGTTCTTGATGGTTAAGTTTTAATTTAATTTTGAATAGGAGTTAAATGTTTTTGCTTTTTACTTTACTGATAATTATTATTAATTTCATATTTTCATGCTTCTTTCAGGCGGCCACGGCACGTTTTTGGGTCTGATTAACACGTTCGTACACATCATAATGTACTCGTATTACCTGCTGACAGCTCTGGGGCCAAATGTTCAGAAGTACTTGTGGTGGAAAAAGCACATCACCCGGATGCAGATGGTGAGCTCAAAAATCTCCCGAAGCGCCAAAGAGCAGATCAGCGGTGATTACTCCTTCGTCTGTTCCGCCACCACTGCTGACTGAGACTGTCAAACGCTTGTCGCTTTAATGCTGATTATTAAATGGCTGTGGAACAAGACTGGAAATATGGGTGTTATTATTGCCTGCCTGTCTTTGGCGACTGAGAAACTGCATACTGTCGCAGTTTTACTTGCTAACCTTGGAAATTTGCAATACTTGACGGAAAAGGGTCATTTATTCAAAAGAAAAAAATTTCAAAATAATTCCGTCTCTGTTCTTAATTTCTTCAATTATGGTTTATTTAAAAATTTACTTTTTTTATCATTAATTTTCAGTTCCAATTCTGCTTGGTTTTCCTTCATTCGCTATTGATTTTGCGGAAAGACTGCACCTATCCAAAATTTGTGGTCGCCCTACTCACGCCAAACGCCATGTTTTTCTACTTCCTTTTCAACGACTTCTACCAGTCTGCTTACAAGAAGAGAAATGCAGCAAAAGCGGCAAAACTTGCTGAAGAAAATAGGAAAACTGCATCTCAGCAAGGAGAGGAGAAAAAGGCAGAATAAAACATCTTATTTGTTGGTTAAAATTAAATGTTAAGGGTTAATAAATTTAATCCAACCCGTGAACCGCCTGTGCCATGAAGTGAAGAGATAGTAGAGCTTTAAAATGTGAAATATGTTGTTTTATTATAAACTATTAATTCTCATAATATGATTGGGACCAAAAAATAGTAGTATAATGATTAGAATATTTATCTTCAAATTTGAACATTAGAAATTTAATTTTTTTATTATTAAATTATCTGTTACAGTTTCCAAAACATGGAGATATTATCAGAAATCTCTTCAAAACCCATTATTAAACACAATACACTGTATATATAGTTTAAGAGAAATTCAAACAAACAGAATCCTCCATTGAGAGCTGTGGTATATTACAATAATTAAAATTGCTTTTGATTAATTATTATTCGCAAACATTGCCTAATATCCAAGTTTCATTGTTCGCAAATACATAATTAAGGCAACTTCAAACTAGAATACCTTTTACATAATTTTCTTTTGAGGTTTGATGTAGTTCTGCTTGAAAAATTTAGCGAACATGTAGAAGAAGATGATTGCATTGGCGCAAAGAGCCATGATGATAGCCTTAGGGTAATTGCATTCATAAACCAGTAGCTGGGCGCAGTGCACAAACACAATGCAGAATTGCACCTGAACAAAGAATTAGATTTAGTTGTTATTTTCCCCTTAACTATATTAATTTTAAATTATCTTACAAGCTGCATGGTGGTGATGTACTTTTTCCACCACAGGTACTTCTGCACTTCAGGGCCAAACGCAGCCAGAAGGTAGTATGAGTACATGACAATATGCACCACAGAGTTGATCACGCCCAGCAAGGTACCGTGACCACCTGGCAAAAAACGGCAAAAAATAAATTTTTTTTCATAATGCATCATATTGCGAAGGTGATTCTTTACCTGGAAGGTAGCGGGTACCAACCCAAGCACAAAGAGGCATTAGAGTGTGGTGGTAGAGATGCAGGAATGACACCTGTCTATCTTTCTTTCTTAGTATGAAGAAAATCTAAAAATATAAGGGCCGTTAATTACAAAAACTTCATAACGCAAAACTTTTCCATTTTATTGTTTATCAAAAATGCATTGCTTGCTTGGCTTGTGCGTCATCAAATTCTCACAATTTTTCCTATAGCAGAAATCCTAATTAAGAACTAATTGACCTCAGCAGTGATTTACTATTTTGGGAAATTAATTACTCTGAAAATAAATATAAATGCAAAATATAATGGATAAATTTACCATTAGTTGTGCGTAATCCACATATTCTAGTCTCAAAATCATCATCTAGTATGAAAAATTCAATTTTCTTTAAACTATAAATCCACAAAATTTTGCATAATTTTTGCAGGTTTATTGTTGATTATTTTACTAAAATGCAATAAGAGTTTTAATAGCCTTGCTTAGATGAACTGCCTTAGAAGTCACCATTAGTGTTCATAGATTTAATTTAATTTAATTGGATTTCAAATCTATATGCACATTCAAATTTTGTGTTTTCAAGTTGAATAAGAAATAAACAATGCACGTGGAGAAAATTAATAGCCGCGATAAGTGAAACAACTCACAGTGTCAAGGAGCTCTATGATCTTGCAGAAAAAGTAACACCAACACGCCCGTGCCATCTGAAACAATGCACAATAGCGTATTAGATGTTTGATTGTCTCTTTAGTTTATGGGATAGAAAAATACTCACCCTGAGGGCGACGGGGTCTTGCGAGTAATCCACGGGTTGGCACTTGAAGCTATAGTGGTGCAACCAACCGCCCTGAAGTCCCTGAAGGTATAATTTTAAATTACAGCTAGGTTTTTTCAACTTATTATGTTCTATTATTTTAACGTTATCTTTTAGAAAATTTGTCTTTTGTTTATCTTATGCACATACATTTTTTTAGAACATTAATTTCAATGAATTTTTTAATTATATATAATTAATATATTCATTATATTAAAGTTTAATTTTTACCTCCCAAGCAATGTAGGCACTGAAAATGACCTGAAAAGCATTGTATGCAATCATGACTTCTTTCAATTGAAAGGGCTTTTTATTTTTCATCATTTTTGGCCCAGCAATATTGCAAAAATAAAGGTATGACGCCAAAATGGTGAAAAGTATGCCAGGGCTGTCGATCAGAAACCATTCTCTTGTCCTTGGATCTGCAGAAAATTCTCGATTCAATTCTCAGTCTATAAATAATCGGAAAAAACAAACCAGCCGTCTCTTCAAGAAAGCTCTGAAAATTTTCCACGATCTCTGTCGCGTAGTTGCTCATCTTGACACCTCTTGACGTTCACCAGCAGCAACTAAAACTAGTTTCTTGTCTGAAACAAAGGAATAATACGTGATTAGCAGCGGGATTTGCGCAGCCAGATAAAAATATCTATTTTTCTCTATTCATCACTTTTTTCTAACTGAAAGACGCATTGTCATTAGAGGGCAATTTATTCTGTAGGAGATATTGACATAATTGTTTATTTTTCTATTTAGACCTAAATTAAATTTAATTTTAAAAATTAGAAGTGCCTATTTTGGTTAAAAAAAATCGCATCACTTTCAAATAATTTTTTTAAAAAACGAATCTACAATAATATAATAATCTATATTGAACCCATTTTTTTATATTATATTGCTGTTTATTTGTCCAATTGTTTCATCACATTATTTATATTCAATTTAATAAAATACTGGGCAGATCCAGATTCACAAAAATATTTATTCCTTATAGATCAACATATCATACAGAAATTATCTTTTGGAATAATAAGTCAGGTTTTAATGTTCTGATTTTAATATGTTATCATACAAGTTTCATTTTAATTCTTCAATTGTGGCAACATTTCATGTATCCCAATAAGAGAAACACAGCTTTCATGCATCTTTCTTTGAGCCACAAATTTCCCATATTTTATGCGTGACTCTAGTTCCGCGCTTAATATGAGCTTTTACCACATGCAAGCAGCAAAAAGTCTCCCACTCTCCTATCTTGATTGAATAAATTATCCTTCAACAAAAGGCATTGTGCTTTCCGACTCGCAGGTGCTGCAAACTCTGGTTATTTTCCTTTCGCTTTACTCGTCTGCCGGGTGCCGGGGATTAAGTGTAGTCGCCAGAACTTTCTGAAAAATTGATTCTTCTCATGCATTGATCTCGATCTTAATCTCGATCTTTAATTAAAGGAAACTTGGTACCTTGTCAATTTGACATAAATTATTATTGTTGTTTATTCCCGTGACGGGAATTCCGTTCATCAATCATACATTAATGCTAAATATCACAATGGGAAATGGGTAGAGGATGGTAAAAAAAATTTCGTATTAAAATGATACCCTATGCGCACTAGAATTATTTTAAAATAAAACTAATAAAAATGCTTTACAAGCAGTCAAAAAATTTGCTTCTGTTAGCAAAGTTGAGACTGCACGTTGGGCGTTAATTAACACGCTTGAATAATATTGAACAACAATTTCGGGCCTATGCTGAAATCGGCATTGAATCGTGTCGATTATTCATGCGTTGCACATCCAATTTGGGAATAATTAAGCCCGGCAGGGTGATATATTGTCCATGAGACTAATGAATGTTGAAAGTAATCATAGATGTTTAAATGAGCAATTTAAAAGCACAGCCTAAATGGCGTAATTGCAGGCCGCAAATTTTAAGGACACATATTTAAATAGTGTCCTAAAACTTGTCGATCACGCGTGTTTCGAGAATGCACACACTACCAATTTGATCGCGCCAATTACATAAAAAATAGGCACGTTCTTGGAATATCACTTTCATCGCCCGGCAACCAGAGTTAAATCTGACGAATGAATGCAATGTGCGCAACCTTATTTTTTTACGTAACGGACGTGGTCATGAACAGGAATTTCGCTCACTTCAAATGAAATAAAAAGTGCGATTTCATAATATCGATTTCAAACTATCTCAGGTCTTTTTCCCGTATTTTTTTTTCCTATTTATTTCATTTTTTCAGGAAGGGTCACTCAAAAGAAAGATTAAAAAATGATTTATTTCATTAGTTTAAATACATATATAGATTATGCTGTCCTGCCTTTTGTATCAGTCATTTTGAATTCCTAAAAACAATATCCCTAAATTTATAAAAAAAAATATTTCAGTGTTAACAAAAAGTTAAACTTTAAACATCATTATTTCATCAGATTCAGTCGATTTCACGCACAAATAATTCCAATTTTTTTGTAAAGCTATAAGATTTCATAAATTTCCAGCTTTTGGCGTTGAGTTGCAATGAAAAGGTTGGCCAATGTAAATATTTGCAGCCTTGCCAAATTTATTGCTGGTAATAAAAACCCGCAAACGAGAATTGTTGCTTTCTCATAAGAAGCAGAAAAGTTTCCGCAATGAATTTCTAGTTTGGGCATTCAATCTTAAAATGCTGCCAAATAGAGACAGAATGCTACATAACTTCTTGCCCGTCAACATAAAATATTCATCTCACGTCAGACAACAAAGATGGATGAAAATTATACGGGCCTGTGAAAAATGTGTTCGCAAAATATTTTAGTTTTCCCTCGACTCCCGCAGAAATCGTTTTAGCTTTGCCCTTTTATCCCCTGAAATAACCAATTGATCTTATAACTGGAAGTGGAAAATTTCAAGTCCAAAAGACTCTTGAAACAAAACAAACTGCATTATTATTTTTATTAATTTATTCTTCTCATCAGCCCAATACAAAACCTTTTGAAATTGAAAACTTATTTCCACGGAAGCTGATTAATCAAGCTTTTTAGATTTTAACTTATAGTGGTGTAATCTGTTAAAAATTTATTTCTGTTTATCTGTCCAAAATTGTTACATCATATAGTTTTTGTGCAATTTTTTGGAAATAATTAATTTGAAGGAAAAAAAAGTTAATTGCTGGATAAAACGGCACCTTCACTAGCAAAAATATTGTTAAAACTTTCCGAGATCATAAAGACCCCATCCGCCGCAGTGATAAAGGGAAGAAAAACTAGTCAAATGCCGATATGGGCTGAGATCACTTTATCACGCACAGAAAAAGATTAATTAATTAGAACCACTGCGGTGGAAACTTAAATAAAATAATCTTTGCCATAGTCGTGCCTTGTTTAGAACGATTCAATGTTTTTTCTCCAACAATTTGTTTTTTTCCAATATGAAATTTCTGTAACAATTTCGAATAATAATTTGCCATGCAGAGAGTCATGAAATAATACAATGAAAGATTGCAATTGAAGGTTTTATAATCTAATTGACTTTTTAAATTCTCTTTGAAATTAAATCCACCCTCAATTCAAGTGGTCATAAATTAGTCAATATTTGAAAGTGCAGAGGCAGAGGGTCCTCTCTTTTCTCCAGTTACTTTCAGAAGCGTGCAGGATAATTTGGCCCTCATTACCACCAGACTGTAAAAGCAGACTGGGGTTGCAAATCAAGGCTGGCGCGATCGTAAAATCTTTCACTCAACGTCTGGAAAATAATTCCATGCAAGAAAATAATGGCCGGCGGCTGACCCAGTAAGATCGTCGCACTCATTATGTATTTTTCGGCATGTGCACAAACGCACGTAATCCCATTGCCCCGGTGGTGCTGGCGGCGGCCTCGAGCTTGGTTTTTTACGTAACAATCAAAACTCGTCGCGAATTTTAGCTCCACTCGATCCACCACCGGCTGCACGTAGACCGCGGGGAAAAGCGGGTTTTTCAGCCTACGTGACGCTGAATGCGTTTCATAGATTTGGGCAGAGGAGCCAAGGTCGCGGTCCAGCAACAGCTCAACATTTTCCTCCTATCGCGACCTGCTGCACTTGATCCAATGCGTGCACTATGTTTCGGACTGTATGTTTCGGTCGGCCTCGTGCGATGGTGAAAAATGGTGTTTTGGATATTACGAAATTAACACACTCGCGAGCAGATGCACAGTTTGATCTCCTCAATCTCTTGCTTCGACAACTCGGAGGACGGTGACAAAATGTATTAATCAGCGCATTTTTAACAAGCATGTTTTGAAGGTTTGGCTAAAATACGCAATCTCTGGATGAATTTGATTTTTAGCTTGTTACTTGTGTTTTAGTGAGTCTTGATACTACTTGCTATTGGCTTGTAAATTTTTACGCAGAAAATTGTTGATCATAAAAAGTGGCAAAATAAATTTGGCACAGATTTTATTTCGTGTTCTCCCAAAAGCATAAGTATTTTTCTTGATAATCTATTTATTAAAGACATTTTTAGCCCATTGCCAAAGTGATCAAATGAACTGAGACGGTGAAAAACAAAACACACGTCAAAACAAAAACACATTAATTACGCTCGGTGTGCTTTTTTTTAAGGAGGTCACGATTTTTAAAATTTGATATTAGTGAGAACAAGAAAGTGCCTTTGGCTTCTTTCTGTTGTTTATTATTTACAAATGCACTTCTTGACGCATGCTAAGTTCTAAAAAAGAAATCGAACCATTTCACTTTATTTACCTAAAAAGACTGCATCTCCTTAGGATTTCGCATTTATTTAAATATTAAAAAGTCAAAAAACTAGGTCATAATTTGCGATTGAAAGTACATTAAGAGGGCTTCTATCTTTACTTTAACAAAAATTGCGCTCACATGTTTTATGAAGTAGATTTCTCATCCTGCCCTTGTTTTCTGGGCGTGAAGGATTTCCAGCAAATCTCGTGCGCTTCCATTGGTGTGCATTACTTTCAACGCATTAGATAAGCTCATGCATTATGTAGCCGCGGAAAGCGAGAGACTTTGCAATTTGGCTTTTAATTATTCTGTTCAAAGACTAGAAACAAACAGCACAGTGCCATGCAAATCATGATATTCAATTCATAAGATAAGAAAATATGCTGCTGGGCAGCCTTGGCGCTTATAATTTTTGATGCAGTGACTCTTGCACATTGAGGTTTATTTATGAATTCTCAAATAAACATGAAATTTCATCACCAGTTAAGGAAGACTGTTCTTTTTAATCCTGGGAATTCAACTAATTGGGTGCAATTAAAAATTTTGAAATGCTCATGGATTATTTTCTTATAATTTCTTTGGCCAATTCAAATTTTGAAAAGTTTACAATTAATAAAAAAATGGTACTTGTTTATACCAATTTTTTAACAATTAATGGAGAATAAATAAATGTAATGTATCAATTTCAAAGGTGCAGTAAAAAATAGTTTAAGGATGGAGAGTGCACCCTTAAAAAATGCATTACTATATTTTTAAACAAACTTGCTCAATTTAATTTAAAAATGAAAAACAATAACTCACGGTTCTAAGAGGCGAAAATTTTTAATCAGTGTTGTCCACCGAGGACTGGAGTGCGCGTGCTGCCAAGTGCAAGGTGCCCGTGGATCTAAACGCGGAGGCAGGCGGCCGCTTCCATTGCCACCTCCGTGTTGATTCACCTTGCCTAGCGCCGGAAAAATAGTTGGTTCTCTGTGATAAAAGTGGGGATTTTTGAACTTATTTCATGTAAAATAGAATAAATAAAAAAACATGAATTTCCTTAAAGTCTTATTATGCAGTTTTAATCAAAGTAAGAAAGCTTTGGATGGGTTACTTTGATCCAGATTTTTCAACGGGTTTTTCTAAATTTGAATTGCAGAAAATTTATTTCAAAATCAATTCAATTCAAAATTAAAAATCAAGTTAAAAGTAATTATAGTTAAAAATTGTGTTTATTGATCCATCACAAAGGCAATTGCTTCCTCATGTGGCATATTCAAAATTATACAGTTTAAAATAATTGATGAGAATTGTACAGTAACAAAATTTTTCGATTACAAAATAAAAACATTTCATGCAGATGACTGCCTGAAACTGCCTACTACCGCGGTATTTGTTATTTTTTTGCTCTTACTCCTGGCAAAAATCTGCAGCTCAAGTTATGGCCTCCCAATGAAGCATTTTTTTATTTTTTGGTCCCAATCAATGACGTTTTTATAAACAATGTGTAAGCAGCATCTATGAAATTTCGCATGTTCAGGAATTTCGGGGATGTTTTTTCTATGTGCGAATGAATGATGGAAGAGGAATCGAAACTGTTTGTTCATTTGATTTTTTTACCCAGAATGAATGAAATGAGATTTCCACACTTAGGTGCATTATGTGCAGCTGCTCAAGGAAACCGGTTTTGGCACGCACTAATTTTGTCGAAATTTGAAGAGCGCAACAAAACCTTAACCTTAATGCAATAATTGCTTGCTTTCTGGCATTTGTTGCACCAGCATTAGAGCGTAATTATCTCCGCGCAGTAGTTGCGCGAAGGAGAGGAAATTTAATTCAATATTTGTCGGAATGAACGGCGGAGAAAATGAGAGTGAATAATTTCATGAGAAATTTAGTGAACTTTCCCTGATTTTAAAGAAAGCAATTATTAAAAGTTCCCCTAAACTATAACCAGTACTTAGAATAAGAGATGGCCTAATTTCGGATGCATTTTTATTTCGTTTCAAGTAGTTATGCATGCACAACAAAATCGCGGCTGGTGGACATTGGTCTGCTGCATTATTTGCGTTGTGAGTCAATCATCGCTCCGTCGACAAATTTTCCGCTGTGTCATTCAGGGAAGTTTGTTGAGAAAACAAAATCACCCATCTGCAGTACTTGAAAACGAATTGTTGTGAAACCATGCAATCGCTGTCAAGCATTTGCGCGAAATCTTGTATTTAGCTGCGTATTGCGTATTTTTGTGATAAAATAGGCTTCATGTAAAACTTTCTAGGGCCGCCAGTTGCCTACCTGTTAGGAGGCAAACATATTTGTATAAAATATTAATTAAAACCTGAAAAAGTAGGTAGCTTACATTAGATCAGATCATTATCAATCATTATTATACATCTATAGATGATAATAGGTAATATTAATATGAAATTTTAAGGAATTAGAAATGATAAACAATTGTTATTAACCAATTATTTATTTATTTATTCTCCATTCAAATATAAAAAAGCAATATTTAATAAAGTTTTTTTTTAATTTTCTCTGAACCATATGAATTGTTCAATTCAATTCAATTCAATAGATTTTTATTCCATTTTAGATCATTATTATTGTTTTTTGTATTGAATCTAAGGGGTGGTGACGGTGGTGTATCAAAATACATCACTTGAAACTTGGGTTCACGCGGTGGCCGATTTCTTTTTGATGTCGGGCGTTTTAGCAGACCTCTGCTAGTTGTGATACCCTTTCTGCTCATTTTTTCCAAATCAATTTTTTTCATGTATGACTTGAGTAGAATAAACAATAACGAAATCGGAGCAGTCCATCTGCAAAATAGATAAATTCCACCACTGTGACGATGCAAGTCGGTAAATAAGGTATATATCTAGTATATTCCAGACTATGATTTTTGGGTTGGCACTACTGCATATATACTGGCTGGGTGCTACCGGTTTTTCCGGTTTATTTAGGCGGTTTTTCATAAAAAGACATAAAAAGTTGAAATGTGAAAAAATGAGGGTAGCAGAGGTCTGCTAAAGCGCCCAAAATCAAGAGGGACGCCGCCGCCAGGGTGAACCCACACTATATATTGAAAAAAGAACAATCACAAGCACTTTTAAACTGCTACTGATGCCACAAATATAGCTTGCAGATCAAAGGGAGGAGAAATTGGTGGGTCGTTCTAGGGCTTGACTATCCTCAAGGCGAAAGCACCCCGTTTTTGTTTATTCGCCACTCTGTTGTTGATCTTAAGATCTTAAGACCTAGAATATCTCACAATTTTATAATCTGTAGATTTAAGCAAATACATATCACAAGTAGATTTTTCACTCTATTATACCTGAGAATTTTTCATATATTCTAAATATTTGTGAAAATCTTCAATTCAATTCAATAGATTTTTATTCCATTTTAGATCAAATATTTACAACGATCTTTGGAATAAGTAATTATCAGTGACAAAGGAGAATGAAAAGGTTCAATGCGGCAGAGATAGGATATTTTTGATCTCCAAAGTTTTTGCTAAATCAATCATGCTACTGGTTGGTATCTTGTTTTTCCGTCATTTCAATGTTTCCCTCCCACATTAATTGTATTTCTTTCAATAATTTTTGTAGAAATGTGGAAAAAATTTTATAGTGCTCATGTGTACTTTAAGGTACAAAAACAAAATGTACAGGTACTAAATAATATCAGTTAAAAGATAGTCTAGTTAATTTTTTAATGTCCAGTGAATAAGGGGGCAGAATAAAAATTCAGAACAAATGTTTAAAAATCATATATTGTTTTTATTTTGAATGACATTATAATACATTATTAAATAGGCATAAGCAAGCGCTCAAAAATACTTATTACTTATTACATGGTGGTATTGTCGGACCTTGTATTGTGACTTAATTTAAAAAAAAAGGTGTTATGATATAGAAATTCGAGGATTTCTATTTGGGATATTTTCTAGTATATAAATTGTGCAATTCTTTAAAAGCACAAAAGTATAATATTTACAAATTCCCTGACAACATGGCATAAAATATCTTGATTTTCACATACATAGCATAGAATAAACCACATTTGGTCATGCGCAAACATCTTTTTAACTTAAACACTACTTTATTTAACACCAAAAATGGCAAGAATATTCATGAAATATATTGATTTGCCAAACATTATTATTTTATTTTATAATGAATGTCGTGTTTTACTTAAGAAGGATACGAAGTCTATTCTGCCTCACAAATTTGAGCGAAATATAGATAGATCATCTCCTATTGTAATTAGTGACAAGCTTAGTGGCAAGGAAAGTTGATGATGAAAAAGGCATAGTTATTCAATTCAATTGAATTCAGTTAAATGTTGATGACAGTGAAAAATCGTCATTAAAAAAAACTGATCAATAAATCTAATCAACAAGAAAGATAATGGTGAGGAGATGTAAAATTAAACTTCCGGGTCTCAGTACAAGGAAAGATAAAGATTTTTATGGCAAGTTTCTCAACTAGTAAGTGATCCATTACAATATATAAATTTCCGTAGTGACATTTTGAATATGAATATACTTTTGTCAAAATTATTATCAGCATCTTACTTGAGTCGCTCCCAAATTTTTTTTAAACAATCGCAAATCACAATCCAAAAAAATTTGGAATTTTCTTTTTCAAAAACTTCCTCACCCTCTGAAGGATTGAAAGAAAATGAACAAAAGCAACCACTGTTCAGTTTATTTTTAGTCGATCTTGGCGTTTGGCGAGTAACACGCTGAAACGGGAATCGAGTGTCCGTTTTTGTGGACACCGTTGCCGTTGGTGTGCACTCCGTTCTTATGAACGCCGTTTGCCTTTCCGTTGGTAGCTGCCTGCGCCCTGTACGCCTGTTGGTAGAAGTCGTAGAACAGGTAGAAGAAGATGAGCGTATTGGGCGCCAGGAAGAAGATTGCAACCTTTGGGTAGGTGCAGCTCGGCTGCAGGATCAACATTGTGTGCACCAACACCATCATGAATTGGATCTGAGGGGCAACATTTTTCAACTGTTAAGGGATTTTCTAAAATCTTAGTCACCATTTGCATCCTGGTGAGGTACCTCTTCCACCAGAGGTACTTCTGCATGTGCGGACCAAAGGCCGAAAGGAGGTAGTATGTGTACATGACCACGTGGACAAAGGAATTCAAAAGTCCGAGCATGGTACCGTGTCCACCTAGAAAAATTTGAATGTTTCTTGACTATTTATATTTTCATTACATTCGCTTCATAAGAAGAAGCTATCATCCATTTTCAATTGAACACGTTGATAGCGAGGTATTTGTTTCTAACTAAGCAAAGAGATTAAATAGATTATTTGACTTTTTTGATTATTAGTTATTAATAAATTAATTGAATAATCTAATTTCAAAACAGTCGATTTTCATGGCATATTTTCCTTACTGTAAATAAATTGACTTTCGGAAAATATGTTTATATATATGTTTTTGGATTTCTTATATTTTTTTCAACAAGCAGAATTCAATTTTATTTTGACCATAAGCTTTGTCCTTAAAACTAACCTGGCATATAGCGGGTTCCTCCCCATGAAATTCCCACCATACTAACGTGATGATACAAGTGCAGAAAAGACACCTGGTTGTTCTTCTTGCGCAGCACAAAGAAAACCTGCAAGCATTTCAACATACAACCTCAAAGCCCGTTCTTGAATAATGATAATGCAATTTATAAGTTTCATTTATGGGAAAAGGGGGATTTTCACATCCCAACTTCAGATCGCTTCTAATTGCGTGATCCATGACGTCACTCAACGTTTTTTTCTTTTCAAATCGTTGAGCGTCTGCGGCGACCGAAAACAGTTTTTTGTGCTTGGGCAATCAGGATTTTCCAATACTGACAAAAAACGGCTGGCAAATATGAATCAAAAGAAACATGACCTCGAGGAAATTACAATTAAATTTGAGCCACACCTTTTTTAATCTCATTGGGTGACGTTGTGCAGACTGTTGCGAGATGAGGAAAAAATCGTCTGCTGGATTTTTTGCAAATTTAAGCATACGTTATTGCTAAGTTGAAGGTCTTTAATTATATGATTGTTAATTAACTATGACATGAATAGCCAGACAATTTATAAATAGTTGGACGTGAGACTTTTTCCAAACTAATTTTAAATGATTTCAAATTTCAAATTAATCATTAAAATCAAGGCAAATTTAAATTACTCACCGTGTCCATCAAGTCGACGAGTTTGCAAATAAAATAAAGCCACACAGCTCTAGCCATCTGAAAATTTACAGAAAAATTTTATATGAAATTTACTACGAAATTATTTAGACGTCAAAATTTTCTTTTCCTCTGGTGCTTGAAGTGCAACACAAAAATATTTTAATCCAAGGTTTTTGTGTGTGTCTAATTGTAAAAAAAAAACATTTTAAAATGCAATTCATTATTCATTTTATTATTGGGGGATATTCACATGCTAAGTTAGTACCAGCAATTCACATACGCTTACTTAGCATGTAAATAGCCCCCATTGATTTTAATATTGTTGTATTTTTAATAGAAAAAGTATCCTTTCAATTTCGTTGTTCGTCTGTAAGCCAAAATTATAACCACAATTTAAAAAATACCGGCAGGTAAAAAAAAATTGAAATTGCAAATTCACATGTGAAATAACATACTAGAGTTTTTGCATAAAATTTCTTCCCTGTGCTGAACCGCGTCCTGCATTTAACCTTGATCATTACAAAACGAGTTTGTGGTTTATCGCTTCTTTGCTCATGCTCATGAGAACTAAAAAATTGTTCTGTTTTGTCATGCATGCACGGATTCAAAAACGCCAGAACAGAAAGTAAATTTGTCATTATCAAGCAAATGTTATAATTCAATTTAAAAATAATTATTATTGGATTAAATTAAAAGATAAATCTCGATTTTTTTTTCACCCTCATTGCAGTTGGACTTGTTGAAGTATCCAAAGGTTGGCAGGTCCAGCTGTATCCATTTGCCCAACCACCTTGCAAGCCCTGTGAATACATGAGCGAAATTATCTTAAAACAAAATGAGCTTCAAGCCTACTTCGTAGAAAATGTACGCGCTGAAAATGACTTGCGTGAAGTTGTAAAAGATGATGGTGTTGCGCAAGTCAAAGGGTTTCCTGTCCCTCATCAGCCAGGGGCCGACTCTTGTGCAGAAGGGCAGGTAGATGAAAAGTAACAAGATCGCGATAAAACCAGGTTCTTCCATCATGAACCAGTCTTTTGTTCGGTAATCTGTAAATAAAGTGTTCTTTTTATTATAAATGTTTGTTATTCACCAAGCAAGTCGCAAAAATATATAATTGACAGTTAAGCAAAAAATATTATATTAATTAATATTGAAATTAATTACTATTACTATTGTAAATGAATATCCAGAGATAATGATTACACGGAAATTTCAATTTCATTAAATTCAATCTTTACTGCTTATACGTCGTAGTTTTACTCAAGGTAGTAATTGCCCAAGGTACTAAGGGACGTTAACATTACCTTGAATTTTTTGTTAAGAAACTTTTAGAAGTATTTTTCAAATGTTGTCTATGATATGAACAAACATTGTAGATGTGCATTTGAATGCTTACATTAAACTGAGTGATACTCGGTTACAGGGTTTCTGGGTGTGATTTTCCTCGGTGGTAAGTGAAGAGGGTTATTTAAATGCTTGCCCACCCCCGCTAAATAGCTAAAGGCATTAAATCACTTAAATGTGTTATATTTTTCAATATTAGTAATTTATTACTAATTATCATTGTTTTTTCTTCACAAATTAGTCAAATGTACAGGCAAATTGAAGATACAGTTGCAATTGATATTTTTTTATTTATCACAGAGGCAATCGCTGTCCATATGGAGATACATTATTATTAATATTTATTGACTTATGAAGCGTCGCCTCGATGTAATGACTCATTGCGACGCGCCCCATTTGCAACATAGTACAAAACAAGTAGAAAAAAGGGTAAAAAAACAAGAATATTACAATTCATCAATAAGTTCAAAAAACTCTTCTTTGCTGTAAAATTAATCATAAATTCAAAGTTATTACATTCGTTCTTATTTAGAGAGAAAAATTACAAATCTTTATCATTTGCAATATAATAATACAAAATTTTATATAATATATTGTTAAATATATTTCTAATGGAATAAATTTTGATCTAATCTAATAAAACTTATGATCAAAAAGACATCGCAAGGATGTAATTAGTCCCTGCAACTATCCCAATTTGGAACATAGACAACATAAAATAAAAACAAATTTTTATAGATTGAATGATTGGAATTGAGCCATAAAAAGATCCGCGCTTAAGGAGTGCGAGAGACTTGAAATGTGCATAAGTAACAACCAATGACATACATATTATAAAAATTCAAAGGAAATTAACCTTTGTAAAAAATTTACAATTTGCCACACACTACTTGCTAGGACAGCTGTTTCAAATTATTGGAATTACTTTTTCTAGAGACAGGACAAAAATTACTATTACTTTTTTTTAAATGGGAGCATAGGGGAATAAAACAAAAGTTAAGCGAATTAAATGTTTTTAATTTAATATCATTAAATTAAAATCCATTATTAATTCATTAATTTTATAGATGTTTCTAACTTGCAATATAACAATTTTGTTAAGTTGTTGATGTAAATATATGTAATAAGAATGCGGAATAACTAAACAGGAATTAACTGTATAAAAAATATGGAACTAGGATTATTTTTTGAATTCGTTTCATAATTTTAAGTCTTGTTTGGGTTGAAGCTTAACGAGCTTTTAGACGTGGTTTTTAGTAGAAGCTCTGTCAATCTTCTAATGCCTACGTGCGATTTCACATTAAGCAAACCACCAGTTGACCTTCACTGTCATTGAGACCCACTGGTGGTACATTCTACTTCATTAGCAATTCCCTTCAATTTGTACATGGGGTCATACAAATTTCGCCCTCCTGAATGATGTGTAAAGTTTCTGAATATATTCAAAATTATTATTAAAATATGAACAGCAACGCTGTTCGTCAATTATTTAAATAAGATTTTATTTGCAATTTTACTTTCCATTCATTACAAAAGTTTAAGAAGACGGGAAACCAAATAAATCATATAAATGGAAAAAATTGTTCAATTTAGCTCTTTATTGACTTAAAAGCCGTCACTGCGATTTATTAAAAAATTTGCACGTCCAGCAACTTTCCTCTTTTTTTTACATTCAAGTGCCGTGATTCATTATTCAGCCGTTGCGCAACTTTTTCTTAGCGTAGTGGTAATTTTTACTTTTAACAACTTACCTGGGGGTATTCCTAGACCGTAGAATATCCATCTGTCCAGCGCTTCAATCATGACACCAGATTTTGACAAATTAGGACCGTAGCCCATCTGAAAAAGAAGGATGAAATTAGATGCTTGGATGAAATTAATACATTTTTTCACACACAAATAATCAATTGTGATAAAAGTCTGTGCAATTACTCAGTTACATAAATAATTTATTTCTAACTCATCTGACAATGAGTAAAACTTAAATTTCACTTGGAAAATTTTAGATATTTTACAATTAAGCAGTTAAAAACTAATAAAACTAACTTCATTGTTTTTGAAAAATTTATCGATGGGCATTTAAATTTATGGGAAGAATAAATTGTTAATTGGATTGCGACTGTTTATAAATAAATAATAAATCTGGCCTGGATCAAAACTACAGGTAATGATTTTGCACATATTTTCACATTGATAAAATCCTGTGAACCGATAAAATGTCAGACATAGAAACGCAGTTCAACCATAAATGTCTTATGCGGAAAACTCCAACCGCACTGTAGCAAAAACTTTTTTGCTAGAGTGGCCTAATATAAAAAGCGATCGAGGAGATCAATTAACGAAACCACTGACAAACACCGGTTTCCGATCTCACGCAAACTTGTGCGCGTTTCTCAAGCGCCGAAAATTAAGTTCCACCATTTCCTGTGGGGCGCTGAGAGAAAGAAAGTTTTGGCCGCCGCCGCGTGCCGTAAAATTTATTAGCGTGCTTGCTGCAAGAGAGGAAGATGAGGAGCCCAGTCGCGCGCTTTTGCAGCAGAACTTTCATTTTCGACGCCCGAAACTTGAACACACGTGGACCAGCAGCATTCGGTGTTAAAAAGGCGCCTACCACTACTAGCAGCATAATTATTTAATCCCGCTTATGCATTTAGCGGCGCGGCTAGCGCACGTTTTGCGTAGAGTTACCATCACTTGTGACCTTAATTTTGCGACCCGCGAGGCCGCGACGCAGCAACGCTGAATTTGCTATATCCATTCATAAATTCAGTAGTTATCATTTTGGCTTTATTAATTTGTTCGTTTTTTTTTCTTTTTACTGGATAAAGAATGAACGGAAAAATTAAGTTTAAAATTGATGCATTATGACTATTTCAAGAAAAGATTGATATTATTTTTTTTTCACTTAAAATAGATTTCGTCGTTAGCCAGTACGCAGATTTCCTCGAGCCGCTCCCCAGCTTTCTTGTGTTAAGTAATAAATGGTCTATTTAATAAAATGTGGTGGGACCTAGAAATTGGGATGGCTTTTTGACTGGATGCTGCAATATACAAGCAACAAACTGTTGAAAAGTCACACATTGGTAGTTATAAAAGAGTTGAACATGAAAATGCAGAGACCTTTCTTTTATAGCCCGCAATTCTATAAAATCGATTTTACAATGGAATTTCATTAAAAAATACTAATTTAATAAATTTCAAGCTTAAAGAAACTCACATTTTTTTTCTAGACTATTCAAATTGATCTTTATTGTCTAATAAGCCGTTGCCGCGTTGTCATTGCAATCATTTATAGAAATTACAAACTTGTGAATTTTTAATTTTAGATTTTTTTGCTGTTTATAAAAAGAATTGTATTTAGATGCCAAAGATTTCAATAAGTTGAATTAAAAAATACATTTTTTAATATTCTAAAAAAACATCTAATTTATAAAAACAGCCGTGCAGTTTGAAGATCATCAAGGCTGCAGTGATTGCAACAAGGCGATTGATGTATTAAAAGCATTGCAAAAAATGCCCCAAAATTACAACGCTGGATAACCTTGAATCTATATTCTTTTATTTCTCTCTAAAAAAAATCATATTCAACGCAATTAATTAACACTATCCTTAGCATCACAATAGTAACTGTTAAGTGCTACAGCACCGAACAACTAATTCTCAGAGCGTTTTATTGCAAAGCCAATATTGACCGTCTTTTTTGAGTACTTCCATTATAGTAAACACAGAAAGCCGGATGGAGTGTTTTGCAAACACATCTTGGCTCTAATGCGCCAGCAGCATGAGACACGGACAGATTATACCATTCGTGCGGTGGCAATTACTTAATGACAAAAACAATGGTGCGGGCGTGTCGCTCATAATTCGAATCTGCTACCAGAGTGACATTGTCTTGCCAGCCAGAGAGGAGGCACGCGTCGCGGCTATTATTATTTACTATCGGCACCCGCCAACAGTGTTCCTTTGTGGTATTTTGTTACAGCGGTATAATGTGAATAACGCTGACTTGCAATTCGCTGGCTCGCATAGTTGGTGAATTCAATGATTGTGCGCTCGTTAGCAGTGCAACAAAAGTGAGAATACGGCCGTTTTTATACCTCAAGCGCACCTTTTGTGCTTAAACAAGCACTTCAAGCGAACAAATGGCCAATTTAACGCCACGTTTGTTTTGCACGTTGGCTAACGCAAATAGAATAATTAAATTTGAGGTCATTATTAGCAACATTATATCGTTTATATTTAGTAATAAAATACGGAAATAAAATTATAAAATCAGCATCTTCCTTTCAACTATATGCAAAAATCTTCAATTCCAGTAAACACAAATACAACTTTTTTTAATACTTAGATAGAAAATACTAGTAAATTGAACTGAGCATGATGTATAAACTGACTTAAATATAATTTTAAAAAAATGTTATTAAAAAAAACGAGACCTGGAATGAGGCACAGTGGAACCTTTATGGGCAATTTTGAAAATGTCGGTCGAATTTCTTCATAAACAAAAGTTAAAACGTCAATTATGCCTATTGCATGCTCTATGAGCGCGTAATAAAATTTACCATTTACTATAAGGGTTAATCAGATTTCCGTCAATAGTGCCTGACAAGGAGTATAAAACATTTTTAGTCAAAAATAATAATAATTAATAATATTGTTGACGAATTGAATTGTGTTGTTAATTTGTAAACAGGTTTCACGTGTTCAGGATAATTTTAATTGTTATCAGAAGCCAAAGGAAGATACTTGCCTTGGAAAATAGTTAATCCAAAATCAGCGTCCTGAGCCAAAGCAGTCAATGTGTAGACTCCCGCTCAGATTTTTGAGAATTTTTGCAGCACGGGGTTATACAAGTGCAGCGCGCTGCACCAAGCAACCAAAATGGCGCGAGCACCTCGACAGAACTGCGGTCTGGCTTCGGAGGTGCAAGATTGCAGACTTCCCTCTCCCGCCCTTGGCTTCGGTGCGCGGCGCAAGGTGAAAATTTTGAGCATATTTTTACGCAAGAGAAATTTTTTTACTCGCACACACATGGTGGAGAGTGAGCGAGCGGCCGACCAACCAACGGCTTGTGCTTTATTTGTGTGACGTAACCCCGAAATTCGGCGATTGTACCTGTTTGACCAGGCCATCAAGATTATATAAGACCCATTCTTTCCTTGCGGGATCGGTGCTCAATTTCACTTTCAATCTGCTGCCGGGCCTTTTCTCGACTCTAGCGACGAACTAATTAATTCAGCTAATCAGGACCAAAAATAAATATTTTAACGGAATGTGTATCCTTGAGCCCTCCAATTGTGTTTTCCCCCATGTTACCGAGGATAACCTGTTGCTCATTGAACGGCCCTCACTTTTGGCATTAAGAATCGTTTGCATAAACGGTACAGTGCGTCACTGATCTAAAAAATAAAAACAAATAAATATTATTGTATTTGGGCTTCTAGTTTCTAGTTACAATAAAAGTTAATAAAGATTTTTCATCAGAGCTCATCTTATACAGAATCATATCGGCAACATTCAAATTCAGAAGCATTTGCTCATTTTATCTTAATATCTTTGGAATAAGGCACGCGTAAATTGCGCCATAGATTCAAGATTTATTGATTTTGTTAAGCATTATATACCACATAACATACATTGAATCTTGATTCAGAAGCATTTGCTCATTTTATGTTAATATCTTTGGAATAAGGCACGCGTAAATTACGCCATATATTTCATTTAATTGGCGTTTCTTTTTTCCATAAGAATTATAGATATACTCTAATTCAATTCGCTTATTCTCTCACAACAGGTCAAAGATTATTTTAGGGAAAAAAATACATTGTTGATGAGATAGGATTGCCAGCCAGACCTATAGTAAACAACTTAGTACAAAATTGAATTTGAATTTGAACTCGTAAGCTTAATTTGAAAGCAAAAGTGTTGAAATCAAATCCATCCTTTTGCAAATTCAGAACAAATTTATAATATTGTAATTTGAAGGTGTTGGGGAAAATATAGTAATTAGTGCTGCCTCCTTCAAGCAAAAGAAAAAAAACAAAAAAATTAAAATAACGTAATTATATTTAGGTTAAGTCCTCGTATAATTCAAACCTCAAGGGCAACCGAAGCTCATTTAGGCAAGTTTTGGGCAATTAAATGTCACTTAGACAACTTTGGATTTCCAGAGAGATGAACATGAAAGATAATTATGCAAATATCTGATTATTCTTTGACTGAAGTCTTTGCAATTTTTCAAGTAGCAACGATCATTTCCGCATGCTTACAAATTTTAATTGTTTTGCAGAGCAGTAGAGATCAATTATCTGAAGCCGTCGGGCGAAAGGCATTCAGCAGTGATTGTTAACCAAAGCGACCCACCGCAGCCGCCTCCTTCTTGTTGGACAGAGAAAGTTTTGGGTTTGCATATTGCGTTTCGGAGATTCTTGATCAACACTGGAGAGAGGCGATCAGCAATAAAGGTTACGCCAATATTTGAGAGCAAAGTTTATTTATGAATTCACGTTTAGCGTCTCATCATAAATTATTATTATTTTTCATTTACCAGTAGTGTGCGTTAAATGGTAAGCAGTTTCAAATTTCTAAATTTAGCACAGTAATTACGTTAAAGAAGGAGAATTTGAGCGGCGGTTTTGTCTTGGCAAAATTGGGTCAATGTGAACCAAGTGGAAGGCCCGTGGAGCGTCAGGCAAACGCACATCCTGCGCGCAGAGACTTTAAATTAAAAAACAATCTTCTACTTGCTAATGAAAAAATTTTCGTGGCAAAATTGCAGTTAATTATTTTGTCCTTTCACGTTTTTTTATGCGCGTTAAAAATCCATTTTAACACTTAAGATTACATATTTCAGAATAATGAAAAAAAAAATCATCAGAAATACTACATTAAACAAAGGTATGAGTAACAAGATTTCAATAAATAATTCGCAAAATAAAAGTAACTTAAATAGTCTTGATTTTCCCAAAGATAAGTGTTAATTTTCAAGATTTGTTAACTGCCATATGTAAGGATAGAAGATTTATTGTTTATTTATCTTATTTTGTGTGCGCTTATGAAAGCACGTCGGTTGCAAAATCAGCAGTTAGTCAATCACGTGCAAATTGTCGGGGGAATTCATTCATATTCGACATTTTGCTAATGTTTTTTGTGATTTTCTTTTAAAAATAAAACTCTTAAAAAACTTAAAACATTACACAAAAATCTCTTTTATTTATAAAGACTGTCGGAACCCAGCAAGAACAAAAATTAATTTTCTTGCATATTGCTAGTCGTTAACAAAACTTTTTTGTTACGGCGGTCGTGTTGGTCGTCCGCGCGTTTTATTATATTTGGCTGAAAATGGTCCGTGCCGCAAAACATCTAGTGTGTGTGATGAAAGCGGCTGGTGCTTGATTATAAATTCGGCTGCTAGAAATGTGTGCTAATCTGCCAGCAATCTTTCTTCCGCCAGCGGCTTACATAACATCTCATGCTCTCGCCTTCTCTCTCACTCTCGGCATTATTTTCCTTGGCGGTCCAATCGAGATTTCTATAATAGTGGGCATTTATTTTTCGCTGCAAGAGAGACGTGCAGAAATTATCAGATACAAATATCTTTTACATAATTGTGGGCTTATTGAATTACAAATCAATTCAGTATTGCTGATTTTCAATTTCAAATTTGTCGCCTTCATGGTATATTTGATATGATAATTTGATTGCTACTTGCAAAGAAACCTCTCAGAAGGATGTCGAAAAGCAAAAGTTTAGCATTTGAACTTTTTGTTTTATGATTTTGTTATTTTTTCCCATGTGACTTGATTTGTGAAGAATAAACAACAATAATAATAATAATTAAATAATAATTAATAATTAAATATTTACAGATAAAACTTTCTACTGCCGCAAATAGTTTTGGTCATAATAATCTTGGTGATGCTACGGCTGATCCAGAGTTGGCGTCCAGCTCTTCTTCAACAAATAAAAAAATTCTCTTTGCTAAAATTTAAAAAAAAATATCAATTAATTTTATTTTAAAAAAAAAATATGTTGTAAATATTTATTCTGTTTTGAATTTTCAGCTCAACTTTTAGTTAAGTTTAAAAGGTCTGTGGACGAACACACAAAAAATCTTTTTATTATAAAATAATTTTGGCAAAAAAATAAATATTCCATTTAATTTTCCTTAAACACAATTTGTTGATTTACAATTTAATATACCTGGTGCAAAATTTAAAAAATAAAACATTCTCTCTTATTTTCTCATTTACTCAAAAGTGTTAATCTCTCGGCTATAGTTTCATTTTCCACATTCTTTCTACATATTTCTAGAGTTAAAATTATATGTAACTATTTGTTCTTCTTAGATTTCTTGCTCTTTATGTGCGATTCCCCCTCTTCATTCTTTTCCTTCTTATAGCTCTTCCTGTAGAAATTTGCAAAAAGCAGTAGGAACATGCCAGAGTTGATCATGAGAACGATGACCAACGGTTTAGGGTAGTTGCACGAAGGGTGGAAAACTACGGCTGCATGAGACAACGTGAACAAAAACTGGACCTACAAATTAAAATATAGGCTTTATAAAAGGCAAAGAATTTTGATTAAAATTTACCAATTGCATGGATGTTAGATACTTTTTCCACCAAAGGTACTTTTGCATTTTGGGTCCTAGCCCGGCCAGGAAATAATAAGCATACATAATCACGTGGATCAGAGAATTGAGCAGCACAATCAAAGTTCCATGTCCATCTGAAATGAAATAATTAAATTGTGATTTCCTTCTAGTTAAACCAGTCCCAGGTATCAAAAAAAATCATTTCTATCTAGTATTTATATAGTATGCAAATTCAACCACAAGTAGATTTTCATTGATTAAAAATATCATGTACCTGGCAGATAGCGGAGCGAGCAGAAAGCCATTAACACCACTACGCCGTGGTGGTACACATGCAAGAATGTGATATGAGAGTATTTTTTGCGCAGCACAAAGAACACCTAAAAACAAAAGTCAATTGAAGTCTCAAATTTTCATTGAAGAGTAGCGGTTTCAAAAAGCAGCTCAATATTTGGAGAGGCAACGCATTGATAATTTACAATTTTTTATAAATATCCACATTTGAAATATCTACTACCAGAAACCCCGCAAAGTTTGAGATACAGAGGTATTATATTTTTTAAACCAAACCTCTAAGCGTGGTTTATTGTCTTTCATCAGTTCATCACCGTGTGCGGTTTATTTTTGTTCAAATAAAGGCATATATTTATATGTACATAATTATTTTACAAGTCTAGCCAATTCCAAACGGTGCTTAATGTGACTGGCAAGCAAGGCAAAGCCAAGCAATCCAGAGGTATAAACACATCTGCTATGAATTATTTTTATAATCCACTCACGCAGCGATAAAAAAAAATAATCAAACTAGATGATTTTAGTTGGAGTACCTAATTTCTATCAGAAGCTCACTGCAATCATTTTTCAGCTATTGCAAGCCAATGTTTTAAATTTATTTGTAAAAATTACCGTGTCCATCAACTCGACAAACTTGGAGACGAAGTAGACGTAGTGCGCTTTGGCCATCTAGATAAAATTGAGTAAAGGTCTTGTGCCAATTGGTTGAATTTTATCCATACCCTTAGGGAGTTTTTGTCGTCAGGAGCGCCGATGGGATGGCAAAAGAAGCGATAGTGGGTGCCCCACCCTCCCATGAAAGACTGCAAAAGACGTTTTGTTTACAAAAAATATTTCTATGCTCTAAAATTGTTTTCAATCAGAGTGAGTACCTCAAATGCGACGTAAGCACTGACTAGAACCATCGTCAGATTGTAACCGGCCATACTGTTCTTCAGTTGCATCGGTTCTCTGTTCTTCATGAGCAGAGGGCCGAGGAAGAGGCAGAAGATCAGATAGGCGGCAACCAGAACCACGGCGAGATTGAAATTGGTAACGGGAAACCAGTCTTTTGTTCTGGGATCTAGGAGAAAATTGTTGGAATTTTACAATATTCGGATTAAATCATGAAAAAATTTTCCAAATTATTTTTGTCTCTAAACAAAAATTTCCTTCCAAAAGGTCTGCGCTTAAGGGAGTGAAAGAGACTTGAAATGTGTATAAGTAACATAACAACCAATGACATTATTATTTATCATAAAACTTTAATTCACAGGCAAAGAACCTTTGTAAGTAAAAATTACAATTTCCCTCACACTACTGACTGGGACAGCTGATTTGATCGAAACTTTTAATGGCTCAAAATAAGAGGGGATGTGATTTTTTTTCAAGTTAAAATATTTTTCTCTTTTTCCCCAGCCGCGCGAGAAGAATAAATAATAATATTATAACATTAATAAAGTCAGTCACAGGAAAGGGCGCTCAAAATATTTTTTATATTTTTATGAATCATAATTTATCATAATCAAATCATGGGAAGTTTTCAATGTTAGACGCGATCAACTTTTCATTAAAAAAAAAAAAACGCTATCGCGGTTATGTGAGATCATTTTGGAAGTTTTTGTGTTATTTTTTTTCTTCTGAGTGGGTTTACCGCGGCGGCCGTGTCTCTTTTGATGTCGGGCGTTTTAGCAGACATCTGCTAGTTGTAAACCCTTTCTTCTCTTTTTTTCCAATTTAAAATTTTTGTATTCACTGAGAAGAATAAATAATAATAATGAGTGAGATTTAGGACTCTCTTTACTTTGTCTAATTTCGATAACTTTTAAAATGATAATTCAACTTTTTAGTTTATGCGCGAGAAGAATAAATAATAATAAAAGTTATATTGTTATTACATGTAACGAAATTAATACATTTCTATCAAATTAACAATCAATTATGGATTACAACAAAATAATTTTTATTTTTATTAATGATAAATTTTATATTTTTAGAAGAAACTAGTGTGTTCAAAAAATGCAGACGTAGAAAATAAAATACAAACCCGGTAATATTTCAAAATTTGTGTAGAAAAAGTGATCGACCCCTTGGCTCATCTTGCTGCCTTTTAAAGTCAAAAGTACCAATCGACATATAGGTTAACAGCTCCGCCGCTTCTCACAGCACCATTGGCGGCGATCCTTCCTGTAGCCCAAATCTGAAAACATACGTTGTACGTTGTACCCTAGCTAAATAATATTTTTTATCTTAATATAAGAGCCGGGAAACGAGAGAGCTGCCGGTTATCTTATCAACAAAGATTCGGCCAATATTTACATTTTTACCAAAACCCATTTTCTCGAAATATAGTGCCACAGATAAAAATGAGTCGGCATATTAGGATAAATTAAATCGATGCTTGAAATTACATAACAAGCTCTGAAATAAGGCTATGAATAGGTAGTTTTTAATTATAATTTTTGTTCTGTAGCAATTGTCGATTTTTTTTCCGCACAAAGAAAAAAAATGTAATCACGTTGTGAAATTTCTCCTCAAATAAATTGGCTAGCAATAATTTTTGTTTTTCAATCAAGAAGCAACAAAGGAAAGAAAAATCGCCGCCAAGAGAACAAATCTCTCGGCTGCTGGGAGAGAAAAAAATACCGTTCATCAGTGAAACAGTTTTTTACCTGGGTTCTCTTTCTGCAGCACTCACGCACTTCCCAGGTTGCGTAACCCTTTTCCTTCACATGCCGCCACCACGACGTTCCTCCAAACACTAGCCAGTCACGAGAGCGCTTCTCCAGAGAACAAAGTGGCCGCTCGTCATGCGCATTCCACGTGAAAAAACCCAAATCAAGAAAAGAAAAAACATTAGAGTTTGTGATACGAAACAAACGGAGCAAAAGTCGCGTGCTTTTCCCATTCACAGCGTCCGGGAGGGGTGAAATAATTTTCCGTTTGTTCCGACGGGGAGAAAAATGAAATAAGCGCGAGATAAGTATTATGTGTGTTTCAATACAATATAAGCAAATGCGGCGGAAAGTGGCGCAGTTATATCTGCCGTGGGTGCGTGTTGTGGCGCTCTGTATGTAATTTGGCTGCCGCCGCGGCCCCCGCGGGATCGATACCAGTTTAATTTATTTAGCCGCGCGCGGGTCGAATTAAATTCTATGATTACGTGCATAATTCAAGATCACCACTTTTCGCCAGCCGACGCGCTCACTCTGCAGCTGAATTATGTACAGGATATGGTCCCTTGGTGGGCCGCTGAATAAGGCATGAGCTGGAAGGGATGCGTGCACTATGATTTTTCTCCATTGTATTGATTTTCTGTCGAAACCACAAGAATAATATACACCAAAATTAGAATCTTAAAAATATAATAAAGAATCAGAGATTATTATTGTTGCTTATTAGTCCAAATTGTTACATACAATTTTTGAAAGAAAAAAAATTATCTAAAAAAAGGAATTGTTGGACAAAACGGCACCACCACTAGCAAGAATTTTGAAGATCAAAACTGAATTCAAATATCCTTGTGGAATAACAAAATCTTCCGCTTGCTAAATTATATTAATTATTATTAATTTTGTATTTGTGAGTAATTGTCTTGAGATATTTATTCGATTTATGTGATGCATCAGATATAAGATGCATTGCATTATATGTGTTATTTATATTAAAAAACTGAAATAGAGCTGAATAGAATTGTTTGCTTTGCAAAATATTAGAAATTGAATCGAATACTCTGATTGAATTGCAAATTATATCGTTTCTAATGCACCTGTAGAGATCTGTAAAATTTACAAACAAAAGGAAATTCTTTGGACCAAAGGGCACCACCATTAGCAAAAATTAAGACAAAACTTACAAGCGTTCAAGATAAAAAAAAGTCCGCATGCACAGCTGTGAGCCTCAGTTGTTTTGATTTTATATTATAACAAAAATAATATTATTAAATATTTATTGCGTGTACAACGTGATATTTTATATTTTAAATATTAAATATTTATCAAAAATAATTATTGAGATTCCAAATTGCAATCAAAAACTTAATAGGTAATAATTCATAAATTTACCATCTAAATGGAGATATTCATGAAATCGGTCGTAACAGTTTAATTTCCGTTTGCCCTAAATCATTTTCACGGCTTTTAGAACAACATTTAAAGAATGTTAATATTTCCTTTGCTTTATATAACTTAGGAGTCAAATCTTGTATTAAAAATTACCATTAAGAATTTTGTTTAAGACATTTCAAAGTGAAATGTCAGGCATTAGCTACACTGTAGCCGCGTTAGATCCCTCCAAACGCAACTAGCTACTGAGCCCCAGCGCCTAGCCAGGGAAAAATTTGTTTTTAATTAGGAATTAGTGTTCTCTGGCTAAATAAATGGGTGAGTTGCGTGTGTGTGTAATTCAGTTCATCGACAAATATAATTTTTTTATTTTTTATTTAACTTCACATTTTCTTTATTTTGAAATTCCTCTTAATAGCGAGTCCCGTTGCATAATAGTGATAAAAACTGCAGAAAAAACTTTGAATGCAGAAATTTAGTACAATTAAACTGTGAATAGCAAAGAAAGAAAAATTTAAAAAAAAAATGTTTATTAAAATAAAAGTTATAAGTTTTGAAGATGAATTATTATTTTTAAATTCAAATTGCTGTGTGAAGTTTATAAAACGAAGTTTCTTAAACACTGGATAGCTTCAATAATTTGACCATTTTAGAAGACCAAGAGTCTTATGTAAAAATCGGTTTAAAATAAAAAGTATTTTTATTTTTTAGAACGATTCTCAAGTTGTCAATTAGAATTCGCGAAAAACTTTCCAGTACAATCAAAATTTTAAAATTTTCCTGCTCTTTGCGAAATTGGAAAAATTGTCCAAGTTTTTATTACCAAACGACCAGAATTTCCATCAACGCAGCCAAGTTGGGCGTAATTACGGGTGATTTCGGTGTATGTGTGTGTGAAAAAGGGCGAGGCGCGCACACCAGCCAGCCATTTTTAGAAAGCTGCTCTCCATCAAGTGTTATTGAATAGGCCCCGGCACCACATTAGGAGGGCACCGCGGGTAGGCAGCCTGGTGTGCGCGGCCGTGTTGCGGGTGGCGTGCGTGCGATTTCGGCAGGCGCTCCCCGACCCCCGCGCTGCTGTCCGACGCCCTGTTCCGAGCCGGACCATTACTTCTAATTGGGCTGGAATTATTTAGCGTCGCAAACCAGCCCGTTTGTCCCGCATGAACTTGTGCTTAATGATCGCGGCAATAACGATATTGTCGCTCCGCAGACTGAAACACCCACCGGAAATCGTAAAACGGCAACACTGCCTGCGAATTCGCTCACCCCTTTTGACCCAAAATCCAGACAAAAAGTGGCCACTTTTATTTTTCACCCAGTTTGATTAGCGAAAATTGAGCAAAATTTGCTTTTTTTAAAAAAAAAATGTAAATTGCATCAAGATTGAAAATTGGAAGGTAAAGCAAAATGCAAATTCATGAATTCTCATATATCATGTATCAAAGTTAAAAAAAAAACACAATTTTCAAAGAAAACACAAGTTTCAAGGAATCATACAATTTTGATGGTTTCAATTTTTTTAGGGGGAGGGGGGTCTTTTTTGGAGCCCATAAAATGTTAAAGTTCACCGTGACCTAGCCCTCGAGCGGCGGGCGCAGCACCTACGCCAAGTGTCTGCGCCGGATCAGCTGTTCCCCAGACAGAGGGGCAAAAATCAATGGCACTCGGTCGGTGTGTTTTTTACGCGAGTCTGGCCGTGTTGTGGGTTGCGTTCGGCAGGGGCATAATGAGCGGGACGTGAGCACCGACTGCAGGCCCGGACACGAGGATGGCGCCCACCGAGTGCTCCATGAGCTTCACCGAGTCCGAGCACGGCAACTCGATGCTCGAGAAGCTGCGGAGTCAGCGCGAGGAGGGCCGCTTCTGCGACGTCACCCTCTACGTTGAGGGACGCAGCTTCAGGTGAAAGCCACCCCTCCAAGGGCCGCGCCGGGCCGCGACACTCCGACGAACTGCCAAAATCCATTTTTGTTTGACCCTTCCATCATTTCAATTGATCGCAGCGTGGGCGATCGCTCTCGACTCACTTGAGCATTAATTTTTCGTCAAAATCAAAACATTATAAACTATCCCATTTTTTTTTTCATTTTGGGATTTTTAAAAACAACCATTCATTCATAATTACTTAAACTAAATTCCCTAAACTTATATATGAATTATGATAAAAATAACTAATTAAATTAGATACCAAATTCGTTTTTATTTTTAAAATTCTTAATATAATGCATATTGTTTTTCTAAGTTGTGATAAGAAATTTGAATGTGGGTTTAATGGGTTCAAATTTTAAAATAATAATAAAATAAATAACTAGCTGCATGGAACTTGTGTAAAGGTTTTGAACAAAAAATCGATCAAAAAATATACTCTGGGTTTGGTCTAATAATTTTCATTATTTATATATTAATAAACAATGTGATGTTTTAATTGGATAAATAAACAACAATAAATCAGTCTTCTCTTGACCACCGCCGAGAAAGCTCAAAATGAATTATGGCTGCCGACTTTAAATTCAAATCACCAACAATAATTCAATTTTTGCTTGTGTATTTTAAGTCAATTCATTTATTTATTCAACCTGATCCAAACAATTAATTTGTATGTTCACTTAATTGTCCCTCGCGCGTCAGGTACATTTTATTGTTTTATTTTAGATTCGATTTTTCAACAAAATGCATGTTTTTACTTGAAATTTATGTTATTAAAAATTATCTCCTTGTTATTTTTGCCATTTTAAATATTTCTTTATTAACAATTTTTATTTTTTTGGAAATTACATTTTTTATAAAATCCAATTGGTGAATTATATTCTCAGGGCACACCGCAGCGTTCTAGCCTCATGCTCACCGTACTTTGACTCAATCCTGAAGATGCACCGCGTGGTTAAGGAGCGACTGACGGTGACGTGCCAGAACTCAGAGGTGTTTCACTGCCTGATTAACTACATGTACACGGGAATCGTGCTGATCAACGAGGCCAACGTAGCCGAGATGCTGCGACTGGCCAACCACTTCCTCGTCTCCAAGCTCAAGACGCACTGCGAGGAGTTCCTCGACAAGAACCTCAGGCTGGATAACTGCTTGCAGACCAGGCACCTGGCCGACAAATACGACATGACTGATTTGATACGAAACGTAGCAATATTCGTTAGAGCTCACGTTCACCAGATAGTCAAGCAACAAGACTTTTTACAATTCTCCTCAAACCAAATCCAAGACTTTTTATCTGATAAGGTTAGATAAATTAATTAATACTTGTTTTTACTAATTTTAATTTATAAAATCGTGTTGCTGTTACATAAAAATAATTTTTTTTTTAACATTTCTGATGCAAATTGCCAAAATATTAACATTTTGTGCAGACTTTGGAGCTAGACGTGTTGACCTTACTGGATGTTGCCTGCTGCTGGATCAGCCACGACCTGACAACGAGGGAATCCATATTCCCAACCCTGCTAGAAATAGTCGCCGATTGGAGTGGCCTCAGCGAGGAGCAGGTCAAAGGTCACCTCGACTCGCAGGCCCTCTACGCCAGCAGCACCGAGTGCCTGAACGCGGTGCTCGAGAACCTGGTGCGCGCCGAGAGGCTGCCACCGCAATACCGACCCACCTACGACGCCCTCAACAACAAAGTGAGTGCCTCTCCAGCAGGCTAATCTGCGTGGATGGCGCCGCGTCATTGTCTTGCCGTAGATAAATCAACGCCTTGAATGTTTATCACGATCTTTTGTGAGAAAACCAATAATATCCAGGCCCGATTTTTTTAATTGTTAAGCCACCAAAAAGAAAAATTTTAAAAATAACTTTTGCAACTCGTATTTCACTCTGATTTGTCTAAACCAATAATTTAGGACGATTATAAAATTTATTTATGTTTGTGTACCACTTTTTTTTGTCCATTTTTCGGAAAATTTATGAAAAAAATATTGGACCAACAGGAAATTGTATAGAGAAGCACTGATTCTAAAATCTGTAGAATTTATCTTTTTGTGTCAGAAAGGGTAAAATATAATTAAGGTAAAATATAATTTGCACCCACAGGAAACAGCAACCGTAGAGCCCGAAGAACCCCCTCAAGATGACGCTCAAGAATTTAGTGATGACCACATCCTGCTGGGCTTGCACGAGCCGCTCAGCGACTCAATTAGAAACGGTCTCACTTTTACTAAAATTTTGACTTAACAAATAACATTTAAACTTTAGAAGAAAGGCCTAAGCACAAGCGAAAATCGAGCACAATCGCTCACCTGTGGAGAACGCCTTCGGCCCGACTGCAGGCCCTACGAAAAATACATGGGAAAATGCAGGCTCTTCAGTCCCTGGATGAAGCTGATCTGAGTCCAGGCTCGACTCATCAGGACGACGCCTGCACCGAGACGATGGCCACTGACAACGGTCAAGACGACGACGAAGTTTTTAGGTAACTTCAACAATAAATTTGAAAAAATAGCATTTTTATATTCTGCTCAGGTGTCACTTGTGCGAGTTTTCAACTTTTTCCGTGACTGAACTGGAGCAGCACGCAGCCACAGTTCACGCTCACGATGTGCGATACAAGTGCAACATTTGCGAGTTCGCATGCAACTTCAACAAGGACTACTACTCACATATGAGGGAACACTTTCCTGGCCCGCCCTTCGCATGTGATAATTGTAAAAAAAAAAATGAGCTTAATTTCAAAGAATATCCACATTAAAATATTCACTGGAGATTTTAAGACTTTTGAATATTGAATTGGTTGCAGGTGAATACAGATGCGACCGCATCCACCAGGTCTTATCCCACCGGTTGCAGCACTCGGACGAGAAACCTTTTTGCTGCCACGAGTGCGGCTTCAAGTGTCGCACCAAACCCAACCTGACGCAGCACCAAAGGTCTCACACCGGACAGAGACCGTTCACTTGTAATTTGAAGTACGTAGCTGCTGGAATTTGCAAAACATATTTTTGAAACTAACAGGTGAAGCGTGTGGCCGCTCTTTCGGCATGAAATCGACGCTGGAGCAACACCTGGCCACTCACAGCAGCGACAGGCCCTACCTGTGTGACACGTGCGGCTTCTCGACCAAGTATCTCAGCCACCTAATTGCTCATAAAAGAATACATACAGGTAGATGAAGTCTAATAATTTTTCTATTTAATTTAATTATTGTATGATTGTAATGATTCAATTAAATTCATTCTCTTGGTTTTTTTAATGAGTTATCCATTATTCATTGGAAATCATGTCATCTCCACATTTTTATTTTTATCAAAATTTTAAATATTTTGCTAACAGGGGAGGTGCATAAGTGCTCGTACCCACAGTGTCGGTATACAACCCCTAAGCGATCGCAACTAGGCTCGCACATGCGGACGCACATGGGGGTGCGGCCACACACGTGCTCCACGTGTGGCCGCGGTTTCCTCGAGAAGAGTCACCTTGTCCGCCACGAACGCATCCACCTTGAGGACAAGCCGTTTAAGTGCTCGCAGTGCGACTACGCTAGTTCCAGGCGCGACAAACTGAAGGAGCACTTCAACCGACACCACGGCCAGAACGCCTCGGCCAAGGTGCCCTACAGGCCACGGCCGCCGCGCACCAGACTTGCCAAGGTAAGTTAATGAATACAATAGCAAGTCTTTGCAAGTCGGGCAGGTTGCATAAGTATTTGCTTGCAGGCGTTTTATTCTCTGGATGACCATTGTGGCTAAAATAATTTTTTACATCTAAATATTTTTATCCGCGAAGTCAAGAAAAAATCCAATGTAACAAAATATTTTATGATAATTAAAAAAAAAATCATTTAAAATTAAAATAAAGTGAAAAAAATTGGTGCCTCATCTGATATCCATTTTTATTGTAGGTATTTTTATTTTTTTTTTATTTTAGGGTCAGGCCAAGACAAAGTCTTGTCGTCCTGTGCCCTTTATTGGTGGTACAGAAGGCACCACCCAATTAATTTTTTTTTAATTTTTGTTTTTGGGTTCAACTTTATTTAAAAAATCATCATTTTTTGCTGGCATATCCTTAATTTTGGTCCACGCGATGATGACATAATTTTGTATATTCTCTGAGTTCTTTTAGCCATTGGGGAATATCTAAAAAGGAGCAATATGACCAATAATGAGAGATTTTTTTATCTTTTATACTAATGGAATTATTTTTCTAATCATTCTGGACAATCAAAATTGAACGAGCCTGACGCCAAAAGAGGCGAAATTTTCCTCCATCGTCATTGCGGACACTCGATTTATTTGCAAGCATATTTTGATGAATTTCAGATGGATGAGCTTGAGCTGCTGTTGGGGGCGACCGGTCCGTCAGGTCTTCCCCAGTTTCCCTCGTTCGAGCACCTCAAGCCCGGAGGCAAGCAGGTGGAGCAGCTCAAAGGAGGATCTTTGCATGCCCTTCCAATGATGGGATTCGGCCAGCAGGCGTTCATCGAACCCATCAGGCCAATGATGGGCCCGGGACTGGGCTTAGCCCAAGGCAGCCTCGTCGACTATAGCCTGCAGGCATGCATGCCCCTATTTTAGACAAAGACTGTACACGTTTTCAATCCGCTTCGATCGTCTTCACCGTAGTCCAAGTTGTGCAAAGGAACCAATGACTTAAATTTAGCGGCTTGCGGTTTTATCAAGGTATTTGCCAGACGACTATAATTGTAAAATCGCGCACGACTTCTCTCTTCGCTGTTGGCCAAAAGGGATCCACAAAATAATTCTCTTAGTGCAATCTGATAGAGGCACCAAAAAACATAAACAGCGTCAGCGTGGCAATTGATTTATTTGTTCTTTGAATTTTAGGTGTTTATATACATTTAATAAAGCATAACTCATGGGGCGGGCCAACATGCAGAAGAGAAAAATTGCATTTACATTGCATTCCATTTAGATGAGGTTTTGAAAAGTTGCTCTACTCTGATGCAATAAAGGATAAATATTATAATGTCGTTCAAAGTAATACAAAATTTGTTAAAGACAAAACTCAAATCTTCTTGTAGCAATTAAAAAAAACACACACAATTTCACGTGATCAATACATACCAATGGATTTCATATTGAAATGAAAATTCACCGGCTTATTCCACATGTTACTTTTTGCTTGACTAAAATGAATCTAGTTGCGCACTGTTTGATTCTCTCGCTCTTTGTAACTTTGCTTCTTGATTATTCACTAACTGTGACATCGCTAAGCATAAAAATGTTGAATTCTCCTCCTTGACCAAAACTGTTGAAATAAAAATAGGTTCAATAATATTATATACAATATCAAAACAGGCAAAAATACCACATATGCATACATTTCGCGATTCTAAAAAAAGAGAACAAAAGATTTTGCTCAAAAGGCTTTTGAATAACGAAGTTTTATGTGCATTTTTAATACTACCTAGTGTCTGTGTTTTAATTATTGTAAAAGCAGCACAAACCTTAAGAGCCAATTATGATTTATTCTGCTCCCAAAAGTGCACAAATTTCACGTTTTAAGTGTCTCGGGTACAATTATTGTGCGGGTCACGCTTTCGTATTTCACATTTGCATAAAAAAGTTGTGACTTTTTGGAGTGCCGCGAGGGTTTTGGTATAAAATGTGTGTTATAATGTGTTTGGTTTTGGACAGATTTGAGGTGAAAAATCTATTGATTGATCATGCCCAAAATTGCATGCATAAACCGCTTAAAGGGGGAAAAATGAAATAACATTTTCCAAGTCGCTTTTAGGAATATAAAATGTATCATTGAATTTTCACGCATTTTTATCAACGCTGAGAAGAAGCAGTTTTGAAATTTCACTAGTTTTTTTTAACTGAGGTGTTGCATTGATTCTTGAAAATATTTCACCATATAAAGCAGTAGCAGTATCATTTTTGATATGCTAATTTTGCAAATCGGTGTTCTAGTATTGTGAATTGTTTATCCTTTTCAATAAATTAAAAATTGACATACTCTTCTCTCAAAATCTAGAAGCAATTTGCACTAAAATCCTGGTACTTCCTCTTTCGCTATGATAATTTTGCGAAGCTGAATATTAGAATTGGGAAGGCATAAGGCAAGACGAACTCAAGAAGTGGCTGTAATGGAAAGTGATATGAACTTAAAATATTGTGATTCAATAGAGATGTAGCAGACTTGGCTTTACTTGGCATGAGGGTAATTTTCCATACTCACACACGTTTCTCACACACAATAATTATTATGAATCGTTGCAGCTTAAAATTAGACTATCGTTATTTTCAGTGTCAATTTTTATCCAAACTTTTGCTGATGAATGGTATCCAAGATTAATTAAAAAAGCGGCACTTTTCTCGTGTGTCTTTGGGCCATTTTGCAAAAGTGAAATGTGCTTCGTCTACATAATTATTATTAAAGCAAAATCAATTGATTACATATTATGAAAAAATTCACTTAAGATTATTATTGTTAACAAAAATAAATACCTTAAATAGTGTCTTTCAATATTTAAAGCATATTTAAATAATTAAAAAAGTTTTCAGGATACAGGATTATATTATTAACAATAAGATATCATCTCATCTGCTGTGTAAGTTTCTATTTGCAATAAATGTGTTCTTGAAATAATAAATTCAATTAACAATTACGAAATTTCAGTAATTTTTATTTCAAAACTTTTATTCGTCACCTTAAATTTTGTGTTTGTTTATTCTACTCAATGTAATTAAAAAAAATGTTTCTTACTTCAATTCTGCTTCAATTCAAATAGTCCTTCAAAGTTATTTAACTTCTCGAAAAAACATTATTTTTTTTATGCATAGCTGCAATTATTTTTACAAAACTAACTTTATTAAGTTAGTCCCTCAAGCAATTTTCCCTCCCTTTGCAAAGAGTATTTGTGGCAGTAATTGAAGATTGAAGATTTTAAAGTGTTTGTGATATCGTTCTTTTTTTTCGATAGTGTGGGTTTACCGCGGCGGCCGTGTCTCTTTTGATGTCGGGCGTTTTAGCAGACATCTGCTAGTTTTAAACCCTTTCTTCTCTTTTTTTCTCCAATTTAAAAATTTTTGTACAGACCGAGAAGAATAAATAATAATAAATAACATATTAATATCTGATGCAAATAGCAGCAAATATGAAATGAGTTTATCTGAAGAGGCTAAGTGTATTATATAACCTGTATATTTATAAGTTATACATAAAAAGTAATATAATAAAATTCTTATTACTCGAATGCTGTGTTTTGTATACAAGCATACAGGACTTCTTCTCGCAAGAGGCTTTTCCCTCCCTTGCATTCCGTCTCAACCGGTAGTTCCAAGCATCACTCATAGATGGCACAATTAGTAGTAGTGAGCGCAGACATGGCGTACTGGAACGGTGAGTGTATTGTTTATATCACGACAAATTCGCCGAAAATCGACATTAACACGCGTCGGCCTTGCTGAATTCGGTAGCCGGGGAAATTTTCGGGTCCATATTATCATATGGTGCGATTAGGTTTTTCCAATCAAGGGCGGGGCGATCTGCAAGAGAGGGATGAGCAAGGCAGCACCATCGCCCCTCAAACTCGCAGGCTATTTTTGAATACACAGTCGAGCCGGAATTCTCCAAGTGATCACGTCTCTTGATTAATTTCACACTCTTGTTCGAACCCCACTGGAATCGGCGATTCAGCAACCGACACATTACGACTTCGTGTCGCTTGCAAAGTTCAAAAATATGCGCCTGCAGTCTCGAGTCTAACCTAGGTGGACTTAGCCTCTCGCTCCTAACGACCTGCGAAGCTCACGCCTGAGGTAAATTTTTTATATTTAACGTAAAATGCATAATATTATGATGAGCCCAATGCTCATAATCGAAGTTAATACAGGTAATTTTTTACTTTGCCTTAAGTTGTGACCTTATTAATTTTCTGATTTTTACTTGGTTAATTCTTTCTTTATTGCATTATTGACGATAGATTCAATAGTGCCATTTTTTTCGTTATAAAAAAAGAAACTTTAGAAGAGGACTATAATTCTTGATTTTTTTTTTAAATTTTAATAAAATTTATTTATTTTAATTTTTTTTTAAATATCAGAAATACGAAGAAGCTGCTCAACATTTTGACATCAAATATTAATAATAATTATTATTATTATTAATAATTATTAATTGCTTGGATCAGGCTCTTATGAGAAAGTTAATTTGTTTTCAATATTGACACTTCGCCTGTGAAGTGTCAACACAATTCTCTCTTCTAATCTTGGTTGATCTTATAATTCAAGCGAGTATTTTGCGATAAATTTTTTTTTTGTAAATATCTCAAAATAACATATTTGCAAATTTATTTTTCTGATTTTCTTCCACAGTTTATAATTAGTAATTTAAAATTATTGTTACACGGAATTCAAGTTAATTTGCTTATCTCAGGAATTTTAATTGGTCATTGCATTGAAGTGATTGTTAATGAATTGCCGCTTATCAATGGCCAATTGTTCACGGCAGGTCCACTTAAGATAAAATTTTTGCCACTTGCCTTATGTTAAAAGATCAATTGTGGCGAAAACAATTCATAAATTGACACAAAATGCCTTATTAAATTTTCATGTAACTTAGAAAAGTGTCTCAATTTTTCAAACTCCTTCACTGAGCTAAAATACTTATTAAATGTAAAAGGTGGTCTAATTATGCCTGTCTGAAGAAGTTGACACTCGAAGAGATGATCATGGAAATGAAGAGATCGGGCTTTTCCTCGTTGCAAAAAATTGTTTTTATTAAAAAACAAACGGCTTTGTTTTTGAATAAAAACAATTTTTACAATGAGGTAAAGGCCGATCTCTTCATTTCCATAATTTGTCATCTAAAATCTTGTTTTATAATAATTTTGAGCTAATAAAAATTAAGCAAATTAAAAAAAATGGAATTCCAGCACCCCCCATTTTCGTTTTCCTTCTCTTTACTAGAAAAAAAATCGCTTTTTATTTTTTATTTTATCGATTTTGATACACCTTGGCCTTCTCCGCGGAATTTCTCATAAGTGTGAGCCCAGGCGTATTTTCCATTCATGGCTTTTCCTTCTTGCTCCTCAAGCAAGTGGGACTGGAAACGGTCGGGGGGGGGGGGGGGTGTTGAGTGAGTGTCTGGTCGGCGAAAGCCAAGAAGTGTCCCATGTTGTGTGGCACACGCACCCGACCGACTGACGGTGGTCCTTGATTCGAGAGAAGAACTCTAGTGGACCACTATTCGCTGGCAGAGAGAGAGAGAGAGTCGCACCCGAAATAGCCCTCCCTAGCCTGTGAGATCGCGCACTGGCTTGAATTCCATCCGCGTTACATTTAGCGCCCAATACACTTTGCGCGCTGCGAGTCCAAAAACCGACCGCCGACAAATCGGCAAGTCAAGTTTTTCATTTATTTTTAATTCATGTTGCATTGATTTGAATTAAATTAAAATAAAAATAAAGAAGTTCTCAGTCAATGTAGAGGTCAGGTGGTAATTTATAAGAACAGCTTGGAAGTTTGCATTAACCCTATTATTTATTTATTTAGTCTCCATTCCCAAAAAGTACATTGTACAGGAAAGCGGAATCATGCATCAACACACAAAAATTCTGGAAAATACATCAATTGATAATTTATTTAATTTTTAAATCAACTTGTTAAATTTCAATATTGCGAGTTCTTTTCAAGTTGGCTTGTCAAATAATTCTCATTTTACTCAATTTTTCCTTCAATATCTTCAATTAATTTATTTCCCCCCGAATCAAGTCAATAAATTTTATTGGTTGGTGCTACAGTTAACAGCTCACTGAAACTAGTATATTAATTAATCAAGAGGCAATAAATACCCGGCATACTAATCTCTACAATACGAAAAAATATTCAATTGGTCTAATTTGCACAATGTTTGAAAATTATTCGGCTCACACAAGGAGTTCCTTTGGTTTGCGAGGCCGAGGTCAATGCGCACTTTAAGAGTAATAAATTGATGAAATTATTTAAATTTGAATAATTCAGGAGAAATTAAGCTACATAATCGTCATCTCTCTAAATAAGTTGCTTCAAAGCGGGCTTACAAATAAATTATTTTGGAACTAATTTTCTTTCTTGATTTTTCTAATTTTATTTAAAAAAAGAAATTAAAGCCATAAGACAACCATTTTACTGAATCTCTGCAAGTAAATTTGCTCACTCAGTCAAGATATCCACCCTGGCACACATAATCCGTAAATCCAGATAAGAAGAAATTTTGCAACAGCGAGGCGTGTTTTGGCTGGGATTACGAGATAAGGTGCTTCAGCATGTATGTGAGCGAGAACAGCATGAAAGCGATATGATCCGTGCAAAAGGGCTCAGTCGCTCTTCCACGACAGTGTCGCAGGGAAAATGAGTCTGGGATTGAAAGGGGTCTTCGTATCGCACGGAAAATCCCCACTTTCCACCTGAATAATATCCTTTGTGAATAATTTTTGCATGCAGAGAACCTTTCTGGCATTGATTTCAATTTCAACTCTGCGTCAAAATTTAGTTTAATTTTTACTTAGGCCACGCGAAGAAACAAACATATATTATCTGTGATTTTTAGCATTTTTAATTTTTATGTGAGCATTTTTTGCAACACACCACACCAATGAATGGAAAAATACCCGGGGATATTATGCAAATATTCTTTGTAAAAGTTAATGAAAAAATGAAGGATTGAATTTAAAAAATAAAATAATAATATTTTAATAATAATATTTCAAGATTTAATATTTTAATAAAAGTTATTCAAAACGATGCACAGCATGAAAATTGAATTAAAATTCAAAAGTTAGCTAAATAGATGCTTATTTTGACCCCAGCGATTTTGCGTCTTTCTCACACACCTTTCGTCAATTCAGAACAACGTCTGCTCCCGCGGCGCCAAGAATGTAAAGTGCAGAGAATTGCAGCGCAATAATCGGCTGGCCCAGTTTTCTCGGCAAAAACTCCAATCAATAATCGCTCAAGAGAGGTTGAAATAATGAAATGTGCGCGTGTTTTGAGAGTTTGTTGTGCATAAATATAGAGCCAAGCGTGCGATTTAACTTGTCTTGGTTAGCAAACAACCCGAGAAAACCCCTTGAGCAAATCGACCGGGTTACTCGACACTTTGATAATTGCCCAATTGCGCGAATGCAAATTTCCGCAGCGGCGGACAATTGAAGTGGAGCTGCTTTGAACGCCAGCCAAAGAAGAAGCAACCGCGCTTCGTGACGTCACGCTTGTTTTTGTCTCTCGCTCAAAATTCGTGTCCAAAGCAGAGTCGTGCATTTGAATAATTTTACCAAACAATGCTCTTCTTGGTTTTGCCTCTCAGCGACCGGCTTGTGCTTACTGACCCTGTCGTGACGCGACCTTAAATTATTCAAGACGTTCGACGGGCGCCTCTGCTCTAGTCTGGCGACATCCTCTCATTCCTCTCGCGTGCTACTTTTTTCAATTAACAAACACCACAGAGTGCAGTTGTTGATTCTGTTCATAACCTTTTTATCAGGCATAGAAGATTTTGCAATTCTAACCCTTGTGGAATAATTTATTCGTAATAGCCACCAACATTAAAAAATATGATTTGATAATTCCTTCCATAGGCTTTCCATTAAGCTCAATGTTAATTTCAACAAATTGCAAATCATCATTATTTTTATTAATAATTGATATTTTTTACTTATGAGGCGTCACCACGATGTAATGACTCATTGCGACCACCTTAACTATAGAATGAATTGTGTTGCTGAAGCTCAAGGAAAGTAAAGAAAACATCCATAAAAATGAAATTAAGTTGGTTTTAAAACAAATTTTATTATTTAATTTAATTCTTTTTCATTGTTTCTTCCGCTGAGGAGAATAAATAATATGTCAAATTTCCAGATTAAAAAAGGTTTAATTAATTAACTTAAATACCTGCTGATACAGACACGCAGGATAGTGAATGCATTATTTAAGTATAATCCGCACGCGGAGTTCATCGATCTCGCGCGCGTACGTGATGCTTCTTCCTTGGTTTTAATTGTCAGCATCGTTAGCAAGTGCGAGTTATACAGGAGAAGAAGTGAAAATTCCAAGTGCGCGACACGAGTCGTCGGAATAATAACAAGGGCTGTTTAAAAAAAGTGGAAAAAGCACGCACTCATCAGCCAGCAAGAGACGAATTTCATTTCACTGGCTAATATAAACCAAAAATTTTGAATTCATCGATTTCACTATTCATTCTTAAATTAATACCTGCCATTGTTTATAAATTACCACCGATCTCAACTTTAAGAAAAAATATTCCGGGAAAGATGAGCCGTAAAATTTATCGTAAAAGTTTTATTTTCAAAACGTGTCTGAAAATTATTATGTTTTTAAAACTTGAATTCAGGTATCATTCCTACCATAGACTCATTGTGCTTTTCAATTGTCTAATCAAATTTTTATTCCGATGGTGAAGGTTCTCGTAACAAATTAACATTCAATCAAAAATAACAGAATATTGCTTGATATTCATTAAAACATTCAATTCCTCAAAGAAACAAGATTTTATCCATTTATTTATAAAGAAAAAATAATAATAATTATAAAACAGCCGCTATTTTCTATGCGTTTGCATGTTTATTTATTCAATCGCACTCGGGAGTAATAAGCACCATAGCAGAGGAGAGAAACCAATTGTGTTCTCTCAGTGATTACGTCACTCAATAGGTGAGTCACTTGAGCCGACTGAGTCCATGCAGAGCAAACGAGCCGCCCTTCTTTGGTGGACAATTGTGACGCATTCTCGCTGGAAAATAACATTCACTAGCGTTGTTGCTTCAAGAGGAAAAATCTTGAAGCACAAAAATAACAAAAATTTAAATTTGTGCCTTAAAATAATTAATAATATGACTCTAACGGGCAATACGAATTTTAAATAGAATCTTAATTAATAGTCTACACGATGCGTATTCCCTCAAAACACCGCAAAATAAAATTTTCGGATTGCTGAAATTTTTTGCAGTGGAAAATTATTGACTCGTAAGGCACCGTGATCATGAAAATAAAACGCAAAAACATTTTCCGAGTGCAAACACCCCGGCGAGAGGCAGCCGCATAATTTAGCAGCGCGCACATGAAGAGCAGACTTGCTCTGTACGCGCCGCCGCTCCGTTGAATAAGCAAACTTGCCACGGTTTGGCACAATGAACACGCCCGGTTTGCTAATGAATGGGCCAACTCGAGCACACGTGCCACTGCCGCAAAATTCGTTGCTTTTGATCAGCACCGGATTTGTGCACAAAATTACACTAAAGCGGCGAGGTATGGGTGGTTTTCGGGGCAATGCAGCTCGCCTGTCTGAACACTATTGACCCGCTCGGTTGGGTTGGTGTTGCTCACATTTTGCGAGTGGGAAAGAGAGAAGCGTGGGATGTCAGTGCCCTTGCCTCGCTTTCTGCCCTTCTAAGGGAATCTGCCGACCTTGTCTCCACGCAGCGCCAGACGAGACCGACTTATGCTGTAAGATTAACATTTTGTTCAATTTCTTCAAGCAGATGAAACCTTCTTACATATTTTTTTTCCAAATTCTTCAATTTTGAATATAATTATTCCTGAGAGTTATTCTGGATGATTAAAATGTATTAATCAGTTAGGCATCAATAGGGTTTTAATTTTGCGGAAAACTGCAAACGATACTTTTCCTTTTAACTTGAAAATATTCATTTCTTTACTTTTATTGTTAAAAAATCGTTATTTAATATCTTGTTTGACCGTGAAACGTTGAATTTGCTGACGAAGCTCGATTTCAACCGTTATTGTCAATATTGCCAAGACCTTGTCAGCTTGTCTGGTCGTTGATTTCGGCAAACCACATAAGTCGTCGTCAATTTTATGGATTCCTTACTTTCAACTTGAGCTAAAAAGCAGAAATTTTCTGGAAGAGGCTTTAAAGCGTTGAAATGTCTGAGGCTGAGCATGTTTTCCTCGGTGCCAAGCTGAAAATAGCCACCCGTCAGCTGGTCCGTCTATCTGCGCGAATAATATTTACCCCGCCAGCCCTCTTTGGAGCTATCACTTGATGCATTACAAGGCAAAAAAATTAATAGATAATTTTATGAATTGAAAACGATAGCCCTCAATTTTTAACAAATTCTTTCATTTTTATTAAGTATAGGCCGAGTGTGTGGTAATTCCAATAATGCAATAATTATAAATTAGTCGTTTACCTCAAAAATAGAATTATTACTAAAAATAGAAATTAAAAAACAATTAGATTATCAATTTAGTGTTTTTCATGATTTTGCAGAACGATACTTAAAATAATGCAATTCGAGTTTGGCGTTGTTTTTATTTTATTAATCGCACATCTGAAGAAAAAAATTTAATCTTGTAGAACGCAACGTGGTAGCACTCGCACCACGCTAATTTTAACCCACGTCTGTAAATAAACAGCTAAACTTGGGAAAACCAAACTGCGTATGTATGAACACTTCATAACTGTATGTAATGTAGTCTGTGGTGACTGCCGCTTTCCATACATTCAGCTGAATACAGGAAATAGATTCTCTGCGGCATGATTCAGACAATATAAGTGTCATTTTGATAACCAAATAATTGTCGATAAGTGCAATTCAAGCTAGATTGAAAAAGGTGGTATTTTAAAAGTTAATCTTGTTTAAACACGAAAATCAAGTTTGTTTGAAAAAGTTGACACTCGAGGAGATGATCATGGAAATGAAGAGTCGGGCTTTTCCTCGTTAAAAGCCCGACTCTTCATTTCCACGAAAATCAAGCTTTATTGGATCTTTTGGAACCAAATGGTTTATGCATGCAAATTGCATAAATTTAATTTAAAATTTTTGTCTTGTTCCAGGGGGAGGACCTGAGGACGAAGTGATGGTGGTTGGGGAGGAGGCGAGCAATGCCGCCCCCGAAGAGGGGGCGGCGGCTGCGGCAAAAAACGGCCCCTCAACCAAACCTGCAATATCTAGCAACATTAACAACATCATGGGCGGCATGGAGAGCACTGCCGGCGTGAAACTGCACAACCACCGTCGGAAACTCAGACAAAGGTTAATACTAAAATTTCAATTTTTTGCATACATATTAACTGTCCTAAAAACTCAAACGCTCATTGAATTTTATTTTATCGTTTGAGATAATATCATTACAATTGTTGTTTCCATCATCAATGAAAATCATTTCTGGAGGAAAAAGAGTCATTGCGAGGCAATATTGGGGGATATTCACATGCTAACTTTCTTATGGGATTTGCTGGTGCTAACTTAGCATGTGAATATCCCTCTATATATTTATTTTCATGAAGGAAGCAGAAGGAAGTTAAAGTTTTAAAATAAGTATGCAGTGTATGATGACAATTTTAGCAAGCAATTAAGATCATGGATGAATTTAAAAAAGATATTTTAATATTGCCAGCAAAAAATGATGATTTTTTAAATCAAGTTGAACCCAAAAACAAAAATAAAAAAAATTAATTGGGTGGTGCCTTCTGTACCACCAAAAAAGGGCACAGGCCGACAAGACTTTGTCTTGGCCTGACCCTAAAAAAAAAAAAATAAAATAAATAAATAAAAAAAAATTATTAATAATTGCGGCAATATTATTGTTGCTCTGCAAATTGAAATACCCAGCACCGGAAATCGTCATACCTGCAAATATTGTCTGTTCTCGGAACGCTATTTGTCCACCAACAAATTGTTAGGATCAGACTTTTAATAGTGAGAATAAATGGGTTTGGAGCAAAGAGCTGCAATGTTGCAGCGGAGGTGAAATTAGTGGCGCGAGTGTCAAACTATAGCAATGGCTGAGTGATCGTCCGAGAGCCCCGGGTTGGGCCCGACATTTGGTCCGTTGCCAAATGGCATTGTGTTGATTTTAAGTCACCTTGTCTGGTTTTCTAGCAGGTGAACAGAATGTTTTACAAATTCCTTCCGATTCAGCGGCTTCGCTCGTGTCAATGAATTCTGTGGTGAACAAGAAATGGATCTGCTTTGAGCCAATGATCGACCAGGTCACTTTGACAGACTTTTCCTTGTCACCAGATACATCAGATAATAACCAGTCAGAAACTTATTCATGCGACGAATTGCGTCTTGTCTGCGGTCAACTCTAATCTTTTCAAACCAGCTAACAAGTACCATATTATTATATTGGTTAAATTTTACTTCTAACATTTTGAATCAAATTCAGCACTTTTCAATTTCAAATGTTTATTGCTAGCAAATATTTGGCACTTTCATGTCCCTGACCGCCGAGACTCTTTTTGGATGCAAATAATATTATTAAATTCTCAGACTATATCCACTGACGTCATATTCTTAAAAATAGTCACACAAATTACAAGAGCCACTAATACTCCTGCTTAGACTTTATTTAATCAATCCTGCAAAACATAACTTTTCATCCCAGACTGCTTTTTGTTGCAAAATTGCGTTGGTGACGAATTTCAAAGAAATTTTAAACGATAATTCATTCCGCCATCGCTGCACCACTTTTGAAACAATTTAGCTAGACGCACGTCAGCCAAATATTGGCGCAGCTATTCTGGCCAGTGGGTGAAGACTTAACGTCAACAGAACAAAAGAGTCCTCGCGAAAAAACAACTTCCAACCTTGTCCTAGTGGCTTGATTGCAAATACCAACTCCCCGTGAAAAATCCAATTTACTTATTCTTTTCGTTTTTGGCAATTTTTTATCGTCTTGATGTCACCTAAATCCGACCCCTGACCAGAACTAAACAATGTAAGACCAGAGTGGCCGGGAATTAATTTATCTTGTGTCACAGCTGTGTGAAACTTTGCGCGACATTGATTCTGTGCACAGACTTTGTATGTGTGTGAGTGGAACATCGATTTCATCCTTTGGAATGCGAGCGGCAGAGAGCATTCGCGGCAATTGTCTGTTGATATTTTGCGCAATGCAGCAACCGCGGCGTGTATTGAAATTGCGAGCACTCTCCATGTCAGCGTTAATTTTATGCTTTTCCCACACGGGCAGTCCAATTTTTCCGGGATAAAGGGAGTTGATGGCACCAAGTCGGAGCCAGCAGCTGATCGCAGACGACGATTGAAAAAATTTGGGTCAAGTTTGGGACAACAATACATCAAGAGAGGAGTCTGGTGAAATTTTTAAAAGGTTCCCTTCCCTTTTTGTTTTGTGTCCGGGCCAAAGTTAGATCCGGTGGCATTTCGGACGCGATGATCGTTTGAGGAGATTCTGCCTGACCTCTGCTTTGCTCGGCCTTTGGTGGTTTTGTTGCTTTTCTTTTGAAGCCGTTGTCGTGCTCATGAAACAAGATATAAAGCAGAGAAAATAAATATTAGTTAACTGCAGCCAGTGCAGCCAAAGAAGCAGGAAAATTTAATAAGTGTAAGAATTTAAAAATAGGAATACATAGTAATATGGTTTAAATAAAAGTATTAAAATATAGTAAGTAGGAGTAGATTTTAAATATAAATGTAACCATTAGATGATGTGATTTATTCTTGCAAATTTCCTTCCTCCTACAAGAAGAATTAAAAATTACCGGCGCATCCCCAACAGGAAAAAATATTGAATTACTACTTTTCAGGCGATTGGTTTGCACTCTGAATCACTGATTACCATATCGCCTATGACATGATTTAAAAAACCCGCTGATGGCCCAGTTTGGGTCTTATGCCAAAAGGCTATTTTTATTTGCGTCACTCACGTGTCAATACGTTATTGATCTGATTTAAATTCTATTTAGGTCCCAATCATATATGAAAGGAAATCGTAAAAAAATGATTATTGTTCTTTCTTAAAAATGTTTTTCGTTGGAAAATGTGCGTCGCCTCTGATTTTTGGCCTTTCCCGCTCTGCGCGGCACTTTTATATGTTTGCGTGTGCGGACCATCAGACCATTTTTTTTTTATGAATCAACACCAAAAATAGGGCGATGAAAGAGGCTGTTTGTTTTTGTTTTCAGCATCCGAGTTAAAAATCACTGGCCGCGCAAGCGAGCCAGAGCACGGCCGTCGTATAATTGTTCATCTTTTGTGCGCGGTGCACGCATATGCAAATATGCCGAGGAGAGAACGCGCGAGACAGAGCCCGGCTTAAAATAATTTGCACCCGGCGTCGTCTCAGCAGCCGCAAGAGGGCCGACGTCACGTCACGCCGTGCAGACTTGAATTATAATTAGTAAAGCCAATTGCTGCAGATAGTCTGAATGAGCTTCTTGCAAATTGAAATTATTGCTTGCAGACAAATCATGCAAATGACTCCTTTCAACTCAAATGTCCTCCACATACATATATGGGACAGATCGAGAAATGCATTTCACTTTTTAATCATTTCAATTTACTCCATTGTTTTTGTACCATTTAGCAGCAGTAAAATATAATTATTTTATTGCTTCATTTGTGCCAAAGTTTACCAAGTTACGGTCACACTTGGTTGTGAGAAATCAGAACAAGTTAAACCAATCGCAACAATATGCGGCGCCTGGGAGCAGATCAAAGGCTTGTAAGAGCCCCAACTCCATTGAGGCATCCACTTGCATGTAATCTTACTTACGGACTTAGATTTAAAGTTTTTTTGTATGAGTTTGATTTACCAAGCGTCTTGTTGTGTTGCTTTCAGATTCGACATCATCCGCAAATTGGGCCAGGGCACTTATGGCAAAGTGCAACTCGGAATCAACAAAGAAACCGGACAGGAAGTATAGCTTTTTAAAAGCATTGAACTGAAAAATAATCCTTTTCTAAATCTTTAGGTTGCAATCAAGACAATCAAGAAAGCAAAGATTGAAACTGAAGCTGATCTAGTGAGGATTAGGAGAGAAATTCAAATTATGTCCTCTGTGAGTAATAAAAACGTTGACAGACCGCGCAGTGCGCTAAATATCTCTTTCTAGGTGAGACATCCAAACATCATTCACATCTATGAGGTATTTGAGAATAGAGAGAAGATGGTTCTTGTGATGGAATATGCTGCTGGTGGCGAACTTTACGATTACTTGAGTGAGAGAAAGGTACTGAATGAAGTGGAGGCGAGGCGAATTTTTAGGCAAATAGCAACTGCAACCTATTACTGTCACAAGGTACAACTGCTTTTAATTATGAAACATGAAATCAACACTCATCTAATTTATATTAAAAACAGCATAAAATTTGCCACCGTGATTTGAAGTTGGAAAATATTCTGCTAGATGAGCTTGGAAATGCAAAAATTGCTGATTTTGGTTTGTCAAATGTTTTTGACAACAAAAGGCTTTTGAGCACGTTTTGTGGCAGTCCACTCTATGCATCCCCTGAAATAGTCAAAGGAACACCATACCACGGCCCAGAGGTTGACTGCTGGTGAGCGTCATTATAAGATAAAAGTATGACGGATTGATTAATTTATTTTTTCAACCCAGGTCCCTTGGAGTTCTTTTGTATACCTTGGTTTATGGCGCGATGCCTTTTGATGGCTCAAATTTTAAGAAGTTAGTAAAGCAGATTTCACAAGGAGATTATTTTGAACCCAAAAAGCCGTCTCGTAAGTCAGCCTAAAATAAAATGGACGAAAATCTAACAATTCCCTCAATCTACAGCTGCCTCTCCTCTGATTCGGGACATGTTGACTGTGACGCCTCGGAAAAGGGCAGATGTAGAAAAGATTTGCAACCATTGGTGGGTCAATGAAGGCTACAACGAAAATTGTTTGGAAATAGCAGAAAATCTGGCCAATCAAACTCCAGTTAGACTCGATCTCCTCCTTTCTTTAGCACCGGCACCGAGTAGTGATAAGATCGTTGTTCCTGAAAAGGCTGACGAGGTAGTAAAGTTTTTTTTGTTATTTTTATTTCATTAATACATTGAAATTATTTTCAACAGGCTCTGTCAGTCATGCCATTACCACCCACAAGCTACCCAACAAGATCTCACTCGGTGGGCAGTCTAATGGACTTAGATTATCCTCAAAGAAAAACGTCACCGCCAAGATTAACAATCCCACCACCTCCCCTTCCAATTTTGCCAATTGAAGAAACTGCCATTGCACCTAAGAGGAAGCTCCAGGAATGTCCTAGTGGAGAAACGGGTGCCAAAAGGAAAGAAACAAAACCTGCCACTGAGGCCAAGAGAGAGGAATCCAGAAAGAAGGAGGAGCTCATGGAAGTAGACGAAACCACAACATCATCCTCAACTGTTACAGAGCCCAAAGAAAAAAGAAAGTCTGTGAAAGCCAAAAAAGAATCTGGAAAACTGCCAGCTTTTGAAGCTCCTCCAGCCACGCCAGCTGAAACTCCGGTATCTCCAGCGTCGACTTTGTTGCCTGATGCAGAGAATACCAAGAGCTTGAAGAAGAAAAAGAAGTCAACCGAGATCAATGGAGAGGTATCAGATCCGAAACCCGCAGCTGACAAACCTGTTGAAAAAGAATTGCTGCCGGTTCCTATTGAGGATTTGAATGCCACTGTGCAAGCTCCCGATCCTGAAAAACCTAAAGCTGAAATTTCACCTGCTAAAAACCAGGAAGAACCCCTCATCCCCACGCCTGATTTGGAGATATTGGCATCTCAGCCTGAGCCTCAAAAATCAGAAAATACACCCCGTGCAGTAACTGCAACCCAACAACATGAATCGGAGAAAGCAGAAAGTGCAAAAACAGTTGAGTCGAAGAAAGAGGAGTCGCCTACAAAGGAGGCTGTTAATAAACGTAGGCCGCAGAGCTTGAGATACAGAACAAAGACAGAAGATCTTTCTAGTAAATCTGTCAGCCCAGAGAAATCATTGGAGAGGAGAGAAATTCCTAAGAATGATGTTAGGCGGCGTTCAAGCATCTTTGAGAAAGCGGAGATGTTCAATAGTTTGTCATCCAACAATGTTAACAGAACATCGCCTGAAAAAGGTAAAATTATTTCACATTTTTTTTTTAATTATTATGAATTATTATAAAGCAAACATTCAAACGAATTATTCAATTAATTCCGCCTTAGATTTGCAATCATCAATGTTCAATGTTATTTTGTTACAGGAAAGAAAATGTTCATTCCAGGGGTTAAAGTTAGTGACTTTAAATCTGCATTTGAAAAGAAGCCGCCAACAAAATCAGCAAGCATAGGAGTGGCCAGTGAGGAGCCAAAGAAAGAGGTTTTGAAGAAACCTGCAAAGTCAGAATCTCCTCAGGTTGAAAAGAAGTCTCCTAAAGAAGTTACGGCTTCCCCATTGACTACGACTTCCACAACAGCACCTTTAGCCGCTAAAACTGTTGCTCAGGCTGCGCAAATGTTACCTGCAACAGCTGCACCAGTTTCTGTAGCACAACCACAAGTTCCTCCTCCAGTTGTTCCCCAACAGCCAGAGCCTAAAAAGCAGGAAGTAAAAGCTGCTTTAAAACCTGCAGTTGTTGCGCCAGAAATCAAACCCAAGCTGTCTCCACCAAAAGAAATTGTGCCACCTCCTCCATCCCAAAAGCAGCCTGTCAGGCAAGCATCGCCTCCTAATACGGTTATGGCAAAGGCTAATACACCAGACCCAGAGTCTAAATCAGTTGAAGCTCAAAAGAAAAAGTCAACAACGATGAAAATCACTCTTGAATCTAGTCCAAAGTCTGCCACTCTTCCTAGGAGAACATCAAAGGCTGAAATTAGGCTCAATAATCCTCCCCAGGCACCCAAGCCAACTGCAGCTTCACCTGCAACACCATCTATGCCCCAGAAACCTGCTGAATACAGGTAAATAATTCCCAAAAATTAATGATTACAAAAATGGGTTATTTTGGATCTAAATTATTATTATTGTAGTTTTAATGCATTATGGAATATAATACGACCTTAATTTTTGTAAATAATAAATTAATTTTGTTTTGTCAGGACTGAAGTGGAGCACATGGTTGGCACCCCACAGCCAGTTCAAACCCAACGTTCAGAGGTGGCATTCCCTGTGTCCGCAGCATCCAGTGGTGCGTCTGTGGGCACAACTCCAGCAGGTGCTGCTTCTCCCCGAGTGCCCAGACCATACAGACACTCAAACACAGCTCCTACTTCCAACGCCTTCAGATCCATGTCGGCAGAACCTGAGCTCCGAAAAGAAAGGATTATTCCCATCAGAGTGGAAGGAGGAGAGGAACAACCAAAGAGGGAGATGCTGAAGGAAGTTCGGCCTCCAGTTCAACCGCAGCAAATACCTCAGGCTGTTCAAAAGCAGAGCGTTCCGCCACACAAAAAGGAGCCTCTTTCTAGACAAAGCACCACCGAATCAGAGGCTGAAAGTGTGACGTTTTATTTGCGTGAAATGCAGTTTTTAATTAATTTTTATATAGCTGTAAGAGGAGAGCCAATCAGGAAGAGTCCTCGGGAGTTCATCATCCCAATTGCTGTGGAGGGTGGTGGCTATGTCACTCCCAGAGCCAGCAGCTTGGAGCCTTCTTCAGACTCTGTTCCTTCAACTCCGGGTGCCAGAGGCAGATCAATGAGATTTGCCAGACCATTCGGAAGGTTCATGAGGTATTATTCAAAGGATAGATTTGATTTAAAACTAACTAAGCATGAAATTTTTAATAGTCAACTCAGTGAGAGTGAGGGCGCTGAGACTGAATCTACCATCAATTCAAACGGGGGACCTCCGTCCTTCAGTAGAATGAACAGTGATCAAACTGAAGACGAGTTGGGACCCATGGGTGGGACCTTTGGACGAGGATTGCACATGCACAGATTGAGGTAAAAATCTTATTCTTTCTATGTCATTTTTATTTAAAAAAATTTCAGGAGTTCTCGTCCTAGCAAATCTTCTCTGGAACACAATGATAGTCTCAGTTCTGGCGATGAAGACGATGAAGAGGACAACTTTGAGACTCTCACCGCTGAAACTTTGTTCTCCACTCTCCTGAACAGGGTACTTATTATATCTTTTTCTTAAACAATGCATCTTTCTGCATCCAAAATTAGCAAGCCTGACCTGCTGACAGAGTGCCTTTCTATTAAAGAAAGCTCTTGCGTAAATTGAGACTTATGCTTGAAGCGGTCACAGGCTCTAGTCCTTTGCAATGGCTACCTCTCTGTGCCACAAGCAATGCATGCTATTGACTTCAGATGCGTGTTGGCCAGGTTCGAAGCCTCACTCAGAGACTCAACGTTGACAACGAGATGCGCCCTGGGTTCCCGAGCAGCAGGCTTCTCGGACACATGCAGAACCTCTCTCAACCACCAAGCTTGTTCTCCAGTAACTTCCCCAGCAGAATCGGAGAACCCCTTTCTAGGTGAGTTCGACTTAATAAACTTTGAAAAGATAATGAAGAAAATTGTTTTTTTTTTTTGTGTTTCAAAATTCAAATTTTTGCTCTAAATTTTGCATGACTCACTGCAATTGAATTTTATGTATGATAGACATAAAATTTTTCTAAAAATTACTGTTGTTTATTTGACAAAACATTTAGCATAAAGTTAAAAATATTCTGAATTTTGTGGTTTCTAAAAGTGTGATTTTTTGCAATTTTTATGGCAGTTACACAGTTGCTCATCATGAAAGGATTATAACTAGCCATGTGTAAGTAACACTGATTGTCAATTTCGCAGCATGAGTCATCCTCTTGAGTTCCTTTTTGTAGTTAAAATTTTACATCTGACACTGTAAATTGTCATCTCATTTTCAATTTGAAACACAGTCAACACAGATGCAGCAAAACGGAGTAGATGTGGTTCAAACTTAGAATTATATAGTTTCAAATAGCATGTATTATTCACAACTTTCTATATATATTTTTCTCATAAAAATATACATTCCTGTAGTAAAAACGTTTTTAAGAAAATGTAGAAAATACTGTAGATGCATTATTTATATTCAAATTCAAGTATTAAATTATTGAGATTTACCTCCTAATTTTGAGGTTTGGAAGGTTAACTCCTTTTTTCAAATTGCAGGAGGCTGAGTGAACACTCGAGACTGAGTCGGAACAACAGCCGAGGCGAGGAGCACGGACACTGGAGGCGCAGCCTCAGTCGAGACGCCTCAGAGGGCGACAGCGTCTATTCGGAGCATCACCCAAGAGGTAGCGATTTCCTCTTGGATCCAACAACACTCTCACCTTGCATATTTAGTACCTTCCCCTATTTTTCATTATAATATCTTGTCATATCAGAAAATTTTTGAATTTCCGCCGTGAAAATGAGACTTTGTATTTTTGGCTTGTTGCATGAGGAAAGTGAAAGTCCCCATCTTTTAGGTATAAGTACTCAGAACAAGTTCACGCTGAAATTTAAATCAGTACTAAGTATGTTGCAATTTCTCTGTGGGAATTCGATATGAATATTTATATAAATTTTTTTGAGGATTGATTTATGTCGGTCCGTGCACCCCGATGTGTTGTCTGTGATGTGTCTGATTTCAGTTGTCGGTGTCCGCTTGGCGACGCAGTTGCCCTCGTCCAGTTTCTCCACTTTGCCCCGCAACTTGACGGCATCTCGCGTCTCGGGTCTCGGCTTGCGCCGAGACCTGCCAACTTACTGACGCAGTCCTTCGACCCCCTCCCACCTGGCACTAAGCAGAAGTGCTCTTTACAGGGGTACCGTCCGTTGAATGTCTCTTTGTCTCACTAATCGGCCTGTCAATGCTTTCTAACATCACTGAATTATTTTCTTCTTCTTTTAAACCGCAAATATTTTCGATTTCACCAAAATGCATACTATTAATATTGACACACCTTTCAGAGCGCAAAAGTAATTATTAGAAAGCATTGCCCTGCCAAGTAATGAAGTAATAGTCCCTCCATAACACAGTTATAATACAATAATGTTTCTCGGTCACATCCCGAATAAATTTTTAGTATAATGTTATTTTCAATGTTTACAAGTTTTCGAGCTAACGCCTCATTAAATTTCCACAGAGATATGCAGCATAAATTGCAAAATGTACTTGAAATGAAACTGAGTTTTGTTTTTTTCTGATAAATCTAACGGCTTGTTTGATTTTTTTCGTTTGTTTTTACCTTTTTTGTTGTACAATTTGTAGTTGCTTCACCGGAACGCTGGCCTTAACCATAACACGCAAGACTGATCAATCAAAAATCACACTCACTCCTGCAGGATTTGCAGAAAATGATTCCAGGTGCGTATGGGGTTTGGAACGCCAGCATGAAGTTTTCCGTATGTTTAATACTGCCCTTTTCCTATCCACCTTGCCATGCTTTTAGTTTTTTATCTGTTCAGGCAGTTTGGTTTTTCAGGAAGAGTATTTGGAAAGATGCTTCCGCCCAAACAAACCAATAAGCAAAGAGTCAGCTCTCGCCCTTCTGCAAAACCCAATTCTCTCTATAGTTTCCCAATTCTGATTAATTTTGTCAATATGAACATTTTTATTTCTTGACACAGAAAGTAAAGAAATCGCACAAAGTAATTTTTTAAATGAAAAACTTAATGTTTTGAGAAATTTTCCCCAATCTCATCACGCTTATCACAACTGTTTATTGCCAAATTCCAATCACGCCTTAATCACCTCACCTTCTCACAGAGCTGGCTCCACCCTGGTCCCAATTGAAATGTCTGTAATCTTAGGGCACTAACAAAAACTTTACTCTGACAGGAGACATTGAGGGGTCGACCATCGGCGACTACCGACGGCAGGAGCATTTCCGCCGCTCCAACTCACACCAGCCCACTGACCTTTACAAACCGACACCGTACCGACCAGACCCGGCCGAGTATTACCGCCAAGAGCAGCAGCGGCAGGCCCGCAGGAGTGGGGGAATTTACTCGGAGGGCCAAGGCCTCAGCAGGCTGCGCTCGTTGTCCCTCAACCGCGAGAACAGCTGGAAGAAAAACCAGCGGACCACTCCAGACAGGTCGCTCCTCTCCAGGTACATCAACCAGCACGAGATGCGCGAGATGTCGCCTCCCCCGCCGCCGCCTCCGCCGCTCACCAGCGAGGAGAAGAGGCGCGGCCGGCGAACATCTCGATTCTTGCGGCCTGACTTCTTTGATACACCAAAGGAGGATAGTGCTTATGCCAAACAGAAGGAGGAAGAAGCTAGACTGAGGAGGGAGCAGAGGCGAACTTCAACAGAGAGAAGACAAATGGTCAGTCAACAAATTGAAAAGTATTTATTTTTAATTTGGTGTTGTTTGATTTAAAAACTCTTTATAATGAAATTTTTACTTAAGATTAAGATATTATTCCGTCTAATATAATGAAACGAAAAACTGAATTGTGTCTTACCCACAAATACCAGTTTTGGTTTCAAAGATTCTGATGCCTAGCACATTTATAAGTCACAAAAAACAGGACCAATTAATATTAAAAAGAAAAATTAACTTGCTAAACTTAAACATAGGATTTGCTGTTTCTATCTTAGCCTCTAATATTTATTAATAAAAAAAAATTCATGCAGCAGGCTGACGATGATGCGCGAGGTCGAATCAACAGAGCCATAAACTCCCTCCAGCAGCGCTCAGACAGTCAGGACATGACCGAGTCTTTGCTGATCAAGCGAGCTGTTTCTTCAGACGAGCTAAACGAGCAGCCTCGTAATCCAGGAAAAGTCAACTCTGTGCTTGGCATGTTCAGGATGATGGAAAAACCAGCTGAGAAAAGTGGAATAACGCGGTTCAGACGGTCAAAGTCTGTTTACGAAAACTCCAGCAGTGACTCTGTGCCTACTGACTACCAGCAAGACTTTTCGAGGTACTTGAATGTGCTTACATTGTGATAAATCAATCAAAATGATTTGAAATTTTGCGTTTTTTTTATTTATAGAAAAATAATGAATTTTACAAATAATTTTTAGATACCGAAGGCCAGAGCCTCCATCGTCTCGCACTCCGAGCGCCTTCTTGCCATACAGGACCACCAACAGCAAGGAGAAGTTGGTAGAGGACGACTTGTCTGACGACTTCATCCGTCACAATCTGAGTCGAGATGGTGGCCAGGACGACTCTTTTGACTCTTGGTCAGTTTGTTCAGACTCGCAGGAGCCAGCAGAAGACGAAACAGTCAGCGACCGGATCAGGCGGAAGAGCTTCTACACCCGTTTCAATGACTATGTCATGCCCAAGAAGCAACCAGCAAAGCCTTCGCCTGAGGTCACTGCTATACTGGAGAAGGGAATTAGGAAACAGCAAAAGCAACAACGGCAGTGGGAGCAGCAGGAACAACAAAGAAGGCAACAAAACTCTGCCGCAGCTGCCAGATTGAGCGCTTACGGCTCCTTGCCCAGAGGCTGGGAGCCTCAAATGGAGCAGGATTATTACCAGCAAGCTAGGAAACTGAGCAGGTGCAAAATAATTTCTTTTAGAGGTTATTCTTGACAGGCCATGACAAGTCTTGTCGGACTTTGCCACTTGATTTTTTCTTTCATATTTTAGTTTTGGGTTAATCTTTATTATTATTAGAGTAATGTATTTTTAAATTTAATTTCTTAAAATGACATAATTTTTTCCCCCCAATTTACAGATACAGTCATAGGAACCCGAGCGCTCCTGCCTACCCCTCGCAGCCTCCGTCAAGGCGCCCAACTCGGCCGCCGTCTCCCCCGCCGATGGTGGACCACTGACAAATGCTTCCCCGCAGCAGGAGTATGGAGGAGACATTTAGAACTAAGCCGTGGTGGTGCCAGTGCCGGAACCATTTCATCTGTGACTTGTGATTTACCAGTGGAGCCTTAAAAACATGTTTTAAATTTGAGCCATCAGCATTCACATCTTGCATGTGATGTTGTGAACTGTGAATTGTGCTTGTCTTTTTAATTATTTTGAGGGAAAAAATTGCCACCATTTTGCTGGCACAAGAATTAATGCGTGTACAAAACAAGTAAACAGTTTTAGTCAGATTTTTAGCACTTTTGAAATCAATTTATGCTCTTTCAAGGGGGTTTTAAAACTGAATCAGTATTTTCTTCGTTGCTTTATTTATTCGGATGCCAAAAATATTGAGATTGTCGTGCAGCTGTAAGTTTTGCAAACCAAATAGTCTTGCCCTTATCAAGAGCTGATTTTTCAAGATTGCTTTGTAACCTAGTATTTTTGCCATGTGATTGTATCTTATTTTCTATTATTTTTCACAATGTTGGGTACTTTTGATTTTGCCCGATGCCAAATTTTTAATGTATCAGTCATTTTTTTTACATTTCCTTTTGATGGAATTGTTAATTTATATAAATGGAGCACAAAAACATCGAATTTATAATTAGGGTCAATATTGTTAAAAGATTTTTGCAGTTCTCTCTCAATTTTTATATCGTTAGATATTTGTTTCATGACTAATTTTACAAGTCATCTGTATTAATCGTCTTCAAGTTTAATAATATAAATAAAAAAAAATTAACTGTGAAAATGAACTATATAACTGCATTTTGAAAATGTAGTGTTGTTTTTGAATAAATCTTCAGTGGAGAACAAAGAAACTTAGTCTCATTTCCGGCATTCGTCCAACCTTAGGAACTAATCTCCAAGAGATAATAAAGACCGCAACTTTTCGGCAGAGAGTTTTTGACCCGCTTAAATAAATAGAAGCGGCGTCTAATTGCTCTCCATGCGCGCGCCTTTCTCTAACGCAGTTTTGACGCTCTTAACAGAACGAGTGCTTTTTTCTCTCAAGCTTGTTTAGGAATAACCGACCCAAGCATAAGATCTCTTGTTAACAGGAGTCGCCAAGACTATATTAGAGAAGAATAAAATAGAAACGCAAACCATGAAAAAATGTTTCCGCGTGTGCAATTATTATTGGTGTAAAAGAAAAATTCCAAAGTGGAGCAGCAAAAAGGTATTGCACGAATTAATCGTGACCCCATATTTTCCAGAAACCAGTCTCGCGCGATCTCATATGAAGTTGACCAATTGCTCTCTCGGCGCTTAGAGACATTTGCGCGCTGCATTTCCGCGTATGCATTAATGAAACTTTATGCATCTGGAGAGGAGAACGCAACAAGTATATCTCGGGTGAATTGTGTAATGAGTTTGAACAACGTGACTTTTGAGCAGGAGCTCATGAGCAAAAAATTAGTTTTGAGTGTAGAAAATAGGCATAAAAAATTAGCATACCTCGATAATGAAATATAAACATATAAATTGGCACAAAAGCGACGGGGAAATTTCACTGGGCAAAAAAATTAAAAAATTAAATTTTTCCAAAGTCGAATTATTATTGTTGTGTATTGTCCACATTGTTACACCAAAATAACCAGATTAGTTCAATTAAGTCACCGCTGCAATAATACAAGTAACTTTACTTTAGCCGGCACGTATAATCTTTATTGATGAACGCTGGTGGGGATTTCCTGAAGGTACTCCCTGGCGCCCACCTGCAAGAGCTCTCTTCAGTCGGTCTGTGGGTTTGCTCAAAGCTAGGCCAGCCAGTCTGTGTTCACTTTCCACTCGAGATGTTTGTGTTTTCCATCGCGTTGTCGGCTTTCCTCTATATTGCCGCGGCGAGGCTGGCTGCCGGCACTCTTGGTAAATCTTCAAAAAATAATTATTCTCTTCTCTAGCTGTTCAAATTGTGCATTTTGCATTATTATTTTTTTACAGATTGATTTCGGGATTCACCATGCTTAGCTTAGTTACCTTACTGCACTAACATTTTAGCATGTGAATATCCCATTAATTTTTAAAATGGATTGATATCGCTTTATTATTATTGTTGTTTATTTGTCCAAATTGTTACATCACATTGTTTACATTATTCCTAATTTCCTATAATGAATTTTTTTCTAATAACATTAAAAAAATTTGATTGAAATATTAATAGAGTTGAAGGTGAAATTTATTTTCTTGTTCATTTCCAAATATTTACGTTTCACAAAATTATTCAAGATTTTTGTTAAAATATTTGAAAATATTTATTTGATTCAGTTATTATTACTCAAGTGCTAAAAAGGTAAAGGATGCAAGCGCTGACAAAATGCAAAGATTAAATCAGCCGTGTCCATGACACTCTGATTCAATCAACGGTTCCTTTTCTTCCGCCCGCGTTTTTGGTGAGAACAGTCCAACTAATTCCTGATTTTCTTTTGTGACGCCTCACAAGTCAATAAAGATCAATAATATAAATAGGTTAATTAAACAACATTAATGTGAATTATGAATAAATTTTGATGGCACACATATTGGATTTGGCAAATTTTTTTGTTCTCACAGAGATAAAATTTGAATTTGTCAATTTGAAAATTTATAATTGCGAAAAATCTGAGAAGTATTTTTACGTTGATATTTGAGCAATATTAAAATAGGTTAGCAAAAAAAAAGCAACTTCGGAACGTCAAAGCAATCTTTGCGATGCTCACTGGACAAACACAAGCAGCTGCTGAATTGACAGTTCTAATTGGGTAATGCGCTTTATGCGACCCGGCGTGCTTGAGAAATTTTTGTGCTTTGCAATTTTTTCTATCCACGTCTTTCCTCACATAAAAACGCCGTGCCAAAATTTTCAACCAGCAAACACCATTAAATGAATTTTCAGTTTGATTAATTCATTAAAAATCTACCGCTAATCAGTGAGCAAAGAAATCCTTCATCGCGTTTGTCAGCTTTTAACCCTCTCCAAAGTTCAAGTTGTTACAAAATTGTTAGCCTTTCATAAGTAAGGAAAACCGAATCAACATCAAAATAAACTTTTTTCTTGAACCAGGCATTTGACTTGTGAAGCAGTAAACAAATAAAATCGAGGCGCTCGTCTCTGGTTTTATTTGTTGTCCCTTCGCTTGGCAAAATTATGTAATTAGAATTACCTCACTGCGCGCTGCTCCGACGCATTTTACAATAAATTGTGTCTTGCAGCCGCGAGTTGGCTAACATATTATGTATAGTGAGGAATGATTTTTTTCTAATCTGCTGCAGATGTCGTTGCCACTTGAATCTGTACTTTTGATGTTTACGTAGAGAAGTAAAGTTCTTATTTTTATTTTATCTCGCGCGTTAAGCAGAACCATTCCTCAAAATGTATTATATTATGTGAGCAAACAAAATTTATCAAAGGCATGTGAAAACTTTATCTTAATTGACACCATCAATTGACGAACTCAGAAGGCTGTAAAATTTTCATTAATGATAATTAGGAAACCTACATTTGCTCAAAGGTCACTTTATATTGCTTTTTTCTGATTTTCAAATTGATTTTTTGATGTTACAAAATCTACAGGTTACGTCAAGTTACAAATGCGAATTGAATTAAGAATATAAATTAAAACATGATATCAAAAAAGATGAAGCTTATTTTTCATATATTTATCAAGTGTCTTTGTTGTTGAGATAGAGATTTTGCAGGTTACTTTCCCTGTTGACCTTGCCCTTTCTTAAAAAAATTTTACAGTTGGGCAAGTTTCGTTTTATAAGCGGCGCTACCTCAAAATATCGCTTATTCCAATAATATGAGGCTAATTACGTTTCGATTTACGACCAAATAGAATTACAGTGCAATCAAATTTTCATTCGAAATTGTTCGGGTCAATAAAAATGTAATTCACTTCAAGTTTGATGAATTTTTTTTACTTGTCAGTGGAAAAGTCGCAAGGTTGCAACCTCAAGAACAATAATATGTCTCAGTACTTTTCGCGCTCTTTCCTTGACTATTCGCTTTTTTGTGGGTCGAGCAATTCTCCGCGCATGCATGTAACAAATTAACTGGACAAGGTAAGAAAGAAACTTGCGCTAAGTCATGGTCCGCTCTTGAAAACTGCTGAGAACTCAAGATTAGCTCCAGTTTGCTAATGAAAGAGAAGGAAGATGCTTTTCTCATTTTCAATGAGAGGCGATTGAACTTTCTCCGTTCACGCGAAATAAAAATTATAATCCATCTCTGCACCAAAACCAAGGCAGATTGTTCGAGAAACATCCACGCACTCGCACCGTGATTGTGCGTGAAAAATAAATTATGGACCACGACCGTATCACCTTGTAAGAAAAATTTAAATATCTGTGCTCTTCCTTAAACTAAAACGACATTCCTTTCATTATTTATGACTTTATATAGTCAAGACGTCTACACACACAAAACTTGGATGTATCAAGGTCATCCACAAAGTTATCAGACAAACCTGCGGATTTCTTATTAAAAATCGAAGTAAAACAAATATCATTTTGTAAAAAGCCAAAAGCCGGAAGTTTTTTTTCGCACTTTACGAATTTCTGCATGCTAAATGTTCTAAAATAGATCCGCGATTGCAAAAACAAAAGGATCACAATCTGGGTTTAGTGGGTGCAACGTTTAAGTCCTTTATGATTCCGCCTGGCCAGAATAAATTAAATTCTTTACCCCGCAATAAGATTCTCACGCTCAGATTAACGCCTAAAAATTACAACTAATTTTCATTTTTTATGCTCTTATAAAAGTATAAGATGGAGCTGCAAATTCTAGGAAGTTGGGCAACTAAATCAAAACAATTAAAACAAACATAAGTGCGAGAAACCGGAATTGTGACTAATCAGTTACTTAACGTCAACATTTTTAATTTTGTTTAATACAATATTTTACGGTTTTGCAGCTTTTAACTTTGAAATACTTGAAAAATGCATTATTTAAGCTAAAAGTATTGTATGTACGAGCAACGCTGGTTTGCAGCAAAATTTTGCAAAACGCACCTTTTGCAAAATAAATATAATTATAGTGATTTGAAAATTTCTCACAGAACGTGTTTTTGTCAAAATTACTTCTTTGCGGATTTCACTCACAATAATTCCGTTTTGGTGTTGCAGCTCCTAATTAATTTTGAATTAGGAAGGAATTTCTAAGACGGTACAAGTGGAAAACAATTCACTATTGTTCACATCCCATGCTGCTGATAACGCTTTAATTACGCGCGATTCTAATTTTTTGGTGAAAGCGGATCAAGATTAACTTGCTCGCTTTTCGTTTGCCATCAAATGTTTAGTCGGAGCCCTCGGACCACTTTAGGCGACGAGCGGAAACATTGCAATTAGTATTCTTTCCACTCTTCATCGCTAAATGAAGATATCAAATTTCTATTTTGTTTCCGTTACATTAAATTAAACCAAAGTTAATTATTTATTTATTTTACATAATTTACATAATTTGCCTTAATATTCTTTAGTAAAAGTCATTAGAGTTATATGAATTTTTTTTTGTTGATTTCTTTTTTTTAAATAGAATATTAACGAACATATTTTTGATTTTATGCAAAGAGTGTAATTTATTTTATCTAATTACGTTCATGTTGATCAACTATAAGAAACAAGTTTAAAAATGAATTTGTTAGGTTTAAATTTTGTTTTTTATTGGATTGAATGCTATAGGCGTGCCACAACTTAACACTGACAATACAAATTGTTGAAAACATTTATTTTAGAAAAAAGAAATTGTTGGATAAAACGGCACCACCACTAGCAAGAATTTTGCTAAAACTTCCGAGGTCAAAAAGACCCCATCCGCCGCAGTGAGCCTCGGTTGACTAAGTTTTTAAACTGGCACTAATCACAAATAAGATTTTAATTTTTTGCTTAAATGTGGTGTTTTTTAAATTTTGCGGATTTTTTTGTGTTTTCTTGCTCATGAAATAGGGTCGCAAACCGTGATCGAAACTGGTAGAGCCATTTGTTTTGTATGAACAGCTTTTGCAACAAGGAAAAAGTCCGTTATCTTCATTTCCATGATCATCTCCTCGATTGTAAATTTCTTCAAAAAAATTATGAAACATCCCTTAATGACGATTCTGAAGCTGATATTGAGCATCAACTTTTAATAATTTTTACACTTGAAGACAAAAGCAAGACGCAACTTTTATTTTGATTCGGAACGAATTACTTTGCTTGGTTTTAAAATTTCTGACGGTGTTGATACAAATAATCAACTGCTTTGTATTGCTCGCATGCCTTTGAACTTGTGTAACCTCTGCCAACACCGCGTGCATACCTAATAAAATTATTACATCAGCCTTAATAGAGCATAGAAAAGAGTGCGTGCAGCGCTTATTGTGCACTGCACTTTGCCGCCCGACAACTTTCTTTTGACGAGCGCATGGAAATATGCAAACAGGTCGCGCGCTTTGCATGCTCCATTTGCAGCATTGTCTTTTGATTAAAGAGAATCAAAATTACGTGTAATTTTTTTAGAAAATTAATGTGTTTATCATATTTTGTTAAGAGTGCAAAAAAAATTATTCAAAACTGTTCGTTTCAAATTAAGGTTTCAAATAATACTAATAGCATAACACATTCTATTATGAAGCAACAAGAAATCCTGTTCAGCAGGCGATTATAAGCATAAATAATGCATCTTAATCTTAACATTTATGACGGCCAATTGAAGAGGCGTTGCTCATGTTAAGAAGTCTCTAAGCATGTTTTTGTAATATAATCGGTTCCAGGCTTTGATTGAAAAATTGATATGATATTCTTTTTTCTTGATAGTGTGTTCAAAGTGACAGCCTAGGCTGTTTTGAATTAGGGCGTGTAGCAGACTTCTGCTCACCCTTCCTGCTCATTTTTCTTTTTCTTACAACTTGAATAGAACAAATTACAATTCATAGCCTTTATTTTGATATGCGTACTCATGAAAACCCCTGAAACATTTTAAAGCAAAAAATTTAATATGAACCCTCAAAAGTTTAAAACTATTTAAACTTTCTTAAAATTCTCATAAATATTATAATATAATCTGTGTATAAATGATTTAGTTGTGAGGGAAGTTACTCTAAAAAATATGTAGAAAGCCCTGATTCCTGATTGTATGATCCCAAGAATTTTTAATGCTCTTCTAACTTAAAAATCCTAAAAAAATCCTCAAAAACGACGAGGAACTTGTAAAGTAAGTGAAAGCTATTGTACTACAACACCAATTCTATGACTTAAACGAATTTTATCGTTTGAATAATGCCATTCAAACATTGACTTATTTTAAAAAGTTCAATTTCAATTCAATAGTTTTATTCCGCATTTTAGATCACATATTTACTTTGGAATAATTCTTAATAAAAGTAATTCAACATTCCACATTCATTCAAGTTTACAAAGCAGATTCTCATGGATATCATATAAAATAATTTGTCGTAGAACAACTTCTTCGCTTCTTTAATAAAAATGTGTTTATTGCTACTGCAAACTAATGCTTAACAAAATAAAGAAATATTGAAATTGATTTCAAATTTAATACAGATTAATATCCATGACAATTATTCAATAGGTGAACCACCTCCTGCACTGTCCGAAGAAGTGGCAATTGTAGCCATGCCACCTGAAATTCCGCCCGGCAACATCAGAAGGGTGCTCGATCAAGTTCTGAGCCAATTCCTGTTTAAACATCGCCAAGGCAGAAAGTCGGTTTGCTACGGTAGGAACTTATCCCACGCTTTTGTTTCTTTATATTCTACAAAATGTTGTAATTTACAATTAGCAGATTGAGGATAATAAAACGCTTCATGTTTGAGAATTAAATTTTTTTCTTGTGGGAGTTCTCCTCACAGCATCTCAGAAGGCACTAATTGAAAGGTGCTTGATTCGTTAAGAAAGAAAAGTGAACGCCGAAATAAATTATTATTTTGCATGCCACAGACGGCCTCGACCTGCCTCACACTCTGATAACATAATCATCCTCTTCTAACAAGCTTTCACTGAACTTTTTTTTTATTATTTGTCTGTGAACTTTTGTGCATTTCTTTAATAATTGTCCCAACCCACGCGACAGTTTTAAGCAGCGCTTCACGCAAAGGAATAAAAATGTTGCTGTGGAGAAAATTGTCGCGGATGCACTCGAGTGCGCGCAAAGATGTGCAATTCACTTTAAAGGATCTGATCTGATAATGATCGTGACTTTAAGATTTGCAACTTGCCGCAGAGTGTGGCTCAACACGAGATGAAATGCGAAAAGATTGTTTACTTATTAATTTCAAGGCAATTAATTAATTGAGCAACAACTGGATTTGCAGATGTGCTGGGGTGCTTCCACGTGTCTGGAAAACTGGCACACCTTCGCTCGGTGCCTGACAGCCCAGAAAGACTGGACACAAGATTTTATCTATACAGGAAAAATCCTCCAGACGCACGTGAACAAAGATCCATAGGTAAACCTTGTCAAACCACAGAATATTAAATCATCGATTTTTTTTTTAAAGGCGCGGAAGATGATGCTGAAATGATCGATTTTTTCAATTATCATAAACTGTCACTTTCAAATTTTGATCCCGAAAAAGACACAAAAATTTTGCTCCACGGCTACAAGGGTAGAGGCGACGGAGATAACGCCAAGAGAATACGAAACGCCTTTTTTGACAGGGTAAGTTGTCAAGAAAATTTTGATTTTTTTTTTTATAAACTTTTTACTAAAGGAGGATGTGAATATTTTCTCCGTGGATTGGTCGAACGGTGCCAAAGGGCCAAACTACCTCCGAGCCGTGGCCAATGCGGAATTAGTGGCTCGGCAGCTGGCACATTTGATTTTGGAAATGATTGCCATGGGGTCGAACCCCAAGCAAATCCACATAATAGGATTCAGTCTGGGGGCGCAGGTTGCAGGAATGGCAGGCGCCGAAGTGCAGAAGGAGGGCTTCAAAATAGGCAGAATCACGGGTAAAACTCGACGATCCAATTTTTTTTCTTTTAATTTCAGGAAAAAAAATAACAGAATGACATGGGACTAGAAATAGATCTAATTGAAGAACGAATACTGAAGATTATACTAAACTTTCCGTAGGTTTGGACCCTGCGTCATTCACCTTTGAGCGGGCCGGTCTGGACGCAGACAAGAGGCTGGATTTAACCGACGCAGAGTTTGTGGACGTGATCCACACGGACGGCAGTTTGATTTGGTCCGACGGCTTCGGAATTCTGGCGCCCGTGGGCCACGTCGATTTCTATCCAAACGGCGGACGCGACCAGCCTGGATGCAAAGACAGCTACGTCGGAGCGCTCACCTTCCAACTCAGTAAGTTGTTAAAATGGAGTCTTTTTTAGTCTGCAAACACAATAATTTGGGAAACCTGGTGAATAATTTATTGCTTATTATTAAAATGAAATATTACTGAAAAGAGCCTATTAACATTTAATTATTGCCGAAACTAAAAATGTTGATATAATAAGATCAGAAAAAATTTATTCAGGGGAGTTCAATTCTAAACTAATCATTTTCTAAATATAATTTTTAAGCTATTTTTTTCTTGATTTAAGTTTTAAAATTATTTTATTAACGCTTGGAGATTTTTAGAAGTTAATTTGCTTTTTTGTAACCCCGCTGGTACGCATGGCAGGCAACTAAAGCATGATTCAGTCCCAATACTAAAACTAGAAAAAAAGGGGTTCTTTCAGCGCAAAACATGAACAGCACAAACTTGTGCAGTCACGCAAGGGCCGTCGACTTATTCATCGAGTCGCTGGACCCGAGTTGTAAATTTTTGGCCTATCCTTGTCCCGGACTGCGGCAATTTGAGCGCGACTTTACGCACGGCAACTGCTTCACATGTGACGGAGGGTCTTGTGGCGAAATGGGATACCGAGCGCCTCTTAGAAGTGGAAGAGGGCCTCTTTACTTAGCCACCAGAGCCACAAAACCATATTGCGGTACAAAACTAATTTAATATATATTATATAATAATTATATTTTTTAATGTTTTTATTTCCACTTTTTTCTATTTGGTAAAAATAGGTATTAAATTTTTTATTTCAGATTATTTTGTTGCCTGTTTAATTTTTCTATTTTTAAAAGATTTTTTATATTCTTGATAGGCCAACAAATTAGAGCAGCAGTACAAATTTCGCCTCAGTCAAAGCTGACACGAGGGACCATGATTTTGCAGCTGCACCATGAGTCAAAAGTGACAACTTTTGAGTTGAGCTCATCCCGTTTAGGCTCACAGTAAGCTACAAAAATTTGCAAATCAAATTATGTAAAAAAAAAAATTGAACTCCAGGACTCTTGACATGATTAGTGCTGGCCAAGAGTTGAGCGCTGTAACTGCTACGGACGCCTACAGTATTTCTCCAGAAAAAACTCCGATTTTGTATGCAGCTTTGGCTTTCAGACCTAAAACTGGGCCTGCTGGCCGAATAACCAGCCAGCAGGTCATCTTGGACCGAATAAGTATTACGAGTCAAGAAGGAAAATGGTAAAGTGGACAATTTGTTTTGCAGAGAAAGTAAAACAATTTTTGCTTTTTGCAGGTGGCATTTCTGTGGTCGCAACACAACAGTGAAGTACACAAGTAAGCAGAGAAGCAAACCACTTATAGTGAAGCTGGATGGAAATCGATGCTGAAAAAATGACTGATCTCATTTACTAACTTGCTTTTGTTTGTTGTAAAAACTTTTGATTTTTAATTGGTGGAATTTGATTCTTCAGCTCATTCTGTTCGGTTAATTTTCCAAGCTGCAATAATGATTGCAATTTACTGTGGTACAAATCCATGACTGTTACTTAAGAAAACGTTCGGCACATTTTACAATTTATTTTACAGGGTAAATGGACAAACTGATGTAAGTATGGAAATAAAAACAAGAAAAAATAATTTTTACCTTTTTTCATTGGTTTTTTTTACTGCTATCCTTTGGTTTTATCTGATCCTATATAAAAATCAATTTAATTTTGGTATGATTAAATTTATATAACAATTATTCCGTACGTAGTGCTTCATATAGGAGAGGAAGACATCCCAAACAACAGTGGCTCCATTCACATACAGCACCCGGTACTTTCCAGGAACATAATGGAAATTGACATACTGGCTCGGTGGCCAAAAAAGCCAGTCAAACTAAAGAAAAGACATTACTTTGGTGCTCTATAGAGTTTTAGTTTATCAGACTTACAGCGTAGACAGTGACAAATTTTTCACGAAACTCTTTTGAACTCTCCTCTGTTGACCGCCCTTCAAGAAATCCCATTCCATAGAAAAAGCTGAAGGCAAAAAACGGGGCTGCCAGTATTTGGTCGGCAAGGATTTTTCGCCAAACTTGATTAGTCTTTAAATATCTGTCAAGCCAGATATACCAGTAGTGATGCACAGGGCCCATTACGAGACCCACAATAAACATTCGGCCTGGATTTTTTAGAGTTCAATTAAATTTTTTATAGCAAAAATAATAGCCAAAAGTTATACCTGTACGAGACCAGTCGTATTTTACAGAAAGTCCTCTCTTCTTTTCAATTGTTTGTTGCAGGCCATCTCCAAAGGCCAATAGACCGCCAGAGGTTACGGTATTAGTGAAAAGCAGCCACCTTTTGGAAAATAAGCGTTGGAACCACATCCTTATTTTTGTGTTGAATTTCTGAAAATTTTACATGGGGTTCAGGGGTTTAGCAATATTGTGTGAAGATGTAACAAAGAACAATCATAAAAATATAATAGCACATATAAGTATTATGTGCTGGAAAAATATGAACTTAAAAAAAATCTCCTGCATGCATGGTAATAATAATATTTAATTTTTAGAAATATGTAATTTACTTACACTTTATGTATGTAATAAGCACGAAATTGCATGTTTAATTATGATAAGGAAGAGTAGATCATTATTAAGATATCATAATATTTTGATGAAGAATCAGCAACGAAAGTAAAATAAATATGTAAAACTGTACCATGAGCTGCTTCGGCTCTTTTTGTTAATTTTGTTTACCCTGTCCAAATCCAACAGCTGATTTCGTACCACGTGACACGTGTTGTGAACAGCGTTTGAGGTTTGAGTTGGAGCGTGTTGGGTGCTTGCTCTGGTTGTGCTCAGCAGGCATTTTAGCTTTTTTGCTGGATTTCTCAATTCTCCCTCCAAAGGCAATCAGGTATATACAATTTGATATAATATATGTAATTCAAATGCGAAAATTTGTGCTGCGCACATGCTTGTTGTCTGTAGAGATTTACATTTTCAGCTTCAAAATTTAAACATAATTTAGCCTACATTACACGATCAACCTGCTTTTTGTTGCTGCTCTGAACATGTGCATTTTATGTTTTATCCTTAGAATGAATGGATGGAGTTTAATTATGAGGATTTAATGCTTTTACAGGATGGAAGTAGTGAGAATTTCTCGGAGATTCTTTTCAACAGCTTCGGCCTTGCGAAATGCAGCCAACAGTAAAATCAAAACTGGAGTGTTGATGATCAATATGGGAGGACCCGAGAGACTGGACCAGGTTCATGATTACCTTTTGGGAATCATGACCGACAGAGACATGATCCAGTTGCCTGTGCAAAGGTAATTTATTCATTGATGATTTTTCATATTGAATAATATAATACTATGCATTTGGATTTTTCAAATAGCAAACTGGGTCCGTGGATTGCCAAGCGCAGAACCCCGGAAGTGCAGAAGAAGTATGCAGAAATTGGTGGCGGTTCACCAATTCTCAAATGGACAAATAAGCAGGGAGAGTTGATGTGCAAGAAATTAAATGAGGTGTCCAAAGAAACGGGCCTGCACAAGCATTACGTTGCATTTCGCTATGTAACCCCGTTCATAGATCAGGCCATGGAGGCCATGCAAAAGTAGGAATTGAAATTTATGGGAAAGCTATATACTGAAAACTGGTTTTGTTCCAGGGATGGTGTGGAGCAAGTAATTGCATTTTCGCAGTACCCTCAGTACAGCTGTGCCACTTCTGGCTCGAGTTTCAACGCAATCTACGACTACTTTGCCAAACGGTAAATATAAACCCATAAAACTGCCTCAAAACTTGAGTGAATAATTTATAGGAAAGGTGATCTTGGGGGTATGAAGTGGAGCGTGATTGACAGGTGGCCGACTCACCCTCTCCTGGCCAAGGTATTTGCGGACCAGATTCGAAAAGAGCTTGATCAAATTCCTGAGGATCTCCGTGATCAAACCATTATCCTTTTCTCAGCTCACTCTTTGCCCCTGAAGGTTGTTAAAAAGTAATAATTATTTAATTTGAAAAAATAAATTGTTAATGTTTTGTGCAGGCTGTCCAAAGAGGCGATCCTTATCCTTCGGAAGTTGGCTCAACAGTCCAAATGGTCATGAACGAACTCAACTACAGCAATCCTTTCAACCTGGTTTGGCAATCAAAAGTTGGGCCTCTCCCCTGGTTAGGGCCATTCACTGATGAAGCTCTTGAAGGTTTGCAACTTTTTTTTTAATTTTATGCAAGTTACATTATTTATCTCTGCAGCATATGTGAAGCAAGGGAAAAAGAATTTTATTCTTGTGCCGATTGCTTTCGTAAATGAACACATCGAAACTTTGCACGAACTTGACATTGAATATTGCCACGATCTTGGCAAAAAGGTTTGCGCTTCATAATTATTTAATAAGTACACACTAAATTATGTATAAAATGATGACAGCTTGGAGTGCAAAATCTGCGACGTGCAGCTGCACCTAACGACCACCCACTTTTTATTGACGCCTTGGCCGATTTGGTGCAGCAGCGACTTAAGTCCAGTGCTCCTGGAGTTTCACCCAAGTTTTTGACCAGATGTCCTCACTGCACCAACGCCAGGTGCGGACAAACAAAAAGATGGTTTGCGCAAATTTGTGGAGCAAAATTCTAGGTAAAAAGAATAAGGGCATAATGGTTGAAAAGTGCTTTGAGGTTTGAATATTACAGATTGTTGAAAGCTGCATAAAATGTTTAGGTGAGGTATCTTTATTCACTAAAAGATTTGTTATTTGGTGCACAAATTAATGATCTTCTAAGATCATAATGAGATATATCAATGTGAATTTATTACATTAAAAAGTGTTATTGTTCATGTAAAAAAGGAGCATTTGAATAAATTTAGTAAAATAAAAAAAAAAATACCTATAATAGTGATGAAATTTATATAATTATACATAATAGCTAATTTTATTATTTTCCTCTTAAATATAAACTAATATCAACATATAAGCTTCAAAATATAAAAATGTTTCGAATATGAAAAAACTTTTTAAATATTTTTTCTTGTATACAATCGACTAAATTACATTATCCTTGCAAATAAATAATATAATAATATATTTCTTATGAAAATGTGCCCTAATATCCAAATTTATAATCGATTTTCCTGACAGAGAGGTTCAAAATTTATCATAAAACTGATCAATTTTGCTTTGCTTATTCAAAGTTTCGCGCTTGTAACTTGTGTCTAAATGAATTTTACAAAAAAAGGAGGGGCTTGTAGCTTCTGTCCTCCTCGTTTGTAAGGTGTGTCTGCGGTAACTTGTCTCCTACAACCGTGTGTAGCACACGCTCACACTCCTTTCTCAAACCCCTTCTTGTTTGGTTTGCGATTTATTTATGAAGCGGTCTAGCCTCAAACTTCTCACAGCAGGAAAAGGAAAACGTAAATATAAATGAAGAGCTTCCGATGACCGGACCCTAAGTCATCGGTTGTCTTGGATTTTAAACAAATATATTTGCTAACTAGAATATGGCAGAGAAGAGGCCTACAAACTTTCAGCCGCCCGTGAAAAGGACCAGCGGTAAAAAGACCGCAGGAGGAAACGCCCATGGTGACTACATTATGACTGTTCAGGTAAGAATAAAATTGAATTTTTCAGTGATGTGAAACCGAAAAATAATTAAGTTATATGGATAAATAAATGAAATACAAATTTTACAGGGACATGGAAGAAGTCCAGTCACTTCACCTTCGGAGGAGGACTTGGAAAAAATTGACAGAATAAGCGAGGTAGAGCCTATGGTCAGTAGGTCTTCGGCGACTCCGGATTCCCAATTAATAGAATCAATCAGCACGGACCAAAGCCGGAGTCCCAGTCTTGATCTCATGGGTTCTAACAGGAGGAAGGTAAGGCACCACACTGACTACTTTGACTTGATTTTCATTTAAACTTCCTATTTTTGCTCAGAAAAAAGTCAACATTTGCACCGAAAACTCAAATGATCCTCTCGTTGGCAAAGTCGCAACCTCCTCATCGTCCTTGGATAGAAGTGAATCGGATCTCACTAGACGATCACCTAGTGAAAACTTTTTAACCTTGACTGGCACAATCAAACGTGGTCGTAAGGCTGGGCAAAATGTAGACGTGAAGCTGAACATGTCCCGAGAAGAGCTTGAAATCATCGAGGCGGCGATCATGGAAAAAAACCCAAAGGAGAACCCCTGTTTTGGCATTCACATATTTATTTTCTCTGTTTTCTGCATCCCCTTCATCACGGTGGCTGCTATTGTGTACAACTTCTACATGGGCACACTAACCTGGTACAACATTTTCACGCACTTCAGCAATGGCTACAGCAAAATCTTCTGCTCCAAAATCATCTTCCCACCTTTCATCATTCTCCTGTACCCGATTTTCATCGTGTCTGCCTCACTGCTGCTGGGACTTTACGCAGGCGTTGTTCAGGTGTCCTTTGACCTAATCCGGTGGAAAACTCAGGTTCAAGATCTGGAAAAAGGCTTCTTCGGCTCCATGTGTTCAGCTCTCAAGCTTGAAGATTGCTCTCCGTACGAGGTCGTCATCCTGATGGACATAAGGCAGGATAATTCTGGCAGGAATTCTCAGCCAGAGGCTTAGATTATTTTTTAAGAAGCTCAAAATTGTCATGTCTCAAAATGCATTATTTTCTTTTAGAGATAAAGTCAAAAATTGTAGCAGCTACTAACTAGCTGTGCATCAAATTATGCATTAAAAAAAAAAATATGCAATTGTCAAAAATAAGGGAAAGATCAACTAGTGATATTAGAAAAAATATTGAAAGGCCGTGTGTGCTCTGCAGATTCTTTTTTTATGAAGTCTCAGTGCACGAGCTAGAAAAGATTAAAGCGGATTAAAGTTTTTGGCAAATTTTTGACACTGCATAGAGTTTTCACTGAACTTTTGGGTGCATTTCAATCATCACATTTTTCTCTGGCAATTGCATTTTAGATCACTATTGATTGATTTCCAAATCAATCTGAACACAAACACAACATATTTTAAAATTAAGACAAAAGTTGTTTTTTTATGTTTGTTTCTGTTCAATTTCTTAAAAATTTGATCGCAGTTTAGAAACAGGTCTGTTTTTGCAAGGAGCTATTTTATTTGCTAAATCAGATTATATTTTGTATTCCTTTTTTATTATCCTGATCATTTTATGTCATGCCCATGCCATCCCATTGCCATAGTTCACAACAAATTCTCAATAAGTTGTGATCACTTTTAGAGGCCAATGAATTTGATGATTTAAGATTTTTACATTTTATAGATTTATACACTGCTGATATCTGTCTAAGGTAGTTTGAAAAAACCAGAACTTTTGTATTTACGTGTCTAACAAAAATAATTCTTTCTGTGATATGAATGGTATTCCAATTTGAAATTAGCAAACAACATGGTATAATAATAATTATCAAGTCATCCACATTAACTCTGTATTAATTTCCTAAAATATTGTTATAATTCTTTATTTTGAATACTTGTCATATCAATTTAAATTTAAAAGTCATATTATCTGTACACATCAAATTTCAAAATTACTTTACTTATATTTATGTGCATTTACATGAAAATGATAATATATATCAAAAATTTATAAATCATTTTGTCATTTTTACTGATTTACACTTCCAGATTATTATTTAATTTTAAATTTTATAGAAAACAAAGACCGATAAATTGAATTCAGAAAAAATAAATTAAATTTTGCAGTCAGTTTGTATAGTAAACCAATTTTATTCACAATCACAACACTGCAATTACTGTATGTAACTGAAATAATGTGAAATATTCCAATAAAAGCGAAAACTTCTTATGCTTATAAGTCAAAATTATTATACATTTTTTTTCAAAATTTTTTATATTTTATGTATACATATTATGTCAAGCTAAAAATTATTCAAATTTTTTTACTACAATTACTTCTTCCTTTTTTGCTATTATCGCTAAGCCGAAAATTACTAGGCTTGTTCCAGTCCACCAAAGCAAGCCAGTTTTCTCACCAAACAGGAATACCCCCAAAAGTGCCTGCAATTAAGAGAATTATGTAAAAAAAATTTGTTCAATTTGAATGTTTTTTAAAATGAAAAAGGCATAAATATGACTTACTGATACAATATAATTTGTCGCTGTGCTTATTACAGTTGCTGGAAGTGAAGAGTTTGAATGTTGGAGTGCTCTCACATAGAAAGACCAGACAGACGCATTGCAAGCAATCATTAAAATGAAGAACGTGGACCGCAAACCAAACAAAACATATTCCTGAAAATAGGATTATTTTTATTATATTGAATTCTATGAAAGTTATATTATAAATACCAAACTTCTGCTAATACAAAAAAATTATTAGAAATTTTCAAGTACGTACGTACCTCGTTCACATGGAAAATTACTTTAGAAATATTTACTAATTGCATCAGAGTGCGTGTCGACCCAGATAATTTTCCAAAAACACTACCAAGAGCAGCAGAAATTCCTGCGACAAATGCAAATTGCATTTTTTGGAAGAACATCGCTCTCTGACAACTTTTAGCCGATTTACCGCCAAGAATTGCTTAAAAATGTTTTGGTAAACCAAAGCGACAACACAACAAAAAATAATGTTGGATCCAACTTTCTATATTTTGAAGAAAAATCGTAAAATTTTTGTTTTAGTGACATGTAAAAACTATATTTTAACTTCTTTTAAATTTAAATATTCAGTTCATAGGACAATTCTTATAGAAAAAAGTTTCACTCAGTCTTTGTTATATTGGTGACTCCTCTCATGTTCCCATACAAGTCCCAGCCAGGTGATTCTGACACCGAAAAATGGAGCCCTATGATGTGGTCATAAATCAGCCTGTTGTCATCGATAATGTAAGTTATTCTTCAGGAAGAAACGTTAATAATGAATTTATTATTATTTCTCAAGTTTGGGCCAAAATTTTGAACTCGGAGTTCAATTTTTCTCATTCAATTTCGATTTAACCGAACGAGGAGCACCTTCGTCCATGTAGTGTGTGGGGGTGTGGTTGCTTTTTTTTTGCAAAAAATCTGCAATAATATATTAAAAATAAATTTAATTATATCCTCAAATTTGTCTCTTTAGGGATCAGGAGTAATCAAGGCAGGTTTCGCTGGTGACCAAAATCCAAAATGCCGCTTCCCAAATTAGTAAGTATTCAATATTATACACACACTTAAGTTTAAAAGTACATAAGTTTATGTACATTCGATACACCAAAGCCACAGGATGGGATCATGAGTCACACACCCAATAAATTGTAAAGCTTTGTGAACCTAAATTTTTATCAACCAATCCCAAATTTATTAAATAAAATCGTAGATTCGATATTTAAGCATAATGAAAATAAAGAAATTTATCTTATTTTTAGCATTGGTCGCCCAAAACATGTAAGGGTGATGGCCGGTGCCCTGGAAGGTGATATATTTGTTGGTCCCAAAGCAGAGGAGCACAGAGGTCTGCTGAGCATTAGGTATCCCATGGAGCATGGCATTGTCACCGACTGGAATGACATGGAGCGCATCTGGCAGTACATTTACAGCAAAGACCAACTTGGGGCGTTTTCAGAAGAGCACCCAGTTTTGCTGACAGAGGCGCCACTCAACCCCAGAAGGAACAGAGAAAAAGCTGCTGAGCTCTTTTTTGAAACCCTCAATGTCCCAGCACTTTACGTCTCCATGCAAGCAGTTCTCAGCTTGTAGGGTTAAGAAGTAATTATTTAAGATTCATTCAAAAATATTTTCTTCAGATATGCAACTGGTCGTACAACAGGAGTGGTTCTAGACTCAGGAGATGGTGTCACTCATGCGGTGCCTATTTACGAAGGTTTTGCCATGCCCCACAGCATTATGAGGGTGGATATTGCAGGCCGTGATGTCACGAGATACCTAAAGTACAATAGGAAATAATCTAACTTGCCTAAATTTTTTTAACAATTTCATGGTTAGAATGCTGCTGCGAAAAGAGGGGGTCAATTTCCGCACAACAGCTGAGTTTGAAATAGTTCGCACTATCAAAGAGAAAGCTTGCTACTTGTCCAAAAATCCACAGAAGGAAGAGAGTGTTGAATCTGAGAGAGTGCAATATCAGTTACCAGATGGCAGTATGCTGGAGGTATGAAAAAAAAAATGAAGCAGAGCCCTAAAATTTGCTCTACTTTATTTTCAGGTTGGTCCCGCCAGATTCCGGGCACCTGAGGTCTTGTTCAGACCAGACCTGGTCGGTGAAGAGTCGGAAGGCCTCCATGAAGTTCTCCTTTATGCTATCCAAAAGTCAGATCTTGATCTTAGACAAGTTCTTTACCAAAACATTGTCTTATCTGGAGGTTCCACACTTTTTAAAGCAAGTATTTTGTGTTGTCCTTGCTTGAGTGATTCTAATTTGTATCATTTAGGGCTTCGGAGAGAGGTTGTTGGCAGAACTGAAAAAGTTGGCACCCAAGGATATTAAAATTAAGGTATGTCGGAGGGTCTAAGCCCATGTAATTAAATAACCCATGCTGTCTGTCCATTTCTAGATATCTGCACCCCAAGAACGCTTGTATTCAACGTGGATAGGTGGCTCTATATTGGCCTCTCTGGACACATTCAAGAAGATGTGGGTTTCAAAAAGAGAATTTGAGGAGGAGGGTCAAAGAGCATTGCATCGCAAAACTTTCTAATCTTCCTGATTTGAAGCGTTCCAAGGGCAGCTCAAGGAAGTTTTTCTTATGTTAATTTTCACTGCAAATGTACTTTATTTGTGGTTCACGAGCATACAGCCAAATAATCAACGTCCTCTATACATTCAAATCTGGTGGTTGAAAATTTCAATGGAATTGAGCAGCTAACTAACAAAGCAAGCACATGATCGATGAAAGACTTCTAGCCCTTAAAAATATTCTTTAGCTGCAAGTTCATTATTTATTATAATCCTAGATGCACTCATGTTTTTTTAACTTCAAATATTTTGGTTAATCATTTGATAATATAACATAAACGGTCAGCACTTGTCAGCAAAATTGGATGGCAATCTTAATTTTTTGTTCTTAATTCTGCAGTAATATTAAATATTGCTTTATATAATAAGATGTACTGTGTGTGTCTGCTTTTTAAAAATTCCTTTATTAATGTTCTTTGGATTCGACAGAAGGTAAAAATCGTCTCATTATTGTGAATTAAGTTGAATGCAATATTATTTAATTCTAATGCAACCACCCCAGTGCAGTGGTACACAAATCTCTTAACCTTTTCTTGCAACTCTCAATAATAAGGTTAAATCAGTGAATTTAAAACTTGTTGTAAAAAATAACATTCAACATTGATTAACCTGCAGGCTGCAAATTTTATATACATATATCTTAACCACTTAGATTCTGAGACTGGATAACAAGAAACCTTATCACAAACATCCAGATTCTTCAAGCACGACAAATATTAATATCCTAAAACTATTTCATCATCTCTTAGGAGTCATTAAAAATCAACACGTTTCAATTGTCGCCACTCAACTAGCACAAACTCGCTCGGCCTCTTTCTCTCAGACAGTCTAATGGCCGGTGCAAACCTTCACAGACAATTTGCTTATGAGCTACAATCTTAGTCTTTGTTCAATCTGACGAGGAGGACGTGATCAACGGCTCCTTATCGGATGAACTGTCTAACAAGCCAACTGCCTCCATCACTGCCGCGGCTGCCGCCCCTGGACCATTAACCTCGGAGGAAGGGGTCACTTCAGGAACAGCAATCGTAACTGACTTGACGTTGGGTTTGCTGGAACTCGAAGATCCCACCCAGGCTGTCTTGGATTGCCAGGCTGGTGCTGGTGCAACGCTGGATGTGGCGCTTGGGTCAAATTTGCTTAGTCGCTCACTCAGGGCCTTTAATGCCTTTTCTCTGAGAAAAGAAGAATTTAAAAAATTATGTATAAAAAATTATGAAATAATTTAGATAGATTTTTAAATTAAAGACTGGCGATTTTCATGAAATGAAGTTTGTGTCCAACCTTCTCCTGTCTTGATCCTGTGGCTCACTTCCTGGCAAACTGATTGTGATAGCAGTAGATGCTCCCAAGTCGTATTTGCGCACAGGCTTTTGGCACAGTCCTGCACTCACAAGCAAACCGTGGATTGTGTTGCCAATTACAGCTATTGGAGGCTGCACCACATTTGGAAAAAAGCTAAAAATCCGAGGATTAGATTTCAAAGGTCAATTGTAATAAAATGATAAATATAATAATACTTTGCAAAGCAAAAGCTCTCTGCCATGTCTCCACGAGTGCCGTTCGAGTGCCGCTGGTAAAATCTGAGGTACGTCCAGCTGACGAGGAAACCGCATGCGTACATTGTAGGGTAGGTGCCCTCAATGAGACCAATCAAGTACAGAATGAGAGACAATCCCAGGACGCTGAGGGGAATGTTCCTGTTGGTGATTTTGCCGATTGGAGACCGGAAAACGAGGTGCTCTGGCATTATTTGTTTCACGGCCACCGAAAGTGCCGCGATGTAGCCGGCCAGACCATGGATGTGAACTTCAAAGAGCAGCTCTGTGTTGGACGTGCACATGTAGAGGAAAAGGTAGAAAAACGCTGAAAGGACAGCAACGCTGAGGTTGACGACGCCGAAGAAAATCAGCATCTCGACCAGACCCCATAATGGTTCAATAAGTTTCCCACACAGAACCTACAAGGACATAAGGTTTGCTCGTTTAGAGTCTAGCCAAACGAATTATGCTAAGTGAATCTTACGAGTGTTAGGACGTCGATAAGCAACTCCCAGAGGTGCAACTCAAGAAAACAAAATGTAAAAGCCGAGTATATTCGGAAAGTGGGTGGCAAGAAGTAGCCTGGCGTAACGCTCAGAATTTGCACCAAGTAGTCCGAGTAGGAAAGAAAATAACAGCACACGGTTAAGGAACTAATTAACTTGAAAAATATGCTAGTGTTGGACGTGAGCGCCCCGAGCTGCTGCTTCACGAATGGCAAATTGCGGCTGACTGTCTTAAAAGTCGCCATTTTTCACCACAACACAAATCACACGTACGTAAACATCAGGGTGTAGAAGAGAAGAACGAAAAGGGGGAGTGGCACACTTGACTTAATGACGTCACAATATAAAAAATATGTACCGGTTTAACTTGAAATATCAGATCAATATTGGGGGAAAAAAGTTGCAAAACATATTTTCAAAAAACTAATTATGCAGAAGAATAGTGCATTTTAAAGTTTTAATTCCAAATCTAACTCTAAATAATTGAAAATAAGATAAATTGTTGATAATTTCATAGTCTATTGAAATTTTAAACACTACCGGTTTCATCTTTTTCACCGGTATTATTGAAACTCTTTACCGAAAACTACGCCATTTACGCCCCTTACGGCGCTTAACGGAAGCTTGCACATATGATTGTCATTTAGGGGACTGTGACTGCAGTGCGATAGACAGAATAATTTTTAATCGAGGAAAATAAGAGTTTTTCCTCTTTCCGTGTTTTCAAATGATGAGGTGACTTGGCTTGCCGGATATTTTCTCTTCAGCTAGCTAAATCAATAGCGTAGAAACTATGAGCGACCTTTTCAAATCTGCAATGGGCTACTTCAGCTCCAGCTCAGCCCCTGGAGACCCTTCTGGTCAAGGCAATGAGTTTGTAGGCCAAGTTGTGGAGATCAACAACGTCAAGCTCAGAATCAGGAAGCTCATCGCCGAAGGTTCGAAATATCTATTTTTAGCTACCTTGACCTTAAAAATTTATCGTTTTCTTATCCATTTTGCACAGGTGGTTTTGCTCTTGTTTTCATTGCTCAAGACATGAACACTGGCAAGGAATATGCTCTCAAGGTAACGCCAACAGTGCTAGAGATAATAATTTGTTTTTCTATTATACCTTACAATATTTTGTGCAGAGAATGATGGCAGCTGATGAAGAGGCAAACAGAAACATTGCCCAAGAAATCAGCATTCTGAAAAAGTTAAACGGACATGCAAATGTGATTCAATTCATGATAGCACACCAAATAGAGAAGTCGAGGACTTCACATGGAATGACTGAGTATCAAATTGTGACAGAATTGTGTACAGGTATTAATTTGATTTTCTAAAAATTACAATATATTCTCTGATATTCTCAAACCATGCAACTGAATTACACTATTGTAACTCTTCTCAGGTGGAAGTTTGATTGATGTTCTGAATGTTCGGGCGGGTAACCCTCTTCCCCCAATTACGGTATGTCAGATTTTCTGGCAAACTTGCAAAGCAATTCAACACATGCATGCTCAGCAGCCTCCGATTACCCATAGAGACTTAAAGGTAAACTACCTGATGATGAAATTGGGTGGATCATCAAAATAACGTAAAACTGATTTACAGATTGAAAATCTTCTAATCGGTGCTAATGGGCAAATAAAGCTTTGCGACTTTGGCTCAGCCACCATGAAAACATTCCATCCAGATTTAATGTGGTCGGCTGCTCAGAGAAGCTTGCTGGAAGATGAGGTGAGGGGAGTTAAAATTTTTTATAACTGTTTTATTTATATTTAATAGATGGCAAAATTCACCACACCAATGTACCGTGCGCCAGAGATGCTGGACACTTGGGACAATCGACCCATTACACATGCTAGTGACGTCTGGGCCCTCGGATGCATTCTTTACATGTTGTGCTTCATGAAACATCCCTTCGAGGATTCGGCCAAGCTTAGAATATTGAATGGCAACTATGCAATTCCTGCTGGGGATACGAAATATTCTTGGTATCATGATATCATCCGTGAGTTTAAAAATAAACAGAGGACGGTTGGCTTGAAGGCTGTCTTTTAGGTGGTTGTTTGCAAGTTGATCCTGAAAAACGGCTCACAGTGTCTGAAATACTGGAAAGGTTGGCTGCAATATCCGAAAGCCACCGCATTGACGTCAAAGAGCCATTGAAACTTCAGGGGAAAAGACTTGATAAACCTAGTCCAACTCATATGACACCTAGTCCAGGTAAAAATATAGATGTTATAAATTTTTTTATTTTAATAACTAATATTGCCATTAGCAAACCATCCCGTGGCAGAAGAAGGAAAAACGCCCCAACGTCCTCCACGGCCATCCCAAGCGCCTTCCCGCCCCAGTGGTGGGCCTCCTGAAAATCACCCTTTGCCGCAAAGACCCCCTCCTCCTCAACAAGCACCTCCAACCCAAAGTGGAGGCCTGTTTTCATCAATCAAAGGTGGCGCAGGCAGTTTTTTGAAAAATTTGAAAGACACCTCTTCTAAAGTGATCAATACAGTCCAGCAGTAAGTAACTTCTTGAGAAACAAGAAACATGCATATAACATGTCATTGCATATTTTTAGGAGTATTGCAAGATCTGATTTGGACTTAACTTACATCACTTCACGAGTTGCAGTCATGAGTTTTCCAGGAGAGGGATTGGAAATCACCCACAGAAACAATGCTGAAGACGTCAAGGCGCTACTCGAGAGCAGGCACGGTGGATATTTTATGGTGTTTAATGTGTCTGGTCGGTCCTACAACCCTGCCAGGTAAATTTTGGAAACTGAATTTGAGTATGAATTTCAACTTGTTTGACAGAATTGGAGGAAGAGTGGTGGATTGCCACTGGCCCGGTAAAGGGCGGGCACCTCCTCTGACACATCTTTACTCTACTTGTTCTGCAATGCTGGATTTTCTCGGCAAAGACAACCGAAACATTTGTGTTGTCCATTGCATGGATGGCCGAGCCTCTTCTGCTCTTGCCGTGAGCGCTCTCTTGATGTACACAGGACTTTTCAAAAGGCCGGATGATGCAGTGCAAATGTTCGCTGTCAAGAGATTTCCTCCCTTCCTAAGTCCTTCCGAAATGAGGTATGACAATATAAAAAATAAAAATAATTAAACTCACCATTTACCATTTTGCAGGTACTTGTATTATCTGTACAACATCCTACAGCCATCACCTCTCTTGCCTCACCACCAACCAGTTCATCTTGTGTCTCTGATTCTCCAACCAGTGCCAATGTTCACTAAAGTAAGAGACGGTTGTCGGCCATTCATGGAAATCTACCAAGATGATCACAAAATTTTCACCACCCTTCAAGATTACGAGCGAATGAATGTGTATCATATCACAGATGGAAAGGTATGCAAAAATGCAAAGCCTTGTGAGCGATTTCAGAAAATTTAACTCTTTTGCAATCAGATTGCCCTGCCAATTGGTCTACAAGTTCAAGGCGATATCTCAATTATAGCCTATCATGCCCGGAACACCATCAGCGGAGTGATTTCCCAAGGCAGACCTTCAGGTGCATTTTATTTCTTGAACCAAATTTTAAAAGTCATTGATAATAATTCTCTTTTAGGCATCAGGATTGGCCAAGTACAGTTTCACACAGGGGTCATTGCAGAAGAAATGACAAGTCTGCGATTCCAAACATGTGAACTAGATGAAATCGAAGTCAGCCCTGATCACTATCCCGAGAAGTTTTCGTTGACTGTCAGTGTGTTTGTATCTGACGAAGTGCGGTCTCCTTTACGACCCGAGCCATGGCTTGATCATCAATCAAAAACTCTCTCTTCAGACCTATTGTTCTCCACAAAACTGGAAAAAGAAGAAGTTGTTGAAACATTTGGTTAGTAAAAATTTCTCAAAATCTATGCTATCACAAATACTGTCTGAAATTCAGTGCATGTCCCTACAAGACCTCCTCCCAGGCCAGCACCTCCGTCTCACACTGAGGCGCAGCGCTCTTCTCCACCTTTGGTGCCCGCACATTCTAATACTCCTCCTCCAAGACCGCAGCCACCTGTAGTCCACAAGCCAGAGGATGTGCTAGACACCAAGCCTGATCTTCAGAAGGTTTGACATCAGTGAGGCACTCTTTGAGTTATCTAGCGTGTCTTTTCAGGACAATGTACAAGCTGAATCTGTAGCAGACACGATCGATCTTCTAGGACTAAACTTAGGTGCTTCGATCTCAAGTAATACCACGTCTAACATGCCAAAGCCTGGGAGCAATGTGGACCTTCTTGGTGGTTTTGGGGCTGGGCCGGAAAACCTTCTCAACCACCCAGATTTTATCCAGCCTAGTAAACCACAAACCAAGATTTCCGAAGATTTATTTGACCCTTTTGGAATATCAGTAAATTATTCACAGAAATTAGTGTTCTAGTATAATTATTTAATGATGTGCTTCAAGGGAAGTGAGGGGCTTACTAGCACTCACCACAGTGACACAAACCTGCTAGGAGGATGGGCCAATAATCCATCGGCTAACGGAATGGTGAGAAACTCCAGCACACCAAACATGGAAACCAAAACCAATAGTGATCCATTTGCAGATTTGGGTTTGTGATTTAAATCTAAATCTTAAAAGCTGAATTGACAATAAGAGTCTTGTTTTCCATAATCAGGATCATTGTCGGGCCTTGCTCCAGTAGGAGGGGGTGGCTGGAGTGTAGGAGGTGGCTCATCGAAGCCCACAACTCCCATGAATGGCAGTCCAATGGGAGGTTCACCGTCTCATCGGCCAAACTCCATGCCAAACTGGAATGCATCAAACAGTGCAAAATCCCCGACAGGTGCAAACTAAAGCTATTTGATCATATCTTACATATTTTTAAATAAAAGTTAATGATTTCATGTTCATTGTTATTATTATTAAAATAATACTAAAAAAATATATATATATTGTAGGCACCCCTCAACACCAAATGAAATCTCCTAGTGAACCTCAACGTCCTGATTACAGTCGATCACACTTTGACACAGCACATAAAGATCGTAATTATTTAAAAGTAATCAAGAAAGAGATATTAATGCTTTTGGTGCAGCAGATAAGCAGGCCGGAACTGGAGTTAGGCCAAAAGTTGGTGATGCCTTTGGCGACCTTCTGGGCTCGCAAGGCTATGCTTTTTCGTCTGCAAAAGATACAGGACCAAAGACGATGAATGCCATGCGCAAGGAGGACATGGCTCGAGATATGGACCCAGAAAAACTCAAGGTTTTCACTAGGGCAAATTTGAATTGTTGTTAAGTATAATTTACTTACTGTTCAGATTGTGGAGTGGACTGATGGCAAGGAGAAGAATATTAGGGCGCTCTTGTGCTCACTGCACACGGTCCTTTGGGAGGGCACGACATGGAAAACTGTGGGAATGCACCAGCTTGTGACTGCAGCTGAAGTGAAGAAAACGTACAGGAAAGCTTGTCTGGCTGTGCACCCTGATAAGGTAGGCTCCATCCTTGTGCAATATTTCAATAATAATAATAATGATCTCAATTTTTGAACTTTTGAAGCAAATGGGCTCTGACAATGAAAACATGGCCAAGTTGATATTTATGGAGCTGAACAATGCATGGAGCGAATTTGAAAACGATCCCATGACACAACAGATGTTTGGTTGAGCGCCTCTCTACATCATTTTGATTGGATTATAAGTTTCAGGGCAAATTTACTTATTTTATGTAGAGATTTGAGGCTTTGCTCTGTTGGCTGAAGTTTGAAAGGCTTAATCAGTCATTTGCTTTTTTCTAGAGAAGCGGCAGAGTCTCAATAATATACGTGTTTTACGTCAAAAGATGCTATTTTGTTATATTTTTATTTGGTGCTAAAATATCATTAATTTATTGATTTGTTACAATTTTCATGGATCTTCTCAAACTGCGATTGATAAATAATATCAGTCGAAAGCAAAATATAGACGATTGAAATATATTAATGATTGTAAACCTTGGTAAACTTATATCACCACAGATAACGTGCTCTTGAAATGGGTAGAGAATTAAAACCACATCATTTAATGACAGAAGCATAATAATATATTATATATATTTTCAATTTAATTAGCATCAAAAGTTGTTAAGGTCGGACTGGCATCGATCAAATTGTAAATGTTGAAAGTTCAATAATAATATACTGTTGGCAAATTTTGACCCAGATTAACGTGAATTTAAAAGGAGCATTCCACAGAAATAGTCTTTTGTTTGAAATATAGCTTCATGTGCTCGTTTTTTATATGCAAAATTATTATTAAAAAAAAAGAAACAGCAATGCTTCATATTGTGGAACAACTTAGTGCTTATGACTAAATGGGCAAAAATGTTCTCAATTTTTGGCATTACCAGATTGTTTTTGAAAGTTTTTTTTTGCAAATGATCTCTTAAGATGTTATGATTGATTTCTGGGCCAAAATAAGTATACAAATAAAGCAAGTGCAATGAATTCAGCCTCTTGAATCAGCAATTATAGAAATTTCCTTCATCAGAAGTTGATTAGGTTTGTCTGAAATAAAAACTATAAACTGCTCTAATGTTACCCAATTTCTTTTATTAAGACTTGATCTCAAACTACGCGATGATTGCTCTGATTAAAGTGGGAAATAATGTAAACAAGATTCGTAGTTGATACTCCTCTCAATCTTCAAACGTTGATCGCCGCGTGTATAATTTTGATAGCCCCGTCTTTTTATAATATAATTATGTAATGCAACATTCAAGGTAGCTACATCTATAAGAAATCGCCACATCAATACAATTATTGTTTAATGGTTTGTGTGCTCTGCTACTGTGGAAGAGTTGCTTGCGTCTTTAAATTGTGGGTGTAAAATGCATTGGGAGTCATCCAGCCGATCATGTGCCCTCACACTTTGCCTCGCTTACCGCCCGGATTTTTACCTAACATGCTGCTGCTTTCCCTGAAACAGGCGGGTAAAAATTATTTGCTGGAAAAAATAGAGATAGAGGTGAAAATAACAAAATTTGTAATAAATTGCAATTTATTTTCTACATAAATTAAATTATTGAAGACTTCTTTGTTCAAAATGAGATCTGATGTTGTTTGAATTTTTTTAAAGTCACGATTAAATAATATATATAATTTTATAATAAATACTAATTAGTGGCATTGCCTCGGGGAGACGGTTCAGAACGTCGCGCCTCTTCCTGAAAAGCGGCAGCTCTCGTTCCATCAAACCTCCGGGGGCGTGCATCATTTGCTGCAAAAGATGAAAAAAAAATCGGATAAAAACAAAGATGAAGCCCGCCAGCAGTAGTGGATCCTGTGACATCAAAACCTTCCCTTTCTGACAAAGCATTGATAAAAGTTTTTGAAATAAGTTTTGTTTTGCGAGCATCTCTCTCAAATTTCATAATTCTAATTATTGCAAAAGTTCAGAGGGCAAAGCAACTGAAAACCCCATAAAAGAATTATTTTATAGTATTATTTTGATCTAAGGCTAAGGACGAATCAATTTAATTTTTCGTATCTAAATTTCCAACAAACCTGGTGGCGCTGACGGAGAAGTTCATTGCGAGCCTCTTGAATTGCTTCCCACAATTTCGCCTCTGAAATAATTTGCCGGTTCACATCAGCTAACAAGGGTTCCTGGCCAACATCCACTAAAGCCCCCATCGACTCGTCAGAACGCTTTCGACCGCAGCCTTAAAAGATTTGAAATCGAGCAGATTACATTTTGCAGACACAAAAAAGGTTCAATATTTTGGGAATAGAAAAAGTAAGATTGGCAAATCCCCTGTCGGTCTGTTTATCTTTGAGCAACATGACGCGTTTATTTAGTGGAACTCAATGCTTAGAAATAAATCTAGCAAAGAAAATTATCCAGCCCTGAAAGCATAAGGGATTTATACACTTGCTACATTTGAAGCGTTATAGAGAATCTTGCTGTATTAAAAGTGTTATTTCTAAATTAAAAATAACAAAACTTGTAAGATTAACCTGTGAACGCATTGCAGAAAGGTCTTTTCCTCTTTGGCTCATTGCCTGCATCGGAATCGTCTACTTCCTGAAAAACAAAACAAAAATCGAATGCTTTAATTGAATAAATGCCACGGCCAATAAGCGAGAGAGCGAAAGAAAAATCGACTGCTGCGACTTTTGCATCCAAGCATTGATTAAGCGCTAATTAGGGCCGTCGAGAGATCGTGAATGGTTTTTTCTCTCTCCCATCCACGCTAAAGGCATCATTCAATTCGTAGCAGCTTTGTTGTTGGTGTATTATTTATTTATGCACTCCGCCTCGTCAAATCTTTTTTTGTGCTTGCCCGAGCCGGCGGAGAAAAATGCGCACAGCTGGGTACATAATTTCACTCACCCTCGTTATGGGGGTAAAAATATAATGTGGATAGAGCAAGAGGGAGAAAAAGATGCTGTTTATTCATTCTGTGGTAATCCTTTTCAACTAATTTATTTTTTAAGCGCTCAAGCCAAAAAAATATTGAATTTGAATAAAATTTTAAAATGTTGCAAATGAGACGCGTTGCAATGAGAGTGGCGACGCCTCATAATTTAATAAAGATAAATTTAATAAATTATTTTTACCCTTTTCCTGATATCTCTGGACGCTACTAGGTTGACAAGGACGAGAGCGCAAATCGCCAGACAGGTCACCTGACTTGAGGACAGCATTCTCAAGAATTAATGACACTGCTCTTCACTGTACCTGTAGCAAAGCAAAGTAATATACATCATTGAAAGTGATTCAAAAATATGTCGTAATAGATAATGAAAAAATAGTGTGCCTCCATGAAAGGGATATTATGAAACTGCATGTTCGTTCAGATTACACTCTACTGCCTATTTACGCCTGCATGTCTCAAAAGTATGCAACCCGCAAGTCTTTTCAATAAAATTCAAAGTACAGGGGGTTGGCTGTGGCTGATACGTTTGTAGGTTTGCATTACACGTACGCACGACGAGCGCAGCATGCAGGATGAGTTACTGTTGATCGCTGTTGACAATGTTAAATGATGTTTGTAATGGAAAATACAAAAATAAATATTTGAAATTTAGGCATCTATATTTCTTTTTATGCCAGGGTCAAAATGAATAAAAATCACTAATTCTAAACATTCAAGAAGACAATTAAGCAGATTTTTTTTAAGAAAAAAAATGGATTGTGGAAATATCAAGGAAATCAAATTGCACATAATAATTTTTTTTTTAAATTACAACATTTAATAATAATTGTGTTTTACTCTAATGCAAGAATAAATTCAGCGTTAAGTAGCGTTGGAGTCTGGAAAGATAATAACTTATAATTTGTAAATAAGTAATCAATAAAATTTCTTTGAAAATAAGTTTATGCCAGCGAAAATAAATGATGCTTGATTTCAATAAAGACAAACCCAAAAACAAAATTAAATTAAAAATGACAAAATTGAGTGGCGCCTTCTGCGCCACTTAAAAGGGCACAGGCCGACAAGACCTTGTCTTGGCCTGACCCTTAAAAAAAATTTTGTTCTTCGTTGGCGTGCAAACTCAATCGCACAAAGGGAGTGACGCAATCGCACGCGCGGCGGTGTCAAACGACCTATCTGACGGATTTATGAAAATGCGACCATGATTTATGGAGGTCCGTGAGAACGAACTCCTTATGCTGTTTATCAGGCAAACATGCGTCAGCCCTGCATGTATGCAACCCCGCGTCAGTCGGAAAAACCACACTCTGGAGGTGTCAGTCTCTTAATTAACTTCATAAGCCGGATCATAGTATGCTCCACTTTTGGAAATTGTAAGAGTTGCGTCTTGAAATCACCTTTGCCACACTCTGCCTCTGACACTCTTCTTAATTAAAAATACACTTGCGGTAAAAAGTGTTTTTAAACAAAATAAGCTAAATGGACTTTTGGTACTTCTTTCTCAGTGAAAAAAAAAAGAATCGCTACACAAATTATTTTCTTCCATGGAAACTGGGCTACTGCAATAAAAATTAAATTTGAATAAAAGAGAGTTCCAATTAAATTTTATTCTGCGGCAAGAAAAAAATACTCGTCGCATTAATTAAAGCGCGCCATTAAGGGATGCTGGTTAAGTGAGCCTGAAAATTAAATCTGCAAATTTTAGCGACAAGAAATGAATGCGTGTGAAATGAGCGTCGGGAATTATGTGATTTGCATAAAGCGAGATCCTTCAAGAAAAATTGGTTTCCCGCTTTTTTGGCAGCTCTTGAAAACAGGATCATTAAACATTATTTTAGCAACCTGTTTGCCAGAGGTGTTGCCGTTTCTTCACATTTTGTAATCTTTTTCTTTTCATGACTTGATTTGTGAAGAATAAACAATAATAATTATAATATTATCTGCTTTAAAAGTACATCTTTTCACGTTTTTACAACAATTATTATGAAGTCGGGGTTGTTCGAACCCCAAAAATCCAGTTTAAAACAAAAAAAGTATTACTTATTATTGTTGTTTATTCTTCACGAATCAAGTCAAATGAGAAAAAATTACAAAATGTGAAGAAACGGCAACACCTCTGGTATAAACAACTAAACAAGTTGCTAAAACGCGGGGCCTCCAGAGAGGTCCGCGCCAAGATGGGCCGCAAGCTAATTTTACTTATCACTTAATTTTACGTATAACAATAAAAATCTGCAGAAACAATTAATTTCCAACCTGGATGCAACGTCCAAATTTTCAAATGTGTGTGTGTTTTTTTTTCTAATTTAATGCGTAATTTGGTTAGATGTTTAATAGTTTAATTAAATCGATATAACAAAACAACCTCATTGTCAATCTCGAAGTTTTTACTAAATCTTTATTCGCGTAGATGCATTCAACGTTTCCCTAAAAACTTTTCTTTCTTTGTATAACAATTTTCAATAATAATAATAATACTTTGATAGCTTCTAGATCCAGCTATTATTTTTAATTTTCGATACATTGTTGTTTTTTGTCTAATTTCAAAACCTTTTTGTCTTATCATTTGTTTGTGAGTTGGCCTATTTTCAACATTTTTTTTTATTTAATAATCTCTCTCTGTCAAATTTAGAAAATAAACGAGGTATATTGGGGAACGGTGACCCCTCATCACTTTCTAGATGGATTTTAGGGACACTTGATATCAAATCCCTCCATCAACTTAAGGGCCGCGTGTTTTATTTTTAGCTGAAAAGTGAACGACCATCTCGAAGGTCTGCATTTTATTGGTTCAGACCGTTCAGGCTACATTATTATAACTTGTGGAAAGAAATGAAAAATATGTTTTCTTAAATATATTTTACTCAAATTGAAGCAAAACGTACAAAAACGAATTAATTAAATTATTTTCCTTGGAATGAGTTTGCATGCATGTGGCTGACGTGCGCGTGATGGAAAAACGAGTGCTTGTGGCTAAATGCTTGATGAGACGTACAAGCGCGATTTCAAAGACCACAATTTTTGCCCGCTCCTCGGCCCTCGGCGCACGCAAATTATACCACACTCTTGTGCTTTGAAATCCGAGCGTCGTTTGTCGTTGTATATATATTTTTACAAGAAAATCAAAGCCATCAGTTGCAGAAGCGCTAAATCGTGCGTGCGGCTCTCTTACCTTTGACCTTTTGACATACACTACCGGTTTGCAAATGCTGGCCAATTTGCATGATGATGAATTAGTTGCAATCGGTGGCGATCGGGGCTAGGGCAAAATAATAATTCACCCAAAGTGGGGTAGCGAGAGGAAATTGAAATGTTCCTGTACTAATTAGATTGCATGAGTTGGCCCTCATGTAGATCAAATTGGATTCTATTAGTAGCCATAGCCACGAGAGGTAGCATACCTTATTAGTAAAAATAGTAAAGGAAGTTGTCGCAAAATTTTTGTATTGCAAAATATTTTTATTCATTGGAGCGGAGAATCTGTTTTAAATTTTCCCTTTCACATTCTATCAGCTTTGACCGATTGATATTGCAAAATTTATATGTAATAAAATAATAATTGATTGCAATTTCCATTGAAAGGCATGCAGCTGCTGATCATAGCTAGAAAAGTTAAATGTTCTAATGCTTCTCTGTTACAAAACGTAAAAAATTGAGAACATGTTGAAGACATGACCGACGCTCGAGTCAATAATTTGATTTTTGTTATAAATACGGAACGTAATCAGATTGCTTGGGCAAAACGAGAAAGGCAGGAGACGGAAGCGCTGCTTGCAAAAACAACATGGCCAGACTCAGCAGCAGTGAAAATTTGGAATAAAAATGAAACGCAGTAAGCTGCGATTTCATGATAAGAGTGGAGTCAAGTTTTCAGAGCTGTTTATGATTAATTTTAAGTGAAAACGGGCTTTTGTTGATTAAAATTGTTAAAATAACGTTTTAAATATGCTACTTGAATGAATAACACCAATATTAGATTAAATTTAAAAAGTAATTTGAGTTTTAAAATGAAATTATTTAACTTACCGACCGACCGACTGACTGAGGACTATGCCGAGAGGAGGTGCAGAGATGTCTGAGGGTGGCTGACAGGCAAGCAGGGTGTCTTATACCAAGGGTGGCCGGTGACGTCACTGCTAGCGGGGGTGGATAAACCACATTATTTTTTTTTGCGCAAAATCTCGCATTGAAAAGTTTTTTTACTGTGATAATTACACGAGCCTAATGGCTCTTCAGCCTCTTCAAGTTAATGCAGTCTTGAAGCAAAATAAATTTTTTGATAATTATGAAAAATAATTTCTAAATTAATGCGGTGAGTGAGTAATAAGTTCTCTTTTAATATCGATGCAATATTAATAAATATAAATAAATAAATATAAGAATATAAAAAAGAATCCAGTAGCGTTTTGATGGTTTTGATACAAAGGGGTGCTTCAATTTTAAAACGAAAGATTGGTTTTTCTACCGAGCAAATATTTTTATATGTACATCATGAAAAATGGAAACGATTTTCTTCAGCAAACATATCATGTATAAAAAAAACTCAGCAAGATGATACTCCTTGCAGAACATGTAAATGTGGATGAAGAGGAAATTATTATTATTTTTGCCACCGGCAACTGATGCACATGATTGAGGAGTGAGAATTTTGACAAGTTGAATCTGTTTAAACGGCAAGTTGTAAGTTGACAGTTTTATCGCGGCAGCAGGCGCGTTTTGTTGTTACTGTAATTTGCGATAGTAAGTTTTGAAAGGGATTCGGAATGTCAACAGAGCTTGACATTATAAATTGTTTTAATAAATTCCAAAACTGAAATTCACGGAAGAATAAATAAAATGATTTGTAAAAAAAATGTAAGTAAGCAATCAGCCAGAGAATTATTTGCTCGTCGGTCAAAACAAAGTGCCTCAATTTCACTTTCGCTTGTGCGGCGTGCTGCTGTTTACCTGTTGCTCTCGCTCTTGGACCGCAACGAGTGAAAAGACGCAATGTTAAATGTTGACCCGTTGGTAGCCGCACCTCTGACCCCGGCCGCGATCCCCGCGGCGAGGCAAACCAGCTTACTCCATCGGCCCCCGCGGTGCGCCCGCTATGCCACCCCCAGCCACCCCCGGTCAGCCGAACCGAGCAGAGTCATTTGAATATCGACACCAAACGCCGACCAAACCTCGCGCGCCCCTCACTTAGCGCCCCATTCGCTGTGTTCATTACCTCATCTCACAATGCCGCGAAAGAAAGCACAAGAGGAAATAAAAACAAGGGGTTCTTATCAATCGACCCTGTTTCCACTGGATATAATTGAAATTCTGCAAAAAAAAAACTTTAAAATTTTTGTATGGACCGAGAAGAATAATAAATGATAATAATGAAAAAAAAAGAAAAAATAATGTAAAGCAGTTTATTTTCGAATCTCTTTAACAAATAAATCAGAATTTTAACAAGATGAATCAATTTTGAAACCGATTTCAAGCGGTTTTGGCAACTAAGCTGAACTGAAAATACAATTTATTTGTTTTATTTCATTATAAACATAGTCTTCATTGGAAACGAATTACAAATTATATTTTTGTATTATATTTGCATATTCTTAGAGCGTCATTGGCATGAACTTATGATCAATTTTAACCTTTTTTAACTAACATAAACACAATGCCTGACAAACAGCCGATATTGGTCTAGTTAGTAACCTCGTGCAGTTTCTAATTCATAATTAATTAACAGAGCAAAATTTCGCACCCCTCGCTTCAGGCTGATCACACATTGAAACATTTTGGCCGTGTTTATCTTTTGAGAGGCTCCCACGCTCAGAGCAAGCTGAAGGAATCTGCGCCGAGTGTAAGCTCGGGCGGATCAGCGGAGGAGATGAGAATCTCAGGATTTCTCTTTTTTTCTCCCTGCTCAGTGTTATTAGGATGAATGATGAGGGCGAAGAAATTTAGAGTCTCTCGAGTAAAACGCACACACACACCGGATGGATTTTATTGATTGCCAAAAATAAATGCCTACAGACTGCTCAAGCGTGTCATGTCAAATGTATTTTCAATCAAATCGTGGACAGCGTCTAGTTTGGATGGCTCCACGGTATTGATGGGAGGCACGACGATTCCAGAGAGATTTCCCTGTTCAAGATGCTCATCAGGGCAGCTCGACAACGCAGCAAAACCTAAAAAAGTTGCAAACCTTGGTCAGTTTTCAAATTACAAAATATTTGGTTTGGCTTGAAAATGCAAAAATTACTTTCTTGTTAATCAACCGATTGTTTCAAAAAATTAATATAATAATATTAAAAAGATTGAAAGTTTTTTTTAATTTGAATGTTCCTGAAGAGGTTGCGATTTCAAAATTTGCAAAAATAAAATTAACAAAGTAATTTCCTAAAAAAAATTCATCCTTTATCCTTTTCGAAATCAATGCCCATATTATAATTTGCTCCGGCTCTGTGGGGGTAGCCTGCAACCAGCACGTCGCGCAGCACGCACCGGTTGCATACTGAGCATCCTGCAGGTGCCGTTTCGTAATAATTTCTTTCTCTCACGCATACCTCGTGATGAATGGGTGAGAAAAAATCGGCTGGTGATGATTCGGTCGAGATCATTCGCGGCAGGTAGACTGCGTTGAGGCCCGCGGGGCACCCCACTGCAAATTGAACGCGCAGATTAGATTGGAAAATTCTAAGGCGTTAGAGAAATTGATCGTTGAAGTCATTTATTTCTGTACAACAAATAGGAAGGGCTAATTCCGTTAATTGAATTTTTAATGAGATTTTATTGGTGGCACTTTGAGTTCTAGGATCCGCGTGGGAATCATACAATTTTTAAAATTTTACATTACAACACATTTGCCCATACTATCTTCTAATTATAGAAAATTATATATACTTTTATTACTTAATGCATCTATGGAAGGGCTAAAATATATAAATCCTCCCAGAACTTGTGGAAACATTTTTGTTTTGTTTTACACGTAAATTTAAATACATACTTTCGATGCTGCTCGCCAGAAACGGCGTGAGGAAACTCATGGGCGGCGGCCTCATCGGACTGATCGCTGACGGCCTGACTCTTTGGAAGGGACTCGTTTGGTCGCAGTGGAAATTCACAAAGGGCTATGAATTAATTTAATTATTATTGCAGGGATTAATTTTCACGTAACATACCGTAGCATTTCTGATTGAGGAAGGAGGGTAGAAGGCGGATTGCTGAGGAATATTTCCATGTTTCGTTGCGTTGGTTTTTTCCGACTCTTGCTGTTTTTGAGGTTGCGCGATGGATTTGTTTTTATTTTTCCTCGGCCCCCTTTCTGCTTGGACGGCTAAGTTGGGCAATAAGTCGTGAAAAAGTGTTATAAAATAGTTTTTATTATGTTTATTGTCATAAGCCTGACATATTTAAAAACAAATTACTGTAGTAATTAAATAAAGTTATTTCGAATCGAGACCTGATCTGTTCATATTGACAGCGAAGCATCTTTTGAGGCGACAATGCGGACACCAGTTCCTCCTTGCCTTGTCCACTATGCAAGCACCTTGTCCGGCTGAAGCGTAAAAATATTAAAAAAAGTTACGGTTTGCGACTAAAATGGAAACCAATGCAAGTGTAGAGCAGGCCTCGGCGGACGCTTCTTTTAAAAAAGCAGGAACATCCGTCGCAACAAAAGACGCCGTAGTGTTTCCCGTACGATTTGTCTCCGCAAACTCTGCATGGCACAGGCACTGGTAGACTTCGACCTTTTGAAAGGGTGTATTTTAAATTTCCAAAAAAAAATTAGAATTTTCACGCATTTTTCATTAAAAAGAAAAATTTGGTTAAAAAATATCCTTGTTATATTAAAGTTCAAATAAATATTTATAAGTATAAGAAACGAGATATATCTATTTAAAAGGTGGGGTCTTGGGGTCGTTGTGTGTCTCACCCATGGCAGGACGGTGGTCGCGGAGCAAGAAAATGAGACTGACTTGGTCGCGACCCTCGGGGCGCCGATTTGGTCACTCTCGACCGGGGGCGGCATGGAGGGGACAGGGGTCGTGTTTTGGCGAGAGCACCTGTCCGATCACCAAACAGGCAAATAAACGTTGCACTCGTCATTGTCGCGCATAAATGAAATCAGAGCGTCAAAAAGGTGACGCGTATTGATCCTGCGAGGCATAATAGTTTGTTTGCTCGAGTGAACGACGACGAGTGGTGGTCAAAAAGCCGCCGCCGCGCGTGAATTATGAATCCGATTGATGGGTGGCAAATTGCTCAATCACGCCGCCGTCCGCTCATTACTATTCATGCGAATCAATTTTAATTGTGTGGTGCAGCCCCATCTTTTTCCTATTCTCACGTGTGCAAGCGAGCGTGTTTGAACGGGCGGGCGGGTGGGCGCCTATGCTAGCGCTAACCATGAGCGGAAACTATACACTTGCCCCTTGTAAATATTTTATCACCGCTCGCCGTAACGCCAGAGTGAGCACTCGTTTGATCGTACCTGGGCATAAATGAGAGATTGAGGGGGCGGAAAATGACTTGTTTTCTTTGCAGAAGAAAATTCTATTGAACTTCATTTTGTATTTAAAAATTAGGGTTTTTTCCAAATAAATGATAAGATTTGTTTCGCTGATTTGATTATGAATATTTTTTTTTCTATAGTGTGGGTTTACCGCGGCGGCCGAGTGTCTTTTGATATCGTGCGTTTTAGCAGGCATCTGCTGTTGTAAACCTTTTCTCTCATGTTAAAATTTCATTTTTTTTTATCAACCGAGAAGAATAAATAATCATAATTATTACATTGATTCTTTTTTTATCTTTTTGACGAAGAATTTTCAGCTTTTTGTGTGCAGCTTATGTAAAGTTTTAATTGTTTATATGACTTTATAATAAGAATCAAATGGAGAATAAATAATTGAATAAATTGAACCACTTGGTTTATCCATTTATTAATTTGAAGAAAGACCAAAGGTTATTGAATGCAATATATTATAAGGTTATATGCAATATATTATTTTCCATGAGATAAAAATAATGTATTTAAATATAAAATTTATTAATACTATATCATTCCCCTATATTTGAAAAATTTATTCAATCGTTTATTTCGTTTATTTAAATTTGTTTGATTTATTTTCTGCTTTTTTATAAGTATGGAAATTCTAACAAATTTGGTGAAATAAAAAATTGACAGCAAATGATGTTCATCCAGAGTAACAAAATTTATTTTTTATTATTATCATTTTTTTTTTGTAAATTTGCAACTAAATTTCCAATCATGATGTTTTCAAATTTTCGTCGATCTCTGCAATTTTCTTCTTGGCCACAGCGGCGAGTTGCCCTTCCGGCAGGTGCTCGTCAAATCTCAGTAGGTAGACGACTCTTTCCAGCAGGCGTTTCGCCCTGGCCAAGAGTTGCTGCTGCTCGTCGCTCTCCCTCTGAGCCCTGATGATGAGCACGTTGTTGAGCTCGTAGCAGACAACGGCCTCGTAGATGGCGAGACGGGCGCCGCCAGGGTCCAGGGTCTGCGTCACCCTGAGTAGCTGCTCGCACAGCTGCTGCTTCTCGGCCAATTCGTCCTTGGTAGGTGCAGACTTGGCCATCAGTTGGACTAGCGAGTGTTTCACGGCGTACTGCCGGAAGTGGTTCTCATGAGTGATGGCGTTCAGCTTCTCTAACAATTCCTAAAACAGTCATGAGATATGCACACAAAAATGAGCAAGCAGAAATTTGTAATGTATTATATGAAAATTATTGAAAAATTGAAACCGGGCGAACCTCGTTGCAAAGAAAAAAATGAAAAAATATAAAGGACAACTGACCCCAAAGGCGACCTGCGGTCAGTTGTCCTTTATATTTTTTCATTTTTTTCTTTGCAACGAGGTTCGCCCGGTTTCAATTTTTCATGAAATCCACCTCGAGTGTTACCATTCAATGAAAATTATTTATAATAATTTGAGAACAATTTTATACCTATTGAAAATTTTGTGGGGCAATTGATAAAATTCACTTCAATTCAAACAAAATTCGAACAAAAATAAAAAGTCGAAATTACCTTTAGACTGCTTTCAGTGGGTTGTGCTAGAGCCTCGTCCACGATCTGACCGAGGTGTCCGGTGAGATCGGCGATCTGTTTCTCGCTGAGTCGACCGACGCACTTGGTACAGGCCCAGTCGGCGCCCGCCTTCAGTGGCGCCGTCGGCAGCAGGAATCCGCCGCAGTCGGGCGCCACGCAACGCATCGCGCCGAACATGGTGCCCAACTCGGTGGGGTCAGCGCACCGCAGGCAGCGGCACCAGAATTGCTTGCTGGCGTGCAGGTGCTCCCGCCGCTGGAAGGTCGCCCACAGGGCGTGCGTGTACATCGTCTGCAGGTGCTCGCCCTCCTTGATATCCTTGCATGCACTCAGAGTCATTCTATAACGACATTATTGATTTTATTATGAGAAATTGAAAAACCAAGTTTTACTCCCTGAGAGTGTGTTTTTTTTTTCAAAAGACAACCTAATTTCAATAGATTAGCTGATGATATCATTATTTTTGTGTTCTTCTCGGTCAATCTAGTATTAATTTATTATTTAGAGAATAATGCATTTTTTTTTTAATATTTTTAAACATTCTCAAAATTGACGTTGGAATAATGTCCGACTGTCATTATAATTTGAGACGTTGACAGGACTATGGATAGGATTTTTTTGCGAAAAAGAAAAGTAAGTATAAAAAATAATAACTGATCAAATTTTTTTGCACTAAATAATTAGAAGCTAATAAAAAAATAACTTCAAATTTGAAAAAAAAAAAATGTTTTAATTAATATTTCCTTAAGACGCTTCTTATTTCCGTTTTTGCTTTACCTCTGAACTTATATATTTTGCACTACTTTAAACTTTGACAAAAACATTTTGCGTTCCAAAATGATTTTTTGGCAATGAAAAAATGGCAAACTGACAAATATATTTTGGGAAAGTTTCCCAGATAGTTTTCCTCCTTTACTTTCAAGAAAATCAATTCGACGTTGGAAACCTTAAAATCGTCAACTTTCCCAATTTCTAACCGTTGAGAGTGACGAGGTAATTTTACCAATTTTTATTGAATTCCAAGAAAGGGTCTGAAGCCATTTTTTAATTTGCGCAGCAACTGACAAAAAAGATATACCTGCACATAGGATCAAAGACGATGCGGACGTTGGGGATGCACGAATGCTCGATGAACGAGGTGGTCGGGTAGAGGGCCAATACTTCACCTCCGTGGGGCAATCGCACGTCTAGGGCGTTCACCTGCAGAACGGCCGCTAAATGGTGCAGCGTCTTTTCACTCGTGTCCCAAGTGGGGCCCCACGTCGAGAGGCCCACGTAGCTTAAGAGAAACTGCACGATTTTCTTCTCCTCGGCAGAAGGCTCTCGTTTTAAATCATTTGCCTTCATTTCTTGAATTAATTTCCATCTGAAATTTAAAAAAAAAAAAATTGTGGTCTTTCTAAATTTTTTTCCTTTCAAAACAATACTAATTTTCAAGTCAAATAAAAGAAAATAAGGGTATTAAAATAAATATCAACTTGATCTAGCCTCGTTTTCTCGTTAAAATAAATCACACTTATGTGTCGTTTTGTAAAAATATATTACAATTCAATTTAATTTATTGTTTTAGAATACCCGTTTTTTTACACTTAACAAGTATTTTTTTAATTATTACTTTTTAGGGCTTTTTTTCTGCAGCAGCACAAGCCTCAGTAGGGTGATGGCCTCGTAGGCTGCGTGGGGTTTGCTGAGGTCAGTAAAGGAGAGCGGCTTCTCTGCCCTGACGAGGGCGGCGCACTCGATGGCGTGGTTCGCGTCCCAGCCGGGACACTCCTCGTCGCACAAGGGCCACTTGCACAGTTGGCAGCGCGCCTTGGGCTCCGGACGCATGCAGCCCAAACACACCGGCGGCGTCACCTGCTTGGGCCCGATAATGATCGGCGTCTCGGTGATCACCGTCTGGCCGCCCTCGATGTTGCGGCTGGCCGTCAGGTAGCGGCCCAGTTCCGGACTGCTGCACTCCTGTCAACACACACCACACACACGGACACTCAGACGCCGCGGTAAGCCAACATATATATTTATATTTTAAATTTCTATAAAGACTTTCTTTATTAATTTGTCTCATTAATTGCAAATTTACCTTGTAAAGTGGAGGTTTGCAGAGAATTTTGTGAGTCTTCCAGTCCTGCTTTTGGTGCTCCTTGCTGCAGTACAGGGCTGTTTTACACCCCGCGCACCGACTCTCAGCTGGACTCCCGCACACCGCACATGAACCAAAATCTGGCATCTTTCTTTGATCGTCTCTCAACTCGTCTCATCAACCGAAAAATATTAATTCACTTGTTCAGCTTCTGCTTTTATAGCGCCGTCTGAAAATAAAAGCAAACGTTCCACCCTTTCCATACTTTTCTAGAATGAATTGAGGGTTGACGCAATACGTTTTTAAAACAATTCCGCAGCTAAGATTTGACGAAAAAATGATGATCCAAAATAGTGATTAAAAAAATCTAGATGTAAGAAAGCTTTCTCAAATAATTTAACTTACAATTTCAAAAGAAATATTCGTTTAAGACAAACTCGTGTGCGCTCCACTGAAACGTGCCTTCTAATTTTAGACCAGATATTTTGGCTCGTGAGCAAAACTTTGTTAATGGTGGTCATATGAGACAGCCAACACACATGCTCTATCTGTCGTCGATCGATCGAATCTAACGAGTAAAATAATACTCATTCAGTTGGACTAAATTATAAAATAAACTTTTAATATATATATTATTATTATTGCATGGAAAAATAAGTATTGAAAAACTAATCAAATGTAAAAAAATTTCACTCGAAGAGCTAAATTTATCATCGGAGATGCTAGAGTTAAATTTTGGATCAATGGAAAAGAAAAAAAACACTACGGTTTCGTGTCGTCAAAATAAAAGGTAAGAAATTGTGTAAACTAATGTTTTATTTGTTGTGTTTGTCAATAGCGCCAGGATCGCCAATTGGTATGATTGTAAACCAAACACAAAGAAAATTGCTAGTAAGGGGTTTCCATATATTTTAATGACTAAATTATGCTTTGATTTTCAATAGCTTAACTTATTTCTATTGTTTATGTGTAATTGTTTAAAACAAGTCAGGTCGGCTTACACACGGGCTTTATTGATTTACAACATTTCTGGCGAAATGGGTAAATTTCACTGACTCGATAAAAGTTGGTTGAAGTGTGTCTTAAAATGCACAAAATGGAGCGGTTTTATCCGTGGTTGTGCCTGGCAGAGGCTGCCCTGGCAATGCCCTGCTGGAAACCGGCGGCTCCCTGCAGGTCGGCGGCTCTCGACTTGCGGCGCTTCGTGCCATCCTTGAAAGGCCACATGTGCCTTGACTTGCACAACCATTGTAGTTCTCCGGATCCACAACCTTGTACTTGAGATCCTTTTGGACAATATTCAGGGATTTCAAAAGCCATACGGCGGTGGTCTCGAGTGGAGTGCCGCACTCGATGGAGGTCTGACCGCTCCGGGTGCCAAAGGTTGGATTGTGACGTCAGCGCCGATGTCCGCCTCCAGAACCTGGCAAACTGGCACAGTGAGAGCAGCGGCCAGATTTCACAGAAATTGAAGAGGCTCCACATCAACGACACAAGATCTCTGGCCGACAAACGCAAGCCCACAAAAGCATAGCAAAGCTCGTTAATATGCACTTTTATTGTAGATCATGGTGTCTTATTATAGATATTATTATTTTATTATAACTCACCCATTTTTACAACTGGATTTTTGATCTGGATGTAGTGGATTGTGAATGATTAAGCTTTTACCGTAAAACTGATTCACCTATTTTGCTATTAGACCTGATGAAAGCAGTCCTTCATTATTGTGTTTAGCTTTACTATTATTTACAACCTTGTTATTTACGATTTGGTGAACTACAGGGAATTTTGGAATTGCACCATAATAAAGAAGTAAGTGGCTACCGCACTAAATGTCTGAAAAATTTTATGCTTCCTAAAATTACATTTTACATGAAACTAATACCTACCTCAAATAACAGAGAATTATCCAAAGCCAAGATTCCAGTCGCATAAAATTTGTGAGGCTGGTGCTGAATTTGCCGACTGAATATAAGCAGCTTTAATTTTAAGAGCAAATATGATTATTAATTCTTATAATTGTTGGGAAAAAAATTAAAAGCACCTCTTTTTTTTCAATCTGCCATATATTGGGATGGTTTAGTCGAAATATAAATATGCCAGTTTTTCTTGCCTTCAGTGTTTTTTTTTTTTTTTTAATAAGTCAATTATTAAATAATTCGTGCATTTACCTCTTTTAACGACGAACTACACAGCGTTACCAGTTGAACTAGTCTGTAACCGGCGTAACACAACCAAGAGTCAGAAACAACCGCCTGTTTGATAATTTTCTCCACATCGGGCAAGTTTTGGTATATTCCGACAATCGAAAAGTACATACCGAAAGTCAAACTTGTAAACAAGTAAAGTATATTGGCTACAATAAAAACGCCGTAATGTTCCTAAAAGAAAATATATATCAATTGAAGTAATTTATAAATCAAATTCCTTAAATCTAACCTGAAAAAGATGTAAAGTGTCGCAGAGATCGCCATGACTTTTTCTCAAGGTTCGAATCGACATTTTGGTTGCCACCAGTCGGGCGTTCAGCAAGCAAAAGATCTCCCTTAAACAGTCAGCAATGCATATGACTTGCATTTCCAGTATGGCAATAGCCACCGACGACCAAAGTCTGCCGATCAGATCAAGGAGGTGGAAGTAGTCTGGCCACACAAAGGGTTCATAGACAAACAGGAAGTTCATGATGACGAATGCTGAGACGGACCTGATCCAAACCCTGCGACGCAGATTGGCGTGGCCAGCAGACGCGTCGAAGTTCAGAAATGTGGATAGTCGCTGAATATTTTTCAGGATGAGGTCGAACCTGTCGGCTTTCAGCAGGCACGTGTACATAATTGCCAAGCCGGCAATGAAGTTTGACGAGAGTATTACAACGTTCGTCAAATTCAGCGAGGTTTCTCTGGAAAAATAAAAACGAGATTGGCAGTCCCCTTCAAGTGGCTGGATAGGCAACCTGCTCTGCGGCAAGGACGAGCCGGTTGCCTGTTAAAAAAAAATCGAAAAGAATACTTTTTTTTATGAATTATTTTACCTTAATTAGGATATATTTAAAAAGAAAAAAAACGTAGGCCTAACCTGACCCAAGAGCTAATTTAGACCGCCGGCGGTATTGAATGGTTGGGTCAACCGAGGCTTGAAGATAGGGTCATTTTAATCTCAGAAGTTTTAGCAAATTTCTTTTGTTATTGGTGGTGCTGCTTTGTCATTCCTTTTTTTAAGGAATATTCCTAGTTAAATCATGTCTTAACAACAATAAGAGACATTTTTTTGCAATGATTGGAATTATTAACTACCATAATTGTTGTTAACAACTATGTCAATAAGGAATCCTTTGAATAAATTGTTTTCTACAATCAAATGTATACAATTTATTTTTAACAATGTGGACAAATAAAATAATGATAATAATTTAGGCTAGTCCATATAGGGCTTTTGGATCGTCCTCTATATTTTTATAACGCGATGTGCTTCAAAATATCAACGAATTTATGCCACTCTCAACCCAAAAAGTAATATAATGCGAGCGAACAGAAAATAAACTAAACCAAATTTATGCAAAAATTAGCCCATCTTCCATAAAAATTTGTCAGGAGAGCGGCTTCATAAAAAAGTTTGACTGAAAATCTGCAATGGAAATTCGCTAGGAAGTGTTGAAGATTAAATACCTTTTGTCGTGGTCTTTCCACGCGGCGAGGAAAAACCTCGAGAAGCGGTACATGCCGTAGAACAAAAACGCAGCCAGGGCGGCGAGCACGCAGGTGTTGAACTTGGCGCGGGCCGTTGCTCGCGAGGCCGGGAAAACGGCGGTTAGAGCGCCGAATGCGAAAACGGGATGAAGGGCAGCGCCGTAGTTGCCTATTCGCAGGGGCATACCGTGAGCGTGGGCAGAACGAGCGAACGCTGACTGCCGTCGGGACTTTGGTTACCAGGCAAGCAGCAAGGACGCGTGATTATGCAAAGCATGGTGTGGGCAGTAACTTTTGAATGGAGAAATTAGACTGATGAAAAATTCATGACAATTTGACCGTCTTACATGGTGTTCGCAATTGTAATTTGGGGAGGGATCGGCAAAGGCTTTGGAATTGGTTTTTGTTGCACAGAAGCGTCTTTTGCGGGCGATGTAGGGTGAAGTTTACTGTCGAGGCCTTTGTTTGAGAAATTTGATTTCCTTCCCGTGTTTTGCATTTATTTGTTGGAAGCATATGTAAATTTGGGAAAAAGTTCACACTATTCTGTGCGCACTACGGCCAGTCACACAGTAGACCTTCGTAAAATCGCCGAAATCATATTTTATTATTATTGATCTTTATTGACTTATGAAGCGTCGCCACGATGTAGTGACTCACTGCAACGCGCCCCATTTGCAACATAGTACAAAATAAATGGAAGAGAAGATTTAAAAAACAACCAAAATATTACAATTCATCGATGAGTTGAAAAAACCTGAAAAACTCTTCTCTGCTATAAAATTTGCGGGCATGAATAAAACGCCTCAAATTACTTTCAAAAGTCTTGTATCGAGGCTCCAAGCGAATCGAAACAGGCAATTTGTTATACAAGGAAGCCAAACAATTCAAAGGGTTCTGCTTCGAAATTAACAGTGTCCGAGCAGGAACATGTGGTAGTTCCACAGCACCAGCAGCAACAACAAATTCATATACATAGAAACAAAAAGTAATCAAAATTTATTTTATGATTAAACAGTGAGGCATATTTAAGGAAAAACAGATCAGAACTTTAACTGCAATAACTAATTGAAAGGTTTTCTAGGTGAACTCAATTAAACAAAATCCCTTCTCGGTATTTCAAACAAATTCCTGTAGATGTACTTCAAGCGTAGTAAGTGGGAGGGATGAGGAGATCAGACAACAGACAAAGTTGGTCTTCCGAGAACTTGAGCTTGTGATTCTGCCAGTTGTCCAAGTGGGTTCGCTTGAAGTTGCCAAGCGACTTGCGAATTGTTGTCTGCAAGGGAATTGAAAGTACTTTAAGGAAATTAAAATTTTCCCCATTGTTACCGAAATTGGCGGGGGATCGTTCAAGTGGTCACCCAAGACAGAAAAAACGTCTGGAATGAAGTCTGGCACCTCGTAAGGGTATGCGTCGATGAAGGCGCACAAGCCCAGCACTCCACAGTGCCGCTTGATCACAGACTCGGTGTAGATGTTGTCCAAAGCACTGCTCCTCTTAAGTTTTGTTTTTGATTGTTTGGTGAATTGTTTCTGGTGAGCATAATAAACATAATAAATATCAACAAGTCAAATAATTAGTTCAATAATTACGAGAAGTTCATCCGTAGAAGAAATAAAATCACAGTGAAGAAGTCCGCCCAACACCTGGGACGCTTTCTCCCTTACTTCCAACCTTTCGTCTTTCATCAAAGTCAACACAAGAGATGTCACCTAGCAAAATAACGTTTGTTTTAATAGAAGCCAAAATTACTTTTATCGTTTACATCTTTCACCCACTCATCATTGCTCAGGAAATTTGGCATGTTGTGGAAGACAAGCACTTGCAAAAAGTCCAAGCAAGTCAGTCTAGCTTTCCAAGAGCCCAGGTTCAGAGTCTAAAATTTGGAATAATATTGCGTATTAATTGAAATAAAAACACAAATATTTTAACTTACAGATTTAACTGTAGCCAGAGCTGTGGGAATGACTGACGGAGGGTTGAGTGAAAATGCTAGGTATGCTAGGAAGGTTGTGCAGCATTTACTGATTTCATCGTCGCCTTCATAGCTCTCCAATAAACAAACAATTGGGAAGAATTTGTAGAATGAAGGTTTTACTCCGAAACATGATCTGAGGATGCAAGCGGATGACCACTGGCAAACTAAATAAAATTTTGAACGAAACTTTAAGTAGGAAAAAGTAAATCACAATAAACCAACCGGTTTTGAGCAGTCGAAGGGCCAAATCCCTAGGAGCTTTGTTTTCTGCAGACAACTCGACATTAGCAATCAAGTCGGCTGTTCTGCTCACCTCCTCGGGGCTGTCAACCTCCATTTTGCTCTCTATGTCTTTGGGTCCGTTTGCACATAGAATTTGTAGCCTAGGCAAAACTTCAGAAATGAAGTCATCAATCCGGGGCGATTTTGTCAAGTTCTGGTCACTCAGGGCAATGTCCAAGTTGAAAATATTTGTCAGCACACTAAAGACAATCAATTTAAATATTCAAGAAAATTTAATGTTGATTTTTTCATACCTTCCCAGCCGTTCCCTCACATTCTGGAATGAATGGGTGAGGAAAGGTTTCACATAATGCAGAAGACGGTGCAGCAACTCCGGGATTCGCCACTCGTGTTGGTTCAACGCGCCTTGCAGTGCGTACAACCTCCTAAAAATCAAATACACAATTTTTTTTAAAAAAAATTTTACTCGGTGAATAATTTTCTTCACTTCATGTGTAAAGAATTAAGACAAATATTTTTATGTGTCCAATTTTACCCGCAGTCTTTAAAAGCAGCTTCTTCCCTCAAAGGCTCCTCCATGAGCACTTCCAGCAACCAATGCTGTTGGTTTGGATCTCGACTCTCCTGATGGTGGATTTGAATTTAATCAATTTTGAATGAATAAAAAAAAAAAAGGTCGAGTTACCGCTGCAGTTGCAAAACAGATGCCCCAGTCTCCGACAGTCTCGACAGTCATATTCGACAAGGCACACCTGATAATAGGACACAGCTCTCTCCACAGCGATTCAATTTTGTCAAAAGGCCAGTGTTTGGCGCCCTTGATAAGGCCTGCAATGATTTCTGCAGCACATCTTTGGCTACTCTCGTTTTTATCAGCCACTAGCCGTTTTAAATGAGGTAGAAACAGATTCAAGTGAGCATCACCATGGTTGCGGAATAAATTCTGCAAAACATTTTTAGATTATTGAGTTGCAATAATTAATAATTTCACCTTAAAGAGAATGTATCTCTTGCTGTTGAATTTGTCTCTGCCTTTCTTCTCTTCCAGGGATAAATACTCTATGAGTTTGTCAATGTTGGCTTGGTTGTGGAAAAATTTGAAAACGTCGGCCTCAGCCTCGTCCATCTCTTCGACAGGCCTGTCCAAACATGGCTGTTTGCTGTAAGAAGCATAGACTTCTACTTTCCTAAGATAATCAATTAATTTGTAATTGGAAAACAGGGTCAAAAGATATTTCTTACTTTGGCCAGCAGTAATAACCCAGGTAAGGCCTGTGTTGATATCTTGTCATTTGCCATTGCTCAGTGGTCAATGGTCTGCTTTGGTAGTTGTACTGAAGCCAGGCATTGTCCTCCCTGTCACCAGGTTTGACAGCTACCTGCTTTGCTTCATCCTCACTCTGCAAAATTGTCAATCCAGATCCTTCTTGATATGAAGTTGGATCGACCAACACTTTGACGTGGTCTCTCTTTTGCTGTTGCAGAATGAAGACCATGCTAGCAATAGCCAACTAAAAGAAGAACAATTATTTGGCCTTTTTTATTTACAAATATTTAGTGTGTGGCACATCTCTATTAAATTGAAAAGTTCTTGATTATTATATTTTTTTTATCAATTGGGACAAATAACAAAAAATAGTTATTGGGAACCTTTCGGAGATGGATTGTGTCGTGTATCAGAGTCTTCAAGAAAAATTTCACTGCTCTAGATGGGAATGGAACGTCTGGATGAACCAAATCCCGGAGGAAACTAACAGCCATGTCGTTGTACCGCCAATGTCTGTAAATACAAAATTAATGTCAAAGTTACGAAAAAACAAAAACGCCTAATATGCTTACAAATTTCCAGATTCAATGGCATCAAGTAATTTGTTGACTAAATTTGTGTACTTTTCTTGCTTATTTCTACACAGGTTGTCCAAAGTCATTTTTCCCAACTCCAATTCTGTCTCGGTTGGAATTGGCTGATCAGGAATTGGGAGAGAACTCCACAAGGCTCGGCCTGTGTCAGCGCATTTTTGCGGAACCTTAAATTCAATGGTACTCAGAAAAGATACTCAAAGGGCAGAATCGGTCAGAAATTAGTACCTCTAACTGAATGGTAATTGTAGGGAAATTTTTGTGCACGCTTTCAACTAATTTTTCCATCAGACGAATCACAGAGTTTTTCTCAGAGGGTTTGGCTGTCACAAGGACAAACCACAGGTCGGACAAGAGTTCCCAGCTGTGCTTTGAAACCAGGGGGTTTTGCTTTGGCCCAAGCAAAACATACAATGCTCCCTAAAGTTGAGTAAAATGATATTACGAAACATAGCCAAATGAAATCACCTTAAACTGCTCATGGAATTTGTTGGAATCCAATTTGAGGTAGTCGATGATTTGGGGCACCAGGAGACGATAGGAGAAAGTGAACATTTCAAGTGACATTGACAAAGAACCCTGAGCTTTGGCTCGGACCTAAGAAATTAATTTATTAGTAACTGGAAAAATGAATGAATAAATTAAGTTTTCTAGAGACGCACTTCACTGTACTGGCTTGCTGCCAATTCTAATAGAGCCAAGAAAATTTGCTTGTGGGTCTCTGTCACAACTGAGGTGCTAGCTTCACTTTGCCGCATCTTTTGCTGAAGAACAGCTCTGTCAATGATCATTCTTCGCAATTGTCTTTTAGAGCCAACAGCCAATTTGTTGTCCAGAAGCTGCTTGATGAATGAATAATTTTTCCAGTGGTTCAGGAAGTCGGATTTGGATGTCCCTTGGTTACATAGCAATAACTCATAAATCTGTACGTAAAAGAAATAATTTGAAATAAGTTTTCAAACAGTTTAAAACATAACATACGCTTATTAGCAGGAAGAAAGAGCGAGTGTCGTCCTCATGCGCCCGGAGTAATTTTTTTTGGAGTTGGATCATCACTCTGGCAACTTCCTGCCTCACATTGCTGCCATCTGGCATGGTTACTTCCATTCCTTCAACACCAGTCATGTATTTTATAGTGCGCAAATCAACTGCACTATCCATCCTGGAAATGAAAAAAAAAATTAATCTTGTGAAGAGACAACTTGATTTAACCTACAAAGTGATTGGCTCTTCATCCCAAACTGGAAGCAATGGACGGCCAGCTAATATTGACATCATAATGTTTAATGTGCTTTGCAGTTCATCCCTAAAAAATTAATCAAGCAAAAAAATAAATACAATAATCGAACAATCGGTGATTTATTAAATTTTTCACCTTGTCAGAGTAAGGTTTCCACTAACAAAATTGTTGATTTTCTCTAGTTCTGGTGGCAAGTAGCGACCAACAATTTGCTGAACACATTGCACCTCTTCCCTCGAGGGAATGTGCCAGATTATTTTGAGGTCGTATATACTACAAGGCTTTGACCAATCCTGAAAAATCTTATGTAAGTGCCAAAATAAATTTTGTTTCTGCTCAGTGTACCCTAACTGGAAGGTGCTCAGTCAATGGCTCTGTGAAATTGTAGCCGACACTTCTGTAGTCAGTAGGCTTCATGTGGACCATGGAATCAAGCATGTGGCTCAGCAATCGACCTGCCGAGTGCTGGCCCTCTTTGCTTACAAAACGAAGGGTTCGGTCCAAAACAGGCATTATTAGAGGCACATACTGCACTAAGTAGGATCCATCACAGCAAACAACCTTTAAATTATAAAAAATAAAAACTTTATGATAATACTAATAATATTGAAAACATTTGAACCTCTGCAAGAATCTGCAGCTGGTACAGCAGTTCGTTATTAAGGTGGGGTTCTTTGATAATGTCCTCGGACTCTGTGCCTTGCATGATGGCTGAGCAAAGGTTTGGCACCAGCAGTTTCAAAGTCTCTTCTGCATTCACCTAAAAGTTGGCTGTTGTAATAAAAATTATAAGTGAGTGAATAGACGAACAAACCATTGCAAATGCTTGGCAGAGAACAGCAAGCAATATGCCCGCCACTGAGGTTTCCAAAATGCGACTTATTACAAACTGGTTCACCTTCCTGAGTGCTTGTTGGAATATGGAAGGTGACGTTTGAGTAAGCACAGAAATCACAGTTGAAAGAATGGCACTCTCTGTAAGGGACTCGCTTTCCCATTTGTCAGATTCCTGCTCTATGCGAGACTGGTCGATAGAGCTGCTTTCGATCAGGCTCAGGCATCTGTCGATAAACTGCAGCACAAAGTCTTCAAATCCTGATGAGGCCGCACACAAAATTTCCTCTTCCTATAAACACAAATGATTAAAAATTTAGTGAATTGAAGCTTTTTTTTACATCAGTCAAGTCTTTGAAATGCTCGTATGCCCTGGATGAATCCACCAAGGGCACCAGTGTGGCAAATGTGGAGATGAACTGGAACGTGATGAAGCACTTGAAGGAATCGTTGGGGTCTATTCCAGGCAACACAGACATGAGCAGAGGCAAAACATGGCCCCTTCCTTCCTTGTAATCACCCACTTGCTCCAACATTGGCCTTCCGACAGCAACCACACACATCATGGCAGTGGTTAGCTTGTGTGGTTCAGTTATTGAGTCCAAATTCATGTACATTCTGCGAGAAATTCAATGTTAGCACTTATCTCAATAATACAAATTTATTTCAATAATTACTTTTCAACTATAGGTGGTACAACCAGGCTTGGCTTCAGGGTGGCCAAATACTGCAGGGATTGAACCATGTCCAGGACACCAGCTTTCGAGTACATAGCTTGCATGGTGATTGGCTGCATAATTTCTACAAACTTGGTTATGTCCTCATCACTCAGCAAGTGACTCTCGGGTATGGGAGGTTCCCATTTTCGCTTCTTCACTCTCTCTCTTTATACATAAAAAAAAAAAATTTAAAAAAAATGTTACTATTGAAAATAAAATTAAAAATTTTGAACAAAATTCAATGTTTGGACAAATTTTCATGTACCTATAGACACGGCTGATGAAACAGGAAACAATTCTTTTGATAAGCTCTCGTAACTTCAGGACCCAGCGACCAAAATTAGCTGGCTGCAAGTACGTCTCCAGCGTCTTCATGAACTTCTCAAGATACTGGTATGTGCTGCTTTTGCCACCCTAAAAAATCAAATGCAAAATTTGCCAAATATTTTTGATTAAAATAAATTACAATAGTTGACACAATCCACTGGCAAATGGCCATGGAGTCCAACTTGTGGATTCGCCCTGGGTACATTTTCTTGTACAGGACTGGCAGATTGAGTGATCTAAGGAATCTTGTAAACATCATAGCCATGTGAGGCTCCCAGTCAATGTGGCCGATATTCAAGCGGGCCAGCCGCGCTAACAGCCACATCAGCTCCTACAAATGATAACCATCAGCTGGACATATTTGCAAGTAAACCAAAATTACAGATTCAAAGTTGGTGGAGTTGTTGCAAACGCTCCAAAAGTGCATCAGTTCATCCAACCAGAGTGTGTAACCTTGCTCTTTGACGTCTGCTCTGCGCATTGTGGGCAAAAACAGATTGAGCCCTTCCATCCCTTTGGTGGTGGAACTGTCAAAAGGGCACAGGCGAGGACGGAACAAATCCAAAACTTCTTGGGTTGTAGATGGAGGAAAATAGCTGGAAATCAATAAGAGTGTGAATTTTGAAACAACAAAGGTAATGAAATTCCAACTTACTAAGCAGATTCGCGAATCAGGGCATTTAAAGTGCTATCCAAATCACTGTAAGAAAAATTAGCTTTGTTTGATGGTATAATTTTTTTATTACGTGAAGTATCTGTACATTCCTAGTTCTGCATGGGAGTCTTCAATTATTCTTTTCCGAACTTCATAGAGAGGCCTCCAGTCTAAGGTCAAATCGTCATAATTCAGGTATTTTTTGCTAAAAATGTAAAAAAGAATTTATTTAGGCATAGGTTTGTCAATTTCTATTAATGGTGTTTTATGTTTTTGCAACAGTTTAGTTCATGTTAATCTTGCGTCATAAATTTTCAACTAGTCATTGTTATAATTATAAACCTGAGGAGCTCCAGTAGAGTTGAGGCAAATTTGTTGACCAAGTACGGCTCCAAATTTGGCAATGTCACCAGCTCGTATAACATCCTCACAAAAGCCAGGTGGTCTTCTTTAGAAATTTTCAAGCCGTAGAGACGTGTGAACCTGCATAATATTTAAAGTAGTGTCAATGACCTGCATGAATGAATTTTTTATTTTTTTAAATACATGCCTCATCAGTCTGGCTGTCCAGACTCTGCAGCCAGGGCAAATTTCACGCAACATGACAGCCCTTCCAAGGTTAGCTTTGATAGTGGCCAGGACTCGGTTGGATTCCTCGTCCAGTTTGTCAGCATAGGGCAACAGTCTGTTGCACTCGAGGATTTTCTGCGGCCTAAACCCAAGGCTCTCGATTCGGTCCTGGGAACTGTCATCCTCGGACAGCGATTCTTCCATGCCTGCAAAGCTTCTTTTCTCCTTCTTGTCGTGGTCAAAGTTAATCGCAATTTTAATCTATTGCGTGATAAATTGATTGCTCTGCTAATTACTGCGCCAATGATCGCTACCGCGATGATTAGGGAAAACTAGAAAACAACAACTTGCTTTTTTGCTCCTGGTTACGTGCTCCATCTGTCACTGCTGCCAACGAAATTTTAGAAAAAAATATTTCTCAATGCTTCGTTTGAGAATGAGACGAAAAAAAATTAAAATTTTAACTATGAAAAATGATTGAATATTTAATGTTTTTTTCACTAGCGCATAAAATTCGCTAAATAAATATTTAAATTAGGTTAAACTAAACTTCGTATTTTTACTCAGTTGGTTAACATAAACGTTTCAACCACGCCCCATTGGCAAGCGTTTTGAAGCGTAAAGAAAAAACATCAACACGTGCCGGGTGCATCCATTCAAAATTTGCACAATCGTATTTGATTTATATTTATATTTTTAACGATCAACGACTGCATAAAGATTCCTGGTTTGCATTTTTGTAGTTGGTTATTATCAGAGGAAATAATGGCGGGATCCAGCGATGCCCAACTGCAAATCAAACTCGTCACAAAGCAATCGACGTATGTGTATTAAAGAACTTTTCATGGTGAATTATATTTCAATTTTATTAAAATAAATATCGTTTGCAGATATGCTGTGCCTGATATTCCGTATTCAGTTCCCTCAGAAATCGTTTGTGGCGAGCTGAATTCTCTCGTCAACGAATTATTGACAGGTATGCATGAAATTTTTTTTATAAATATGCACGCATGACATCAAAATTGAATTAAACTTGTCCTTTTTATAGAAACTCATGGTGGCGCTGTGGTTGAGTTCGATTTTCTCGTCGGCGGAGAACTGTTACGGACACATCTGTCTGAACATTTATCAGAGAGACAGGTTTCTGCCGAAGAAGTTGTCCTTGTTGAATACGTCGAAAGGTTCCCAGCCCCAGAACCACAAGACTGCCTTGAACATGATGACTGGGTGTCTGCCACTCAGGCCAGTGGGGAATGGTTTGTCTTCTAAAAAGCGATTTTTATTTCCAAGATTATTAATTTTGTCAAAATAGGATTTTGTCTGGAAGCTACGACAGCACATTACATTTGTGGAGTCGCAAGGGAACACACCTACTCACAATTCCAGGACACACAGGAGCCGTCAAGGCGGTAGCTTGGGTAGAAACTGCAGACAAAATTTGTTCCTTTGTTAGGTGAAACAAAACAAAATTATGTATTCCATGGTTAACTGTTTAAATTTTTAGTGCTTCTCAAGACCAAACTGCAATGATTTGGCAGTGGAATCAGACATCCAACTCGGTCGAGTGTGTCCACGTTTTGAGAGGACACGATAGGGGGCTGGAGTGTCTGGCCGTTGACCCCACTCGCACTTACATTGCCACTGCTGGCTGGGACAAGGTCATTCACTTGTGGTCGACTGTCGAAGGACTCAGCGAGGGAGAATCATTTCCAAAAAAGATTAAATTTGATTCCAAAGTAATTTTGCAACAACTTTTCATTGGGTTGAAAAAAAAAATCATATTTTGCATTCTGCAGTCACCTCTGATGAGCTTCCAAGGACACAAAGAAGCCATTTCTGCAGTGCAGTGGTCGGAGGAGGGAGAAATGATCAGCGCCTCTTGGGACCACACAATCAAAACGTGGGACGCAGAGCTGGGCGGCATCAAAGTGGAAATCGTAGGCAACAAGAGTTTCTTTGACCTCTCTTGGTCACCGCTGACCAGAACTGCAATCACAGCCTCTGCCGACAGACACGTCCGACTGTACGACCCAAGATCAACAGGTAAAATAAAAGACCTGACTTTTGAAAATTATTTGAAATATCAAAACTCTCAGAGGGAACCTTGGTGAAATCAACATTCACTTCGCACACCGAGTGGGTGCAGTGTGTCAAATGGTCAACGACCTCCGAGTACCACTTCATCTCTGGCTCTTACGACAAGCAGGTTAAACTTTGGGACACGAGAAGGTTTGCGTTCATGCTTCAGGGAAGTTTCATTTTTCTATTCCAATGTTTTATTGCAGCCCCAAGGCTCCACTTTTTGATATGTCTGGTCACCAGGATAAAGTTCTCTGCTGTGACTGGTCGAACCCAGAGTTGATTCTCTCAGGGAGCTCAGATAACTCGTTGCGGATTTTTAAATCTCAGCATGTGCTGTAGCCCTGTGATCACAGTATTTGCTTTCAATATTTTCTCAAGCGGTGAAAGTAAACGAAACTACAAGATAATTCAAATTTTGCATTTTATTTTGATTAATGAGAAAATTGACGCACTTGAAAAATTTATTTATTAGACACAAATTACATTTGAGATAGAGTGACTTTATATTAAACACACTGGACTGATCATTCGTCGTCTTCATCGATGGCCTGGTCAGCCTCCATGCCCATTTCACCTCTCTGTAGGTATTCAGAGATCAAGTCACGCACATTTTTCGAAGCTTCGTGAAACTCTTCCAAGTCCATTCCTTCCCCAGTATACCAGTGAAGGTAGGCTCTTTTTGCAAACATAGCCTCAAACTGGTTCACCAGTCTTCTGAAAACTTCTGCGATAGCCGAGTTGTTCCCAATCACTGTTGCCGACCTGTAATAATCAAAATAAAAGCTGTTAATAATTAATCCACGCCAAGTTATTGGACAAAATAAATTGTTTTTATAAGTTTATTTATTTATTCTCCATTGTGAAATGTATACAATACACAACATCTTACATCAAGTCAAATAAAATTTGAAAAAACTGAAAATACATGTTAAGAATGTTGGTTGGGGGGGGGGGGGGTGAATGGAGAAATGGCTTTTCGCTAGCAAACAACTTGCTAAAGCACGGCGCACTCTCCATCGAAGAAGTGCGCACCGGCCGCTAGAGCCATTGGTCAGGGGACTATGACTATGTATCAAGGTTTTGCCACAGATACGCCTTGAACAGCGCTGGAAACTGTGCCGCCGTACAGTCCTTCAAGGCGGGTGGCGTGTCATTCCACACGGTTTGACGACGCGGTATAGTGCCGGACTGAACCAAAACTTCAGTTCGGGCTTTCTGTGGATGAGAGGGCCCACATCCCATCAAGGACCCTTAACCCTCCCCCCCCCCTAATTTTTTCTCGCAGCCCTTTTTATGATCGCCAAATTTTTCCGTCATTTTAAGTAATTAATTTTTTTTTAAATGAAGTATATTTATTTGTAAGAAGTTACAAGTCCAGCCAACTCCAAACGGAGTTATCGGCCGGTGCTTATGTGACTGGAGAGCAAGACTTAAAAGCCGAGCAATCCAGTTCTATACACATTATTTTAATTGCTTGCATCTTATTTTGCAAGCCTAATATTTTAGGACTACGCAGAAGTATCTATAGCGAGCGAAGCGAGCAAATTTTTTTTATAAAAATATGTACCAAAAAACCACTAATTTTCTTATGAGGATAGGAAATTGCTTTAAATTGCAGCTTTTGATAAAATAAATTAATAAATTAGAAAAAGTAAGATTTCTGGGAGCGGTGTAAAAAAAGCGTTCAGGAAAAGTAGCCAGAAATGATCAGAATGATCTGTTCGGGATTTTTAGATGGTCGCCGAAAAACATGAAAATTTTTTGTTCGGCGGCCAAGTTCAACCAGGGGTGAGGGTGTAAAAAATAGCTTTCGCAAAAATTAGCCAGAAATGATCAGATTGGTATGTTCGGGATTTTTAGATGGTCGCTGAAAAATATGAAATTTTATTTGTTCTGAGGCAAAGTTCAAACAGGGGAGTTTAAAAAAAAGCGCTCGGAAAAAGTAGCTATAGAAATGATCAAAATGATCTGTTCAGAAATCAGCCCAGCCACAATAAAAAAATTGGACGAGGCATAAATTTATTATTAATTTTCCACACCATAAAATAAAACTTTGTGAAGATTAAACGATATAATAAAATCGTTTGAAACAAAGTCACGGTTCATATATTCAGGCAAGATGAAATTTCGTCTCTTATATGGGCGTCATTTTATAAAAAGCCCCAACAATGAAGTCGAATCCACAACAGTTAAATTTTTACTATAAATTTGAGCCGATTTTTAGGCACATTGTTGAGACTCCAAAATGTCTGATTCTGAGAAAAAACACCCACTTACAAATCTGAACGTTATTCTGAAGGCCTGCGACGGTAAATATACTATTTACGTAGAAATATAAAATTTATAAAATATTAACGTTGAATTGGTTTTCAGAGGTGCTGCAAATAAGATCCAGCAAAGAAGACCCAGAAGAGGGACAAGCTCGTTGTGTCGGCAAGCGCATCAGCGATTCACTGCTCTTCCTGAATGAGTTGATGGTTGGCGCTGATGGTCAGACTCATTAATAGTTGTATGAGTAAAATATAATATATTTTTTTTAGCGCTTGCCGACATAATGTTGAAGTCTGATCCCAGTGCAGCCCTTGTTGATTCGATTGGACAATCAAGCGCCACTGATGGTTCCAAGAAAACCACCCTTGAGGCAGCTCCACAGGACAACAAGGCTGCTACTGTTCACATGATGCAGAAAATTGCAAACGAAGCTGCTGTAGTGGACTACGGAGGAGACATATCCGCCCCTGACGATCAGTCGCACACTGACAGCAAGTTTAACCTGAACAAAGAAGAAAAGGCCAGGCGGGACGAGAAGAAGCACGGCCGGCAGAATTGTTATAGCAACATAAACTTGGATGATTTGAAAATTGGACAGTCAAGCGCCACTGCTCTCGCCTTGCACCGTAACTTTATTGTCGTATGATTTCGTTAAATGACTGCAAGATCTGAATGTAAAATTTTGAAAATACCATTTAAAATAATGATCCGAGAATGAAGATGGAAATTTTGGTTTGGAAAAATTTTCCCAACTCTGGGTCGGGAGACAGATACGCGGAGGGTGTTCTGGACAGCCAGGTTACAGTGTGCAGATATAATTTTTGACAAAATTTTTGCATTAGCCTGAGCTGAAACAAAGAAATTTTAATACAAGTTTTACGAGGAATTACAAATAAAGCTGTCCGAATGATTTACGAGCCCGAGGGTAGGGTTAAATTTTTGTTGAAAATAATTACTTTACTGACGGAGGGGCTCCAACTTTGCCGCTGACCGCTGGAGGTGGCCAGGATGGGATGAGAGTGCAGTCAAGTGGAGGAATATTTTTCCTGGTTTGGCCAAGGACCTGTAATGTAAATCATATGAGTAAAGCTGAGCCTTGCAAGAAAATCCTCCAAATCATGTCTCAAGTCAGGGAGAAGTGTTTAAGTTTTTGAAGATTTTCTCGGAAAACAAGATAGGGGACGCATGCAACCATATAAAAAGTGGTGACCGCGTTGGTGGTTGTCTGGGTATTCGTTAAACTACCTCTGGAGAGTTTGCATTTCTGCGCAGGGCAGGAGCGCCCCTTGAAGAAGATACTCCCGGCATGGTCAAAGGACTTGTCGGAAGCCGCCGCAACACCCACCAGGGGATTGCTACGGACACCTGCGGAAGACGGAGTGGCTCCAGCAGGTGGGCGAGCTAGACAGCGTGCGCAGTTCGTAGTGGTCATCCACGTCCTTATTTAGCACAATCTCTTGGCAGAGCGGCGCGGCCGAGAGCGAGTTTTTCCCGGAAGAACCTGCGGTAGGACGAATCACAAAGGGTGTGTTTTATTTGGGTTGATAGGTTCTTATCTGATGGAGAGCCTGGAGAGGTGCAAAAAATACTCGGGGCCCAGGGGCTAGGAAGCTTCCAACGCTTGTATAACGGACCGTCCGGCGGACGCAGAGTCGTCCTGACAAAGACAAATCACGATTTTGTCGCGAAGGAGAGATGCTCCAGTCAGGTAATGACGGATGACGGTATATTTATTATTAAATTTGCATAATAGAGATTTTGCTCCATTGGTCAACAAATCAACAAGCCATTGCTGCCAACGATGGAACGATGTTTTAAAAAAATCTGAAAGTATTTCTCGATACGCTGTTTGAAAATGAGAAGAAAAAATTACAAAAATGATTTCAAAAAATGATTAAATATTTAATCTAGCGTATAAAATTTGCCATATAAATATTTAAACTTAACATTTTATTTTTATTCAGTTGGTCAACATTAATGTTTGAACCAGGGTGCATTATTTTTCCATGCACCTTGGTTAGTGTGAACCACGCCCACGCCCCATTGGAGAGCATTTAAGAAAAAAACATCAACACGTGCATCCACTCAAAATTTACACAATCGTATTTGATTTATATTTTCAACGATTAACGACTGCATAAAGATTCCTGGTTTGCATTTTTGTAGTTGGTTATTATCAGAGGAAATAATGGCGGGATCCAGCGATGCCCAACTGCAAATCAAACTCGTCACAAAGCAATCGACGTATGTGTATTAAAGAACTTTTCATGGTGAATTATGTATATTTCAATTTTATTAATATAAATATCGTTTGCAGATATGCTGTGCCTGATATTTCGTATTCAGTTCCCTGAGAAATAGTCTGTGCTGAGCTGAATTCTCTCGTCAACGAATTATTGACAGTTATTTTAATTTACTGCATACATGTATTTGTTTGAAGAAGTTGACACTCGAGTATGAATATCCATGCATACATGTATTTATAATAATATCAAAATGAAATGAAATTTATTCTTTGTAGAAACTCATGATGGCGCTTTGGTTGAGTTTGATTTTCTCGTCGGCGGAGAACTGTTACGGACACATCTGTCTGAACATTTATCAGAGAGACAGGTTTCTGCCGAAGAAGTTGTCCTTGTTGAATACGTCGAAAGGTTCCCAGCCCCAGAACCACAAGACTGCCTTGAACATGATGACTGGGTGTCTGCCACTCAGGCCAGTGGGGAATGGTTTGTCTTCTAAAAAGCGAGTTTTATTTCCAAGATTATTAATTTTGTCAAAATAGGATTTTGTCTGGAAGCTACGACAGCACATTACATTTGTGGAGTCGCAAGGGAACACACCTACTAACAATTCCAGGACACACAGGAGCCGTCAAGGCGGTAGCTTGGGTGGAAACTGCAGACAAAATTTGTTCCTTTGTTAGGTGAAACAAAACAAAATTATGTATTCCATGGTTAATTGATTAAATTTTTAGTGCTTCTCAAGACCAAACTGCAATGATTTGGCAGTGGAATCAGACATCCAACTCGGTCGAGTGTGTCCACGTTTTGAGAGGACACGATAGGGGGCTGGAGTGTCTGGCCGTTGACCCCACTCGCACTTACATTGCCACTGCTGGCTGGGACAAGGTCATTCACTTGTGGTCGACTGTCGAAGGACTCAGCGAGGGAGAATCATTTCCAAAAAAGATTAAATTTGATTCCAAAGTAATTTTGCAACAACTTTTCATTGGGTTGAAAAAAATCAAATTTTGCATTCTGCAGTCACCTCTGATGAGCTTCCAAGGACACAAAGAAGCCATTTCTGCAGTGCAGTGGTCGGAGGAGGGAGAAATGATCAGCGCCTCTTGGGACCACACAATCAAAACGTGGGACGCAGAGCTGGGCGGCATCAAAGTGGAAATCGTAGGCAACAAGAGTTTCTTTGACCTCTGTTGGTCACCGCTGACCAGAACTGCAATCACAGCCTCTGCCGACAGACACGTCCGACTGTATGACCCAAGATCAACAGGTAAAATAAAAGACCTGACTTTTGAAAATTATTTGAAATATCAAAACTCTCAGAGGGAACCTTGGTGAAATCAACATTCACTTCGCACACCGAGTGGGTGCAGTGTGTCAAATGGTCAACGACCTCCGAGTACCACTTCATCTCTGGCTCTTACGACAAGCAGGTTAAACTCTGGGACACGAGAAGGTTTGCGTTCATGCTTCAGGGAAGTTTCATTTTTCTATTCCAATGTTTTATTGCAGCCCCAAGGCTCCACTTTTTGATATGTCTGGTCACCAGGACAAAGTTCTCTGCTGTGACTGGTCGAACCCAGAGTTGATTCTCTCAGGGAGCTCAGATAACTCGTTGCGGATTTTTAAATCTCAGCATGCGCTGTAGCCCTGTGATCACAGTATTTGCTTTCAATATTTTCTCAAGCGGTGAAAGTAAACGAAACTACAAGATAATTCAAATTTTGCATTTTATTTTGATTAATGAGAAATTTGACGCACTCGAAAAATTTATTTATTAGACACAAATTACATTTGAGATAGAGTGACTTTATATTAAACACACTGGACTGATCATTCGTCCTCTTCATCGACGGCCTGGTCAGCCTCCATGCCCATTTCACCTCTCTGTTGGTATTCAGAAATCAAGTCGCGCACATTTTTCGAAGCTTCGTGAAACTCTTGCAAGTCCATTCCTTCCCCAGTAAACCAGTGAAGGTAGGCTCTTTTGGCAAACATTGCCTCAAACTGGTTTACCAGTCTTTTGAAAACTTCTGCGATAGCCGAGTTGTTCCCAATCACTGTTGCGGACCTAGAATAATGGAAATTTTCTTTACTATTGGGATCAAATAGCTGTTAATAATTAATCCACGCCAAGTTCTTGGACAAAATAAATTGTTTTTATAAGTTACCAGTTTTCATATACAAGAATGAAAAAAAAAATCAAAATGCAAAGAAAAAAAAGAAGTACTTTGGCTCAGTAATAAAGCAAAGAGATGATAATACCAATTCCTTAATTTTAATTCGTCTTTTTTCAATATTTTAAAGAGCCTAGGATAGAGAAATGCAAAATTATAAAATCAACCTTTCACGGCCGATTGGGGGTATCGCGCAGGACGAAATGGTGACGTTGTTGGGCACCCAAGGTACGAAGGCGGCGCTGTGCTTTTTCTGCATGGCGGCAAATTCCGTCTCGACTTCATTCATGGAGAAGTTGCCTCGCAGGATGGCAGCCATGGTGAGGTAGCGCCCGTGGTTCGGGTCGCAGTCGACCAGGAAGTTTCGGCCGACGGTCAATTGGTGCATCAGTTCGCGGACGGACGACTTGAACTCGAATTCCGCGTCTTGGGTGCGAGTCAGGGGCGCGTAACCGGACATGTAGAAGTGGAGACGAGGAAAGGGAACCAGGTTGATGGCCAACTTCCGCAAATCTGAATTCAGCTGTCCTTGAATTATATTAAAAAAAAAAAAAAATTTACTTAGGATCTCTGTTTATTTCGTCATTTGATGTTTTGATGTAAAAAAATTCCAAATTACCGGGAAACCTTAGTGATGCGGTGACCCCGGCCATGGTCTGCGCCACAAGGCCGTTGAGATCCGAGTAAGTGGGGGTGGATTTGCCAAGGGTGCGGTGGCAGATGTTGTACAGCGCCTCGTTGTCTACCAGGAAAGTGCCCTCAGAATTCTCGATCAGGCTGGCCAGAGTGAAGACGGCGTTGTAAGGTTCGACCACGGTGTCCGAAACCTTGGCCGAAGGCGCCACCGAGAAGCTGTTGAAGATGCGGTCGGGAAACTCTTCTTTCAGTTTCGACAGCATCAGAGTGCCCAGACCGGAACCGGTGCCACCACCAAGAGAATGCACCAGTTGAAATCCCTTAAAAAGAAAAAAACAAACATTATATGAAATTTAAATGTCATTTTTAGAACTAAATTCTTGATCTTTTAGCTATAGAAAAAAACATACATGGGCAGAGCGCACTTTGCGCTCTGCGATCTGCGCTCGCGCTCTGCGCTCATGAGCGCGAGCGCAGAGCGCGATCGCACGATTTTCAAAATCGTGAGCGCGAGCGCAGAGCGCGAGCGCATTGGTCGCTGAGCGCAGCGCTCAATTGCGCTCATTTTGCGCTCAAACCAAGAGTAAAAATTCCCGAATTTGATCAAAAATTGTAATGAAAAACAGTGTTTTTATACCAAAAACTTAAAACTGATCCCAATTTTGGTGATTTAACTTCAACTTTATCATTTCCAATTGCCGATGTATTTTTTGTTATATTAAAAAATTGTCTAAAAAGTCGCACTTTTTCATCGGATAAAAATATTTTTGAGCGCAACGCGTGAGCGCAAGACTTTTTAAAAATTTGAGCGCGAGCGCAGAGCGCGAGCGCAACATTTTCAAAATCTTGATCGCGAGCGCAGAGCGCGAGCGCACTGTTGCCAGTGATCGCGAGCGCGAGCGCGAGCGCAAAATTGTTGAGCGCACCCATGTATGGAAAAAAATACTTGCAAAAATCAATTGTCTCGTGCAATAGACAATTTATTGTTGCTCTTATACAATAATTCTTTTCTTTTTTTTACATAATATTTTGAGGTAAAATTTTATCATCGATTTGAATACCTGCAGAACGTCACAGTCGTCAGCTTCGTGTCTGGCGACGTCAAGCACGCTGTCGACGATTTCGGCGCCCTCGGTGTAGTGACCTTTGGCCCAGTTATTGCCGGCGCCGCTCTGGCCGTAGATGATGTTGGCCGGCTGGAAGAGGCGGCCGGCGGCCCCCGAGCGAACCGCCTCCACCACCCCCGGCTCCAAGTCGAGCAGGATGGCGCGTGCGATGTGTCTGTTTGCGTCTGGGTTGAATTTGAAAACGGAATCGCCGCTGCCCAGTTGCTCCGCGGTGCCCACCTGGTTGCCTTCAAGGTCGATTCCGTGCTCGGCGGCAATTTGCTTCCAGTACTTATATGATACATACATTTTTTTTAATTGATATATTATTTTGTTCTTTTCAAATACAAAAATCAAGAAAATGATAATAATAAGCAAGAATATGAAAGAAAAATAAATATATTTTCAGATGGATAAAAAAAAATAAAACTGAAAAAAGCGTTTAAAGAAAGAAATTTTATCGACACAACAAAAAATAATAATAATAAAAATTAACAAAATATATTTTAAATAAAATGTTTGTTTAAATGTGAATTTATTTTACTGTGTTCTAAGTATTTAAAATTAAATTTTAATTTTATTTGTTTATAACTATGTGTCAAGAGAATTAATAAAAAACTATGATGAAAATGTGCTTAATTAACCAACATTCTTAACATGTATTTTATATTTAATTTTTTGTGTATTGACTTGATGTAAGATGTTGTATATTTCATGTATTTGAATGCAGATAAATAAATAAATAAATAATTACTTCTGCTCCAATGGAGTTGCCGCACTGACCAGCCATAATTTGCACGATTCCGCGTCTCGTCTCCATTTCTCTCGCTTTCCAAACTGATACTGTCGAAACTTTTCCGCGAGCATTTTCTTGAAAGTGTCGAAGGGTGTTGTACAAATATTGCATAATATTTAATATTGCTTCCCGTTTCCATTCAGAGATGAGAAAAATGGCATATTTGCTTAGAGGGGCGCGCTTCTTCTTAATTGCGCTGCGAACGCCTGCAAGATTCATGAGCGGCAACCCGCAAAACCTAAACGCTCTGCGGGTTGCGGACTGCTTACTTTTTGCCGAAGCTCAAATTTCAATTTTTCTCCTGTACATACTTTTTGTGAATTAAATGAAAAAGTAAGAAACAAAACAAGTGCGTGAGTAATTTTTCACATGGATCTTTATTGACAAGAGAACTTATGTTAATCAATCGATCGACGGCTGGCGCAAACCAGCTACAAAAATTATCCTCCTGGCACAAACGATTTTTGTGTGCGGGTGACAAACGGGCGCGTTTCGCAATTGTAATTAGCCCTGTGGACGAAGTGACGGCAGGTTTTGATCGCTTCAGGACATTTCCGAGTTTCGGACCTCCTGTGCGCGAAAACGAATAAGGGCAGAGGGAAGCGGACAGTTGTAAGAAAGGGCGTTCGAAGAGGATTACACTATATATCAACATAAAAACAAAATCAATCAATAAAAACAAAACAATAAATATTTTACTCTAGACATAGAATTTGTACAATCAACAACAGACTATTGGGAGTAGTCTTCATCTTCTTTTTCTACATCGTTACATTTTATCAGTGAGAGTTTAAACGTTTTCTGGGCAGTTTCGGATGTACGTGAGAAAAACGATCGCGGTAGCAAAATCAAACTATCGTCAACCGGCTTGACAGACGTCTATGGGAATTTTTATCGGAAACGTTGCCCAGAAAGTAGCTATTTGGTTTGGTCGCTGTAAAAGTGGTTGTGGTTGGTGCGCAAAAAAATAACCGTCGTAAACCGATGCTCGTAAGACGAACGAATCGGGTGGTAAGTTTGTGGTTTCTGTACGAATGTATACAAAGTCTCAAATATTCATTTGGTAGAGGGGTGTGTGTTGTGAGTGTGTCCTGAACTGCGTGATATAGTATTATATTAAAGTCGGTCTGTGCTGGGGTGGCGAGTGTTCTTTTTAATTTACACGAGTTTATTTTTCTCCGGGAGAGTAGTGTGTGTGTGTTTGTGTGTGTCTCATTTCTTCATCTTATATAAATTTAGAAAAAATTCAACAATCATTTTCCCCTCGCGCTTGTGTTCTGTGTGTGTGTGTTAGTATGTTTCACTTTTTATAGCTAGCTTATACAAAAAATAATTATATTAATCTAGATTTTGCAGTCTTTATAAAAATAATTTATTTCTCGCGACCCGAGCGCCTTAAAAAGTTACGGTGGCGCGGGCGCTTCTTTGTTTTCCGTCGTTTCTTCTTCTTCTTTTAAACTCATCTTCTTCTCTCGTTAGTATTGTGAGGCTATTTGAATACTCAGTAGATTTCCCACGTACGTTATTCCCTTTACACACATTATTCAACATTATAAAATCGTCGAGTAACCGTTGGAAGAGGCGACAAAAAAATCAACAAACATGAAAAATCAATAAAATACATATTTCAACAACAAGGGGAGATAAAAAGGGTGGAAGCTGGGGTTGGCTTTCGCGGGAGGGTTATCGTCGGTCCGTGGAAACGCAATTCCTGCCATCTTCCGCCCGTTTTTGTTTTTTTTTATGTGAGAGGTTTTCACGTTTCATTCGGCGCCGTTTGTCACTTCGCCACTCAATAAAGATCCTGGTAGTCTTATCTTTTTTATTTCAAATTTCTTCAAACATTGTTTTTCTTCTTTTTTTCTCCTGTTCTCTCTGTTTTTATTTTCTTGATGAAACCATTAGCAAAAATCAATTCAAGATCTGCAGCCCAGAATTCATTTTCTCTCTCATCAAAGATGGGAAGACAGGAATGCTCATGTGTGGGCTTCTCGTTTTTGCTCGTGGAACAGAACTTGAACGCACAATAACTTGTCTCAACTACAGTGTGGGTGGGTGTGTGTGTGTCGCTTACTGCTTATAACAAAAATTTCACCACCATTTGTCTCTCTCGATCTCTAATGGCAAGTTGAACAAATTACTGCATTTTAAATTTATCTTTTTTCCTCGCGTTAAAGAACTTTGTATTCTTTAATTTTTACTTTCATCTTCTTTTCGCACTTAACAGAAAATCATCATCATTTTGATATATTTTAAGACTTAAATTCTGCTCTCAAATCTTCTTTCTTTTTACACAGTGGTTGTGTGATTCTCTGTTTCTGTCTGCGCCTTAATTTAAACCTACCAGAGGCTGGAATGTAGCCACACTGACTGAATATTTACAAGGAACTTGAACATTTGCGCCGGCCGCTTCGTCCGTCCGTCCGTCCGAACGTCCGACCGCCGCCCCCCACCAATGGCCTGCGTGCTTCCGCCCCAATACTTCTTTTCACCTGCCGCTTTTATTGTTAGATAAAATAAATTATGTTACCAGCGCGCGTTTTCACAAAATATTACAAGAAAACTAAGGGCACTTGTTGTAATTTCTGAATGGCCTCGTGTATGCCCCAGTTGTGTGTGTGGCGGCGGCCACGGCGGCGGCCAAACGTCTGCGTTTGTTCGGCTACACGCCAACCTCTTTACACCAAAGAACATGTTTTTTTCCTTAAACGTTAAGTTTCGCCTACATAACTAGCTACACACTAGAAGAAATCTTCTCTTTTTCGACTTAACAACTAGAAATTTGTCTACAAACTAGGATCTCTCTCGTCACTCTCATTCGCCCTCTATTTTTGCCGAACAAATAGAGGGAGCCGGGGGCACACACACATACAATCAAAAATGTCTCTTTTTTTATGTAACTCGCTCACTCACGCGCACTCAAAAAAACCAAAACGAGATTTAACAAGAAAGAAGGAAATCAAAGCGCCTTGGGTTTTTGTTTTTCGTCCCGCACTTCGTATAAATTGTGGATTTTGCTCATCAACCTTCCTTTCATTTTCGGGCCTTACAAACTAGTTTCTTCTTTTTTCACTACGCGCTAGGAGCTTAAATCTAATGACACTAAAAGTGCACCACGCAAATTAAAACTCTGCTTCTTTTTTCTCTCGTTTCGCGAAAAGTCATCTCTCGTCGTTTAATGACGCGCGCGCGTGTGTCTCGATCAGGTTCATGCGTCTCATGTCGGAGAAACAAACAAACACTTTCTGGGCCTAACATCTTAATCTTTAAATTATCTACAAAAATCTACAAACTCCGCACTCGAGACGGGCAGCGGAAATCATGAAAGGTTTCTTTTCGCAGTTCTGCAGTTTCCAAAACCATGCGTGTTGTGTGTGTTTGCATTGAGTGGCGCCTCATTCGTAAAAAAAAACAAACAAACAAACAAAGCAGGGCAAATGTTTTCTGTACATTTTTCGATCATTTTGTTCATTGATCTTTCCCGTTATGTCCAGCATCACTTTTTTTACAGATTACGTTTTTTTTTAATTCCTTACCAACCGATCTTGGATTTTTGCAAATCAATGCGCCTGTTCTCATGGTTATTATGTTTTTTCTCAACATCAAATTCGGTAAAAAATATAACTTATCCCCATTGTCCTTTTTCACTGCTGAATAAAAATCTCCGATTCGGACGCCACAAAAAGCGCCCGACTGCTTTTATACTTTTTTTGTGCTAGCTGTTAGTTTGGCATTACAAATCACGTTCACTGCTGTGTTTTTTTCTCATTAACATTTTTTGTTACCATTTTTCGTGAAAAACAAGCTCTTCGTTCGTTTTTGCTTACGTCATTTTTAGATTCGCTACACAGTAAATTGTCTACTACACGTTGTCACATTAACGTTTACGATTTTCAGCCTACGAATAAGAGGAGTCTGGGAATAATCAGTTTGCTATGTGTGTAGAAACCAGGTCCCTGTCAGTTTCTTGTAGTTCTTTATAAAATTTAATTCATCTGCATTTTACAAGTTCACGAAAGGAGGACTTTTAGCAGCTATTTAAATCTGTCTGTTTGAGTTATTTTAAATCCCGTTTTGCTCTATTACAATTAACTACTACAACATATAGAAAAATTAATAAACAATGAACTAGAAGGTAATTTGGCTTTGGTTTCTTTTTTCATCTCAGAGAAAATCCCTAACGTTTTTGTTTCACCATTTCCACTACTACAGTTTGCTTCATTTTTACTAAGGATATTCTGAAAGGCACAATATCTAAATAAATTTCCCATCCATCGTGTGTAAGTGTGTGACAAAAGGTTTCTAATCTCCTGACAAGACTAACAAACACTTTAGCTGATTTATTTCGAAACGTAACAATCTAGACACTAGAAAGGTCAAAACTCATCAACAAGGGCGCATTTGCAACTTTGCAAAAAAAAAAAATCATTGCAAATGACTTGAGAAAATCAATAAATAATTAAATATCGGTTAATAATCTGGTTGGAATGTGGCGCTGAATAATTTAAAAACACGCTACTTTAGGCGATAAATAGCTAATTAAAATAAATACACAAATCCAGGCAGGCGGGCAGTCGAGAGAAGTTTTTGCCTTTTCGCAAATAAACACTCTACGGTCAGTGTTGACACTCGGTTCTCAGTAACAGTGAACATTGAATTTTGATCAATCAATCTGATGATGCATGCTTCGGAAGAATTTGCGGTTTTTGTGATGAGCATACAACAATGCGCTTTGTCAGTAATTTCCTTAACTTCTGCGTCACTCGGTTTCTTACATCTGGTTTTATGTATGTGTGTGATTTTTTTTTCATTTAAATATTTTGACGGGGAAAGGAGGTCGGAAGATGAGAGAGCTTTCTTTCTTTTCACCGCGAATGAAATTAGCCTAGCAATAGCGACGCAAGAGACATTTTCCTAATAAAAAGGGAATCAGCACCAAAGAGCCTAAAAATAACAATTCTCAACTCTCCAGGCAGAAAGGCAATCCCTTGTGTCAATGACTCTTGAGCGTGGCTATCTTGTGGCCCAAAGAAAGCAGCTCTTCTTTTGTTGTGTGTGTGAGAGAAGAAAGAACCTCCTTCGTTGAAATGAAAATGTACATCTTTCAGTCGTATCCAGTCTGCCATCTGCAATGCAACACAATTAAATTGCGATTCGAAACAAAAGGTGGATTTTCCCCCCAAAAGCAATCATTCATCTCAGGGTGTGTTAGAGAGGAAGGGGTGAATTTGGAGAAATTCCGTTAGATCTCGGACAGGATAAGGATGTGAAAATTGTGCCAATCAGAGGTGTGGACATGCGGCAACCAACCTTTCCCCCAGAGTGTTTACTTGGTTGGTTGATTCTGATAGGGCTGATATTCATCAGGTGAGGTTGCGTTTGAGGGCTGTTCAGACTCCATGGGCATTGTGTGGATAATGGAGGCTGCTGGAGGGTAGAAGCCGTAGTGTGGATGTCCTGCCGCAATGTACTAAAAATTAAGGTGAAAAATTTATTAAAAATCTTCACATATGAAATTTCTGAACTGATTTCCGATGTTGCTATAAACTTAATATTTTTCTGAATAATTATATTTTCAATGATGTTTTTAATCTCACCGAGCCAGATGTTCCAAGCTGCAGCGCTGACATGTGTGTTGTGAGCTGTGGGATCATTGAGCCGGCGAACTGCATGGTCGGGTCCGTGGAGGGCATCATCTGCTGGTGTGCAACAAAATTTTGAACCTCTCGTCCTCGCAATTGATTCAAAGTTACAAACCTCGACCTGTTGCAAGTGTGGCTGCATCACGTACTGGGCAGGCATCCACGTCGGGTTGGGCATCGAGTAGCTTTGGATTTGGCCGGTGTACGGTCTGCCGTACTGGTGGTTGAGGGCGGGTAGAAGCTGGGTCGGGATGCCGTTCTGCGCCATCAGCGACTGGTCGTAGGCCACAGGCGCACCCTGAGCATCACAAACAACAAGTTTGAAAGAACGTGGAAAAATATTTTGAAAAACTATAGCAATGAAAGCGAGTTTACCTTGATTTTCTTATCATGAGAGTTTGTCAAAAGAAGGAAGATGAATGTATTAAAGGTTGAAATAAAAAACTGAACGGGTACGTTTTTTTTTTAGAAAAATTTGTCCGAAAGAAACTGATAAATGATTAGTGCTTGGCGCGTGTCTCACCTCGCCCATATCTTTCGCCCACATTCTTTGGTCTGGGCTCTTGTACATAGCGTTCCTCTTTTTGTTGCCCCCATCGGCAAATTTCACAAGGAGAGGCTCCTTGGAGCCCTGCAGTTGTTGCGAGTTGAACATCTGGATTATCTGTTCACACTTTTCCTTTGATTCCATCCTGCAGGGACAAGCATAAATAATTTAAAAAAAAAAATTTATTAATATATTTTGACTGTTTTTACCTGGCAAAGCCAACTCCTTTGCTTTGTCCGCTTGTGTCTCTAAGAATCCTAGTAGATATGACTTGTCCATATTTGGTTAGCAACGCGTCAAGATCATTTTCCTTGTAGTTCAATGGTAAATTAGCTATATATAGGTTAGTCGGGTCCTGCTCTTGTTGCTGCGGAGGCAAAAGGAATTCAATTAGAACTGCGCTCGGACGGTCTAAGGTGTGGGTTTTGTGTTCAAAACGATTTAATTTTCTGTTTGTAAATAGACTGCTTTATAAGTTGTTAAGTTTGGTCTTGCTAAGGTTAGTATATATGTATAGTACTCAAGTATAAAATATTTTTGTAAGAGGAGAAAATTACTCTGCTAGCTAAGAGTTAAAAGAAATGATAACAATAGAAAATGTCGAATCAAATACCAGGCAGTATTGTAAGTAAGTTAAGCTATATGGATAAAATTAATGAGATGTAATAGCAGAGCTATGCCCAGCAGCAATGTATCAAAATCATTTAAAAGGTACCATTAGTAAAAGATTACAATGGAAAATATCACAAAAGCGCTCGAAAAAAGGAAACAAAGATAATAATCTCTGTGAGGTAAAAAAAGGCCTGCGGTTTGAAAATCAGGAGAACGAACAAGGAGACTATGAGAGTGGAAATAATAATAAATTTATGCTTATGGACGACTATTTGTCAGTAGACGGTTGTTTGGGCAGTTACGAGTCTGTCCAGCCAAGAGGAGAGAAAACGTATAAAGAGTGAAAAATGACCGCATAATGACCGTTCCCTGAAAATACTCTTAGAGAAAAAAAATTGGTCCACTTTTTGTGTGTTTTAATCACAAAAGTGCTGAAAATTAGTGTAAGTTTGCATCAAAGGTTTTTTCAATCAAAATGGATACTGCTGGTCTACATTAGTATTTTGCGCTGCTCTAAATTTGAAAAGGGCTTGTTGAAGTTTGCGGAACTAAAAACGTTGAGGTCTACAATGCTGAGGCTCTGATTTAGAAATAATTTACCAATCAATCAATAATTCGTTAATGTATAAAGAAAATGAGCAATAACAGCCGCTAATCAAAATTGTACAATGCAACACATGAAATTATGAGACTGCAGACTAAAATCGAAATGATATGTGTAACAATAAAATATTGCAGTTGCATGATCCAAATAATGGCGATTACTGCAAGGCTAATGTATCAAAAAACCAGACAGCTCTCTATTAAAGTAACATTTCCACTCTATTTCAAATATCAATCGATGATTATGCGAAAAGTTTCAAATACGGAAAAACTGCTTGAAAAAATAAAAATATATTTTTATAAAAAAAAGAGGAAAAAACGGAACATGTTACTGCGATTTTAGCGCATTTGCTCTCAGTTCTCCAGACCTGACAATAAAATGCAGCAGATTTGAAAATGTTGTAATCAAAAGGAATTGTCATCATAAGTTTTGTGGTTAGTTTCGCGCCGGGCAACCCGCAGGCGATGAAATTCCAAGATAAAACTCACTCATACCCTTTTAATCCACGAAAAAAAAAACAAAAGAAAAGTCTTGATTACCAACTTTTTGAGGTAACTCTAATTTATTATGAGAATTAATATCTAAAGCTAACTAACATACTAAATTAATGGAGCTTCAAAAGCGGAGAAGTGAAAAATTTCAAGTTTTTTTTCCCCCCAGAAGGCCTGTCTCAGAAAGGTTAGGAGTGAGCGTTACTCGGGGGGTAAGAATGAATTAATTATTGTGCCGCACGGCAGGTTGCCCGGGCAGAAGATGAGTCTCGCTACTAAATGATGGTCTAAGGAATATACTTGGCTACTTAGTGTGGTTATACTCTCCCACTAGTTTGTCATGCAAACGTACACTTTGCCTACGATGCACAAGTGAGATACCCACTTTGGCCATCTGAGCTTGCACCCCTTTTGCTTGCAGGGCTTTTACTGCGGTCTCGGCAGCCACCGGGCTTTCGAAATCGACAAAACCATACCCTAAACAAAGAGAAACATCATTAGTCCAGTTTACAGTCGACTTGCTGAAAGAAAGAAAACAATTGTTGGTAGAAAAAGCATTGCAATCACTTAAATGCTGATATTTTAATCTGAATAAAAAATAAAAATTCGTAATTATATATTAAAAAATGAAAATACTAAGTATAAATAATTTGGTGCAGTTCAACCATAAGAAAAACACGCAGCATCAACTGTCTAATAATTATCAAAACTCTGTACATCTATGATAGAGAAAGAACCAGTTTGGCAAAACCGAGTCGGATCTCAAAATTGGAGGACGTGTGATTTTGGTGTCATCAAATTTATTATAAAAATCAGTTTACGTAGCACGGACATCATGCAGAGTGCTGTTGGAAACAAAAATAAGGGACTTTTGGCTGTGAGCGGCTGCCGGCGGGCGCGTCCACCAAGGAAATTGACTTTGCAATGTAGTTTTATCACTTCGCACTGCCAGCGAGCGAACGGCGAAAGTTTGATCAAAGCGAGCGAGCGAGCGACACACACGACTTTGTGCCAAAGATAAAACCGTCTCCTCGTCGCCGAGTTTGCACCAGGAAATTCATCCCGGCCGACTTAAAATTTGACTCAACCCTTGTCAAGTGCACACACTGGGATGGGGGTGGCTGAGGCTTAAGGTGAGACGAGACGCTTCCGATAACTTTTTGGTCCAACAAAAACTTGTTGAGTTCTTAACGGCGGATTACGTTTATGAAATTTTAAATTTTCTCCAAGGGAATAATATATTTATCTTTTTAATAAAATTTATGGAATTCAATAATTATGGAAACAAATAATTTATTGCAACCTTCCTTTTTTCAACTCACTTATGAGGCGTCATTATGATGTGATGACTCATTTTTTTTTATATGTATTTGCGTTGAATATATAAATCATTCTATCTGAATGATCGTGCTCATCTGTAAAAGTAATTTATCCGGTGCCAAAACAGCCCTCGGTATAAAATTGTGATCGATATTTGTACCGGAAAAAGAAGTTGACTGACGTCAGTGCGTATCAATCAAAGTTCCGCCTCCGCTCGCGAAACACCCCGACTTTGCGAATATGTAAAACCCCAAGCGGCGCCCACAGCACAAAAGTAACTTTCGCCAAATAATAATGCTAAAAAAATGGTCATGAAAAACCAGCGCAAAAACTGTTCCAGGAAAAAAAACTAACTGGTCCAACATTTACTGTGTAAATACACCATAACTACCAACGAACGAACAAATATGAGAAAGAGTGGGAGTAAAAAAATAAAATTTTCAGACTGTGCTGAACGGCGGGGCTCATTTCCAATCGAAATAGGCGATTTTGTTTGACTTTGTGAGAGATGATTGAAATTAAACTTGCGCCGGCAACTAGGTAGGAATTAAAACTATTGGATGCAGAACTAACAACAAGTTGCCTTGGCGAAGAATAAAAAAAACTAATAATTGTAAAATGAGGGGATTGATGAAAATTAAAATTAATTTCAAATTGATTCGGTTTTTACTCACAGTCGTTCACACAGTGTTTTAATTTGTTTAAAATGGAGGAGCACCAACTAGAAAACACAGTCTAAACGTGTCTATTATTTAAGTGTCAGCATCGTCGGGAGAGGACAAGAGTCGCAAGTGTTTGATCCAATCAGAGAGCGGAGTCGAATGACACAATTAATGGATTTAGAGAGATAGAGAGAAATATATAAAACGTGGATTGGTTTGATTCCAATGTATATATTACCGCAAGCATCAAAATTATGTTCACAATGCAGAGACTATGCGCTTCTGAAGTGTGTGTTCTAAAAAGCAAATCTACTGAGAAATATAAAACATACCTTTACATTTATTAGTATTCTTGTCCAGAATGGCTTTTGTTGAGGTTATGGTTCCGTACCTGTTGGCAGAAGAAAACGGAGCTCTTGAGTGTCGTCAAATTGGACGGAAAATTGCGGGCTCGACGACGGAGGAGCGAAAAAGAAGAAGAGAAAGGAAGGAAAGAGACTGGCGTAAAGCGAGCAGCCGCCCTTCGCTTTCTGAAAGGATATTTAATAATGCAAAGCAGCTCAAATGACTGCGGAATCCATTTTGCGACAGACGCTTGTTTACAGTGCCAAGACAAAAAATTCAGAAGAGAGGTGGAAATTTTTTCTAAGAAATCATCAATTTTTTCTTTTATTTTTCAAACGTTTTGCTTGAAACTTGAATGAAACTTGCTACTCACTGAGAGCACATGGCGACCAGGTCCTTGTCCGTCGTGTTTTGGTTGAGGCCCCTGATGTACAGGTTGGTCTTGGACAGTTGCTCGGAGCCGGTGCCGCCGGTGCTGACGCTGGTGCTGATGGTGCCATTTTGCGAACCGGCGTTGCTGCTGCTGCCGCTGCTGTTGGTGGTGGCTGGCGAGGCAGCCGTCGGCACCCGCTGCTGCCCCTGGGGCGCGCCCTGTGCTTGGTTAGAATACTGAAACAAAACAAAAAGAGAATTATAGTTATGCACTCGGGGAAAATTTTCGCAGAGCCAAAAGTCAGTAGATGCAAAAGAAAATATTTGAAAATTCTCTCAAATTGTAATTTCACTAACAAAATTATATTTAATTTTTGAAAATACTTTCGGTGAATTTGAATGCAAAAATCAAAGTTTTAAAATTCTAATGGTAATTGTGCATCGTGACCTCTGTTGTCATGCAAACTGACACGCCTTTTGCAATTCCAAAACTTGATGAAATCGACCTTAATCTGATAAAAACGAGTCAATTTCTGTCACTTTTGCGCCGTGTTCGGTTTTATCTGAGGTTGGCCGCGAATCGCTGATTCTCGCACCTCGAAACCACTTGTCCGAAAACTGCATTACTGGCTGATTGAAAAGGCAGCCGGGCTGATTGATGGCGGTCGGTGGGAAACGCGAGTGTTGGCCGCGGCCGATAAGGGGGCTGGCGAGCGGCGGACCCACCGTTGTGATTGTCATTGATGATCAAATAAACGAGCTGGTACATCATGAAGGCGAACAACAGCACCATGATTACGGCCATCACCAGCAGCAAGTGGTGCAGAAATTTGACAAAGTCCATCTTGCCGGTCCGGCGGTGCGTCGGCCACTCATCGCACGCCCCTTCGACCCCCGCGCACCCCTGTTTAATCTAATTTTGCGGCCAGAGAGGGTGGCGCCGCACCCGTACGGATTGTTATTGCACACAACGACCGATGCGTTTGCATTGTTGCACGGTTGTTTGTGTGTGTTTTTCCTTTTTTTTTTCCAGTGAATGGGTTCGATGCGCGGGAAGAAGAAAAGGAGGGAAATTCCGCCCTCCTCATTATTTTGAATGGCATACAAAGGGGAGAAAGAAAGTGCCTGCCTCTCGACGGCGGAATAAAACTTGATGTGCCGCGAGTGAAATCGAGAACAAATAAATGGCGTTTGCAAAAGTAGCAGAGGGAGCAAAGTCTAATGCAGCTTGATGCACTTGAAACGATTTCTACGAAGAACTCCGTAACTTATGTGCAAGACTTGCGGTGAAGCCAATTTAAATAAATGTTTGGCTCTGAAATTTTATTTATTAAATCTGATAGATTTGATAGCACGTCAAAATTTCAGCACATTATTTGGTTGAAATTGATTATGCAAAAAATTAATAAAAATTTAATTTAAAATGAAAAAAAAATCAAATATCTTTATTTTAAATGAAGTTTGAAAGTTTTATTTTTAGTGAAATTTGAAAATTATTATTGTATGATGTTTGAAATTTCTGAAAATTATTCGTCCTTCTTATAAATATGCAGAAAACTGAGTTTTCATGCTAAAATGTTCTATTTTGGCTAAAAGTTGGTTGCGAAAATCGTAGATTGGGTCGTGGTAAAGTGGTAAACACGCCTCTCGCATCTCTTTTTCTCTCCGGCTTGGCGCGAAAAGCAACGAGCACCTAAGCGTGCACCACATCGTGTTTACAAGTGGAGGCACGAAAGTATGAACGCACTTGCTAGGTGTGCAGGCACGTATAGCGCAGAAGAGTACTTTAGTAAGGCGTCTCGCGTCGAAGATGTAATGCAATTAGTGCGCCAAGGTTGGCAGAAGCTCTCAAAGAATGTCCGTAATTATGTCAGAGCCGAATTTCCTGGACGAAAATTTTCATAATTCAGCAGCCGGGCCGCAATTAGCGAGAGCGCGTCGTCGTTAGCAAAATTTTCGACTGACGCGCGCGCGTCTTGTCGTAAAACCTTTCAAACCATTTTAATTTAAGTGCCGCGCCGCTATTTAAGCGACCATTATTAAAATTAATGAAGGCGCACGCGAGAGAGCCGTGCTCACAAATTTCTGAAACACGCACTTATGTCCCCGAAAATGAGAGGGAGAAAAACATAAATTCGGCCGGGGCGCGCGGGGGTGCTTTTGAAAAGCCAGCCGTGTTGAAAAGAAAATTTATTTAATTGGACGGGAAATTAACTCGGCCATGACAACTGCAAAGTTTTGGCTGCGTTAAAATTATTACAGAACTTGCGCATGAAAAGTGGTAGAAACAAATCACGTCATACAAAAATTATTACTGAGAAGAGATTCCGTTCTATTTTGAGACACCTAAATATGCTAATGAAGCTCGATTTAAAAAAATTGTGCTAAAATTGAATGCGTTTTTTCTTTTAACTTTATTTCATTCCAAAATTTGAAATTTACCAAATAGATGTGGACCATAAATCTGCAAAATTGACTCATTGAGTAAGAGTATCTGAAAATCTCTTTAAAATTATTTGAAATTAAGATTTTTCCAAAATTTTTTGTAAAAACTTCCTAACGTCAAGTTTTTGATAGTTTCCCTGAATGGAACTGATATCAGGGCCTTCTTCTAAAACTATTTTCCACAAAAGTTTTCACTTCAAGAATTTCATCTTTTGAAATTTCCATTCCGTTTTCTTTGAAAGTTTCCAATGTTGCACTAAAAGTCATCATTGCTCCCGAAATCGCATTGTTATGGCAAATCCGAGCACCTTTTTGACGACTTCAGACTTGTCTCACTCAGCACACCGGAGACCAAAAAAGGTCTTGTATGATCAAAAAGTAGCAGAGTTTTACAACAGGCCATTTCCAGCGGAGAGGGCTGCTTTTCTCAGCGAAACAACTCGCATTTTTACTGCAAAGCCTAAAAGTGTGTTACTGAGTGATAAAATTGCATGCTGCCGAATCCCATTTTGCCTTTGCTCGGCGCGCTGCACGTCTTTTCTTTTCGCTCGGGCGCACTCCTTTTTTATTTCCGCGCCACCGACGCCCTTTTTGTTCTGGGGCGCGGGCGGACAGCTGCCGTCCCCTCAGCTTGCGGTCGCCATCGATTGCCAAGCACCGCATCCGCAAATATTTTCGAAATTAAATTCCGGCCGAAAACAAACACAGCAAAAGAAAGAAAGCGGGGCCGAAGGTGGTGCGGCGAAAGAGAGAGAAAAGCGAGCAGTGCGTTTGTTGATGGGATACGCGCGCGGTGACAGATGGTTTCATGAGACTTGTATTATGCCGGTCCCCGATGCATACAAGAGCGACTCGGATCGATAATCCACGCCCTGGTGCCACGCAGCCAGCGACAGAGAAAGGGATGCCGAAACTGCATAATTCAGCACCGCCCCGTCACATCACCCTCTTTGCCCAAATGACAATTCTCTTTCTCTCAAACACACACTTTCTAATTAAGAACGGCACCTGCTCTCGCGGATTTTCGCGATTTTTAATTAGGGGGGAGATAACAAGTCGTAAATTTCTTTTAATTCGCACTGTTATCTCTTCTCGTGTGGCCTTTGTCGCGCGTGAAAAAGTTTCGCTTGGGCTTAAGATGCATGCGCGTGGGTATATTTATTCAAAATGACGAAGATAAGGAGAATTGCGCGTGCGGCCGAATTATTCAAAGTGGCTGTTTAGCGCTAATTTCAGTATTTTGGGGATTACTAACTTGAGAGAGCAGGATTAAAACTTTGCAGCTAATTCCTCTGTCTTGATACACAATTTTAAATTAAAGTGTACAAATCAAAAGTGCTTTTACTCTTTTAGAGTTTTTACAATGTTCAACGAAACTAAATCTTGTAGTTCCTTTCACTGAATCAGGATTTGTTGAGGGCGGTACATTTTTATTTTCGTATTCAGGATATCCAGGGAAAATGTCTTATTTGGATATTTTATACAATTTTGATAATATAAAAACAGTTATTGGGTGTTTTAAATTGCTTAACCAATAAAAATCCCGCCCGGCTCTGTAAAAAAGTGTATTTAGATTAGAGCGATGCTTCTACAAAATCATAACTCCGGGCTAAAAGAGAACGCTTTTAAAGAGCATTCAAAATTCAAAATTTGATACGTCTTTTAAATATTTAAGTATTGGATTTCCAACTATCTTATTTTCGTGTGCTCGTCTTTTACAAACTGAATAACCCGCGCATTCAATCCGCCCGTTTAAACACAACTCGGTGCACAACTCTCTTGAGAGTCGAGTCGGCTCCTCATTATTTCCTCCAAATGCGAAGCTTTCATTCAGTGCACATCCTCGGCAGTTTCGGATTAAATGCTTTTTAAGAGCGGCGCCATAAAGATTCGCTCGACTCATCAGCGCTAAAAGCGCTCGGCGCCGCGAGATCGATCCAGTTGAAATCAATCGGCAAATTCAATCACGGAGAAAGGGAAAAAATAAAATGCAACACAACTCTATTTGTTTTTTGATCGATCGCACTTGTTTGCAGTTTTGCTGAAATTCGGCTCCGTCGAGCCCTTGGGACGAATTGAGCGCCGGCGGATCCAAATTGAGTGGCGCATTACTTAACTCGGCGTTGCTGTTGCTTTTTGTTTCTCGAAGGTGCTCCGGCATGAATAAAACATTCCGACACTCTCCTCCTCCTCAGCGCGCAAAATGACATTAGGCAGATGGATTCTTTCTTTCAGCTTTTTTCCCGACAGACGAGCCCAAGTCGAGAGGTGAAAAGAGGAGAATGGGAAAAAGGCAAAGATGTGGTGAAAAGACCCAAGATGAATATGCCAAACATTCGTCCCGCTAAAATTTTGACACAGTTGAGAAAAGATATTAAATCCACCTGGCAAGAATAAGGAGTGGAAAGTTAACTTAAAGTAAACTTACAATAAAAAAATTACCCAATAAGAAAAATAAGTGCTTGCCTTCTGCAAGCTCATTAGGGCACAGGCCGATAAGACACTTTGTCTTCGCCTGACTAAAAAAAAATAAATTGGGATCATTGAGGTTTAAAAAAAGTTATAAAAATAATTCAGTGCAATTTGGGAAGAATTTTTTTATGTGTCTTACACTATTTTGCATAAAAAAATCATAATAATAACTTGCCTTTTAACTAAATGTTTAGTAAATATTGAATTTTTTTAACTTGGTTATAAAATATATAAAGCTTTAAGTTCTTATAGCTGCAAATAAAACTATGTCACAAATGCACTTTTAAGTTATACAAATAATTAACTAATAATTTGAATTT